TTGATTAATTGTATTAAATATAATTTACTTACATTTAATGATACTTTTTTCGAAAATTAATAGCTAAAAATTATTAATTAGCAAAAATAAAATTGCTACTTTTAATTAATTAATGCTGAAACTAAAAATAATGTTCAAATATATTAATATATATATATATATGTATTTGAAAGTAAATTTTACTTTCAGTAGTATATCACATACATAGGTATGTCTTGACTCTTGGGACAGACACTACAATAATATTGGTGTCACTAATCACACAAAACAATAACAAAAATTTTTACTACAAATTATTATAACTTTTGTTTTTTAGGCGTTAAAAACATTTTCAGTTTTACAAATATTTAGTTAACTCATTGTACTGTAAATAATCGCGATTAACATTATTGTCGTTATTGTAATTTAGTTAAATATTATTATATCATTATAGCGTTTAAATTTGTCAAACTATAACCAATGATTTGTTTGAAAAAATTCAATATTTATTAAGTACACTATTTTTTAAATAAAAAACCATAGAATTTTCAATAAACTTTGATTTATAATTATATAAATAAAACATTCAAATATGTTTAACAAAAAAATTTGCCGAATAACTATACCATTTATGATTTACACATTATATTACATGTATATTACAAAACAATTTTTTCAAACTTATGATATATACAATTCAATTCAAAGAAATATTTACATTTACACATTAAAACAATGTTGACTTTGAAATACTATATAATTATATTAGAAAATCATTTGACTTTTGTGTGTTTTAATACTACAGTAGGAAAGTAATTAAAAAATCATTTTAAAAATTGTATTTATTTGAAAACAGGCGCTTTTAATCTTTATCTCTATGTTTTAAAATATATCATATAATTTACAGGTATATAATGTGCACTACATTGTGTAGGTCTATACAGTGCACACATCAAATGTATGACATCATTGATAGCTTTTCACAGGTTTCTCTCTCTCTCTCTCTCTCTTATGTATCAGCGATTCACATGAATTACTGACAGGTATTTCATGTGATGATTCAGAGCTTCATTTAGTCAGTCAGTCAAATAAAGACAGAGAGACAGACAGCAACTAACTTATAAAAACAGCATTGATATTACAAAAGGGATAGACATTACACAGTAAAATAATTTTAAACAATTTATTTATATACAACTTAATCATATGTATTGTATATAAATTACTGTATTCATAATATGCATGTTTGCAATAAAATTGAAAGACACATAAAATATAGTATAGTATTATAGTTAACACTGACAACAATTAACTTAAACAAAAACATCAACCTTAGGCATTATATTAGAAATAATTTAAGTAATGATAATAATAATTTTAACTCTTAAAAACAGATAAGTTTTATTAAGTAAAACCTCGAGGATATGATATTATTATTTTATAATAAATTATAAACAACAAAGAAATATATCCAATATTATGTATAGGAGAAAATTCAAGATAAATAATTATATATTATTTTATTAGACTTGTATTTAAAAGAGATGCAATTGACACACCTACTCATCTATTACTACTACATTGCAATATATTTTTTCTGTCTTATAAAACTCATTATAATTAGAAAATAAAACTTATTTGATTGAATTGATGAATAATAATCTATGAATGGTATAAAAATATTATAATGTAAACAGATATGCTTGAAATATATATAAAGATATATATATTACATATTATACATTATTATATAAAAAACTTTTTCTCAAAGTCTATGTTATTTTAAAACTTTAATACTAGTTTTGGACTCAATTATCTCTCTTTCTTAAAGGTAAAGGGTTTTGTGATACACAAAGTTTAAATTACATTCAATAATACTAAACAATATAAAAACTAAAGAGTCGTTAGACTTTTGGCTAACAATCTTATAATACTTTTGAAGAGTAGTTCAGTGATTCATTGGACAAAATAATGGTTTAATAAACTTGTTTCAAACCAAACAAATAGTGCTATTTTGTGTGAAAATACTATACAGTACTCAGATTCATACATATATAATATACAGTAGTTTATATAATATTAGTTTATAATTTATAATATATATATATATAGTTTAAATTTCTGTAAAAATTACTTTTTTGAAATTACTTTTTTTGCAATCAATATGTCTGTTATTATTTATTATAAAGTTTTTTTTTTGAAAAATAAAAAACTTTTAATTAAATGGATATTCCGTTGATTTAAAACAAAAAATTGAAGTTTTATTTATTGTTTTAGATGTTTGCGCCAAATACTCTGAAATGTAATTTTATTTTACCCCACAAAATGTATGTCACATCAAACACACAAACAATTTTTTCCAGTCTCTTTAAATATAATATAGTATATAAAAATATTATATATATATATATATAAATACCTGTATAATATAATTTACTTGAATGATATCGCCTTATTATTTTTATTGTTTGTATAAATATTTAGATATTTTCAATGAATATTTTTAAATTATAAAAAACTTGTATCATTGTTTAAAAAATGATATAAAACTTTTGGCATCTATTATTTTTAAAAATTGTATTTATTTTATTTTTAAAAAGATTCATCTCATAATTGTTTAGTTTATACAATTAATAAAAAAACTATGTAATTTATTTGATATTTAAAATGACATTTAAAACGTTATATTTATTATACAACAGTGCTAACAACAAAATATAAATATAATATATGAAAGATTAATGTTTGAATAAATAATAAAAAAATAATAATGACTTTTAGCTAATAATACTATTTAGATGTCATCATCATATAAATTATTGTATTTATAAATTTGTATATTTAAGTGTTTGTTTTGTTAGTATTATTTTTTTCTTTACAAATAAACAACAAAATTTAAAACTATTTAAGGATTTTTAAAGTTTAAAAATTATTTCAAAGTCAAAAAGTAATATATCAAGAGATCAAATAAGATTATTAGTAACTAAATCATACACAAAAAAACTAATAATTATTATCCAATTAATGTCAAACAAAATTATTTTTAATATATTGATACATATAAAATATACAATATATACCATGTATAGATATAGTGTATATAAATATTAATGTTTTTAGTGTTTTTTATTATTATCTTATTAATTTTTATTATTAGTTTAAACTTTTTATGTGAAATAAAATATTTGTATTGTATTTTTATATATTTATCAAAAATTTCAAGTTTGAGGTCATGAATTGTATGATGACTTCTTTATATAAATATTATACATCTAATAACAAAATACAATATAYAAAATAATGATTTATATTGTATTTAATGAATAATTGGTTCATTAAATATATTGAATATATATGAACAGTATTTAAAAGTTTGAATAAATTTATAAATAATTAATAGCGGTTTGATTTGATTTTCAAAATAGTTTTGACATAAAAATAGTCTTAAATTCAAAATTGTCGGCCTTTGAGGGTTTTAGTTCAATAACTGCTACTGTTTTGCTTAAATGCATTATTTTATTTGAACTTAATTTGATTTTTAAATTGATTAATGATTTTGATTTTGCTTAACTATTTAAAATGTAGATTTGGCTAATTAACCAAATAAAAATGTTTTATAAATTCTAGATATAAAACTCAATCAAGTGTATTATAAATTATTAGCAATAAATTATAAAAACAAAATATGAAATTATAATGAATTTTACTACAGTATCTTAAATATGGTAAACCAAATACATAATGATATTTAAATTTTTAATAGATATTTACAAAGTATTTTTTTATTAAATTAACAAAAAATTGTGTCAAAAATGCGTATAAATTAATTAATGTCTTAATAATTTCTAAATTGTTTAAAACAATGATGTAATTTTAATTTGCTCTAAAAATTATTAAAAAAAACACACAAATAACACACCCACTCTCATAGCCTTGCGGTATATTAATTTACTTAATGGTTATATTAAATCTAACAATTAATTAAAACATGTCATAAATTAAAATAAAATATTTAGACAATTAAAAGTTTATAAAAAGAATTATTAATTAATAGTTTAGTTTATAAATAGGAGTAATAATAATGTTTAACAAAACATAATTTATAGATTATTTTTATATAAATGATATAATGCTATAGATAATGAAAATTAATAAATTATAATACATAGTTAATAAAACATATGATTAATTAAAATGTTGCACAAACGCTGTATATAGCAATAAAATAATAATTATCAAAAAATTTATTTTAACTGTTTTTTCTTCTTTTTTATTTTTGTATTTATATATATTTTTTGGTTTAGTGTATCAAATGAAACGTTTGAATGAGTTTGCAAACGGAAAGATAATTTTCATCGCATAAGTAATTAAATTACAAAATAATACTGTCATATAAATGATTATCTTTGAAATAATAATAATGAAAAAATTGGTGTCAATATAGTAGTTGAAAACAATGACATATAATCACATCTCACTAATTGAATGAATCAATTGGTTGATCCTATCGATCATTCAGTGAATTGTGAAAAACACATAAAAATCAATAAAAATGTTTTTTATGATAAACAAAAAAAACCTGTCGTTAACCATAGTATTCCCAACCAAATCATAACAACACTAGTAATTAAAGTTGTAATAAATTATTAATAATAAAAAAAATTTCAAAAATAAACAATAAAAATAAGATATTCTCTCATAAGAAATAACATAATTGGAAACCTATTAAATATATTTATAAGTAATTAAAACAACAGTAAAAAAAATCTAGGATGAATGATACAACTATTTTTATATTAACATTTTACTGTAATAAATAATACCTGTATATGAATTAAATTTTATAATTAAGGTAATAAAAAAATTATTGAATTCAAATTAATAAACATAAAAATTTATTAAATAACACTAACAATAGATAATTAAAAGTAATTTACTGTACGATAAGTTACAAAACTTTTAATAATAAATTAAGAAATAAATAACAATTTATTTACATAATAATAATAATAATAATAATATCAAATATTATATTTTTGTCTTAATTTATTATAAGTGTGTTTGAAAAAGAATAACAAATTATCATATCTGTAGTCATAATGTGGTCGACCATCGGGTCCGACACGACCGCAATGTTCATCAACAATGAGATGTAAGTCAACAAAAAAATAATACATCGCCTCAATGGTCGATAAATAAGTTCGCGGAGTATTTCGCTGATGTCTCCAAAATAGCGACTCGTGATCGGACAATACCACAGTTCCGTTGGCCAGAAGTGGCCGCACTCGCGAATCATTCAAAACCTGTTTCGTTTGACGCCATGTGCTATCAATGAAGACTACTGTATCAAATGGTATTTCACCTATAGATGATATTGATGTCCGATTATCATTGATATGATTGTAATGATTGTCCAATAGTTGTCTCAATGTCTGTGCATTAGGTCCGGGAAACAATAAAACAGTCTGTTTTCATAAATACAAATCAAATCAAACAAATTGTTATATAATTAAAACAAAAATTTTTAATACTTTTTGGTAATCCCAGTGAGGAATGTCTGGAAACGTATGTATCCGACAATCTTCTGGCGAAATAATGGCCGCGTGAGGACAGGTTGACTTGCCGTCCACTTCTTGGATATGTTTAATGATATCCACTTTGACGGGTAGTTTAACACGTGGCAGACGCTCTTTAATAACATCCAACGGCACGTAACACGTATAGCAATAATATCGACGCGATTTATGACAATTAGGACATGTGTTGCGCTCCGGGATCTCGTCCAAGAAGTCTGTGTCGTCAATCTTGAATCGGGTGCCCATCGGGTCGACCTCTTCTCGATTCATCCAAAGACTACTGTTGCGAATGTTAGGAACTCGTCGGTGTTGTTGTTGACCATTCATGTTGTGGTTGATATCACCCGTTGGGATCAAATCAATCAATTTGTGTCATAAATATCACATTATTATCATCGCATAACTCATGTGTCAAACAAAACACATGTCATATCAACCAATCAGTGCATTGTTTACAGCAATGTATCTCTCATTCAAACACATTGTTAATACACAACTAACGTTAACACTGGCTATTGACTTATCAAAGACTAACTGATCCACTATTTTGGATCAAATTAAGTGATAATTGTATTATTTAAAAAATAATATGAAGTATAGTATAGTATACTTAAATAAAGAACAATMGGTATATATTAACAATTATACATTTGGCTAAATAATAATAAATGCTATTTATTAACATAATTTTGAAATTAAAAAAATTTTATAAATTGTAAATACATAGTGTATACTGAAATACATAGTGTATACTGTTTATATAACTTTTTTTCTTGTAAAAACAATTTATTTAACATTATTATTATTATTATTATATATATAAACTTTTTAAATAGGAAATTAAAAATAAATGAAAACCTTTATATCATTATAATTTTCATTTGCATACTGTAATAGATATAACATAATAAAATATTTACTGTTTTAACTTTATATTCTATAAGATTATTATTAAAAATAATTATTATAATTATAATTAATATTAATGTTAAGCTATTCGTTCGTAAAACAGTATATATGCCTGAGATCTCAATACAGAACTCAATGAGGAAGACGTAACCGAAGTGTCCGAAATGTAAAACCATTTTCCGCTATCATTAGTACAATATGTGTCGTCGTCATCAGTATTGCCATTGTTTTGTCCATTTTGATGATAATTGCCATTCATAGTGTGACCATTGATTAATGGTTGTTCATTATCATTGGTGTCATCACTACTAAAGTATTTGTCTTCAATCATTTTGAGGACATTTTCCAGTTTAGGTAAGAATGGTTCGATTACTGAAAACTTCTTTATCTGTTTCGGATTGTAAGGCCTATGCTTAACAAAGGCGGTGTAATGACCGCTCTTGAGGCTACCGGAGTGCTCGACCACACCATAGAGTGAATAGATTACTCTATGAGCAGTCGGCTGACCAGTAATTGGTTGTAAATAGTTATACATTTTGCTGACAAATTGAGACAAATCAAAAACGGCAGGAAATGAGACAAATGTCGAAATCTTCTTGAGATTTACGGACCGACGATAGCCGCCCTCGGCTTCAAAGCGCTTTAAATGTAGTGTAAGTACTGGTGGCGGTAAGGCTATCAGTGCTCGCTTTGAGGCATTAGTAAAAACTTTTTGGGAACCATTGGCTTTTGTACACATCTCACATAAATACTTATTATTACCCGATAGAGACTCAATACTCGTAAAGTTGGACAACAAACGGATTAAATCAAAATTTGGCAAATTTTCCATTTGATTGTCACTAATTGTCTCCAAACACTTTGATATTATGCACTTAATTGTAGGCGAATTCATGTTCAATGATTTTGTAACCGATTGTTGATCTCCATCGACAACTGTTGACTGTTTTAAGTCCAACTTTTTAGTGTCACTGATACTCATTAACAACAGCTCAGACTCTAATTCCAGAGACGAATTAAAGTCTAATTCTTGAGCTTTATTTTCGTCGCATTCTTTTTCGCCATCGGAAGTGTCATCATTGCCATTGACCTGATTAAGCTCATTAGGGGGTAATTCTGGTCCATAAACAGGTAGTGAGGCGTCATTAGTATCATTATCGACATTATCATTAAAAAACAATTGATTATATTGAAATTCGTTATCATCATTGACACCGTTCCAGCCATTGTCTTCCCAGCCGTCATCCAACCATCCATTTTGTTTATCCCAACAATTGGTACCATTTTGTTGATCTTCATCAAACAAACTGCCAATATTGTAGTCTTCATCTATATTATTATCTTCAGGTGGTTTCCATTCATCAATTGTAAAATTATTATTAATGTTATTACCGGTAATCTCATCGTTGATCAGGTCTTTAGTATCACATTTAAATGTTGTATCAATTAAATCATCAAAAAGTGGTTCTATAGGCATATCTTCTTTAATGTTTTCACTTTTATGTTCATCCACTGCTTCTTCTTTGAATTCATTTGTCTCAGATTTAACTTCGCCGCCAAAAGTCCAGTCCTCTACACGACAGTCGCCAACAGGTGATTGATCTGTAGTATCGTTATTACCATCATTTGTCTCTTCCAATGCTTTTTCTTTTTCTAAAATTTTAAAATTAGTCTCAACTTTGCGTTGCTCTTTGGCCTCACGTTTGGCCGCTTTTTTCTGTTGTCTTTTCTGTCGGCGTTCTTTTGGAGTCAAATTTCTTATTTCCTTATCGTTAAAATCAACTTCAGGTTCTTTACTATCTGTTATATCACTTGTCTGATCCTTATCTTTAGCTTTCTTGCCTTTATTGACAATAACAGGACTTGTGTCGATGCGATTTGTTTTTAAATGAGATAATGGAAGCGATAAATCAAAGAAGGGTTCAAATATAATGTTTGTGTACTGACACTCATCACAACAGATACTCGATAACAATTGGCCGCCGAAGACGCTATCGATTGGTGTCAGTTGTGAATAAGTGGCGAACGACTTGATCCGGGCCTTAGTGTCGTCGTCAACGTTGTCACTGTTCCTCAGCTCCGAACAGATGGCCAATCGCTGGCGTTTCACTTCTTTGCATTTCAATGAGTCTAACAAACATCTAAGTAATTCGTGTGAGTCCTGTTGAGACCACCCGTCAAACTGATTCCAGTCTTTACGGATACTTTGCAATACTTTAGCGGGTGATATAGTTTTCCGATTATCTGATCGCATATCACGCATAAAATGAATAACATTTGCGGTTAAGGGATAACACGTATTCAAAGTGATGTCCATCTCTTCATCGTATCGGTGATCGGGTGACCACTGACATGGATTCGCCAGACTTTTAGCAGAATAGACATAACCATCGTTTGAACGCTCGTTCAGTACTTCATACAAAAGATGTGTTTCCGAAATCACCTGAAGAACTGAATTAAGAAAACAAGTGTTTCCCATATTATTCAATCCTTTGGGTGGATATGTGGTCAACCAATTGGCACTCATTTTCGGTGTCAATGACTCGGTATCGACAGCTGTCTTCTCATCACATCTCACGTCTAAACGTCTGTCGGAAGCGCCAAACACATCGGCGGCCACTTTCGGCGATAGTCTACCGTTGGTCACTGAAGTCGATTTTGTTGTCTCAGTACGCGTGTGACCCGATTTGGCCACCGGTTTGTTGACCACATGTTTGTTGTTGACGTTTCTGTTGTGAACTTTGTTTGACTTTTTGTTTGATTTTTTGTTTCCCTTTTTATTAGCCATTCATTCAATACAATCGCAAACAATACAAACAAAATGTAATATCAATTAAATAATCGTTTAGTTATTCATTGTTTGGTTAAAAATATGATTTAGTTTTAAATAACTCATTAAAACAATTATTCATTGCTTTCATATTTGTTATGCTTTTTGTGTTTTAATTATTGAATTACACGTGAAATCATTTGCGATATTATTATTATTATTATTATAGATACAAAAATTAGATGCACATATCACATGATACAAATCAACTTTTTTGCACTACTCCTAAACTACGTTATCATATATACTGTTTAAACTAAGAGCGCATTTTTCAAACAATAATTTCATTTTAAATAATAATTACAATAAGTTTTAATTATTTTAATGTATTTTCAGTATTAATATATAAAATACAATATATATAAACAAATATAATAAAACAAATATATTATAAAATAATTTAAACTGAAATTATTGTTTGAAAAATGCGCTCTTAGTTTAAACAGTATATATGATAACGTAGTTTAGGAGTAGTGCAAAAAAGTTGATTTGTATCATGTGATATGTGCATCTAATTTTTGTATCTATAATATTATTATCGTATTATTCAACAGTAAACACACATATATACTGTGACACAAATTATGTTTAAGTTTGAAAACATTAGACAATTCATATACAAATACATACAATAGTTAATCATTAATTTAGTTTAATCATTGATTTGAACAATATTTTACACTAAATTGTTTATTTTATAAGTATATAAAAAAATAATATTTATAATATACAGTATATATTCATTGTATATACAGTAAATCAATAATACAATATTAAATATACAAAACAGTACATTAAATTGTATTATATATTTATTAATATTGATAATAAATTATTTTTAAAAGCTCTAATAATTTATATATTGTATTTACAAGTACTATATTAATACTTTACATTAGACATTTACAAAAAACATGTAATATTATTAATATAAACAATTATAATCAATAAATAACTTTAATCATTAAAGTATTTAATTATTATTAATAAGATTATTCTATTATAATTATTGAAATTATTTTAGTATAAATTTGGATTTAAAAAATATATAATTGACATTATAATTTGCAATACCAATAGCTATATTTATTTATTATWTACTGTTTAATATAATATCTTATAAAATACCTACAATATAATTTTATAATTAATATTTTATACAATTAATATTCTATTAATAAAACAAARTGTTTTACTACAGTATACTAATTACTACATAATAATAATTAGACTATTTATTATATCACGAAATAAAAATATAATTTATAGAAATATAGTCTATTTATATCATCTATAAAATAATTTAATTATAATGATATTATTAGGAATATAATATATTTATTATAATTAATAAGTGATTGATTGACCCAAAAGAGGTCATCACATAATATATATTGATATTAAGATAACTATAATAAATTTATGAGATAAATACTGTTTCTATGTTTGTATCGATTTATTTGCAGTTTTTGTATTAAATTTTGTATTTACTTGTATTTATACATTAGAAATAAATAATACATTTTGTATTGCCATTTGACGATTAAATTCTCAACAAATTTAATATAATTTATACAATATATTAATATATATCAAATAATTAATAGAATTTTATGATAAAGCTTATCGTTATATTTTTTAATATTGCAATATTGCAATTTTTTAATAATACAATTAAGCTAATAATGAAACAACAAATAATATCTATGTATATGCTATATATATATATATATAACTTATATATATATTTATAAATATTAAAATAAAATAAAATATATTTATTGATATATAATTTACAAATAGAATATTTATAAAAAAATGTTAAATTTTAAAGAAAAATTACTTAAACGTCGATAAAAAAAATCTCAATTTATTAGGATTTTTTTAATTAAGTTTTTCACATAATTGATTAATATATATATTAATAAATATCATATATGAAAATCTTATATGAATTTTGTGTTATTGAGTGTAATAATTTAGTTGAGTTTGTAAATTAAATTATTTATAATTTAACTGACAATGAGATAACAATTTATAATTTTGTGTAAATATAATTGCTATCAATTTGTTTATACAATAAGATATTTTCGCTATCTTTACATTTCTGATATTTTAATTCATGTATAATTGATATATATATATATATATATATATATTAGTAAATTTTAATTTAATTTAATATAATATAATTTTTTTAATACTACACAAGTTCATACAGTATATTATTATTATATTTTTTATATGCTAACAATATAACTACTACTGTAAGATATTTTACACAATTATTTTTCAAAATGATGGGAATAGTTCCTAAAAATGTTGAATTCAACAAACAATTAGTCAAACGATTGTATAATTATGATATCCAACACATGAAAGAGCTTAACGGTTACGATGACCGCAACTATCACTTGATTACTACCGACTCAAAGGAGTTTATATTAAAGATCACTAATAAATTGGAGTCCAGTCAAGAGGGACTGTTAGGTATGTATAGTAATTGAACTGATTTAACGAAACGGAAATAAATTAACGTTTTTTATTACAGATTCTTTAAATTCTTTAATTCTTCACTTATATAATAACGGTTTCAAAGTGACAGTGCCTCAGATCAATACAAATGGTAAATATTTATCATTTGAAGACATACCTCAAGAAGGACAACAAGAAAATGCCATCGAAAAGCCTTATGGAGTCAGACTCTTGGAGTATATTCCGGGAGAACTACTCAGAGGAATTCCATTTACACCTGAAATACTCGAAGAATGTGGTCAAGTATTGGCAAAAATGACTATTACTCTTCAAGTAATCACTTAATTGTATTTTAAAAATATATTTAATAATATAAATCATTTTTTGTAGTCATATGATAGCGATGTCCTTCAGAAACGAACAACTGAATGGTCATTATTGAGAGCACTGGATGTCCGTCAATATATAGATGATGTAGAAAGTGAAGAAAACAGATGTATAGTCCGCCAAAGTTTGGATGAATTTGAGAGGACAGTCATGTCTCGCTTACATGAGTTCAAACACTGTATAATTCACGGAGATTTCAATGAAATGAATATAATTGTTGATAAAAATTTGAAAATGGGAAATGACTATCATGTGAAGGGTATCATTGATTTTGGTGACTCTCACTATGCGCCCCAACTGTTTGATCTGGCCATCCATTTGTGTTACAGTATACTAATGTTTACGGCAGGACCGGTCATATATGCTCCAGCATTTGGACTCAGGGGTTATCAAAAATTTGTAGATCTCAATAATAATGAACTCAACGCTTTATATGTTTGTATTTATTTTTAAAACTTTATATAATTATAATTATTTATTGTATTGATTATCATATTATTCAGAGTTGTATAAAAGCTCGTCTCTGTCAATCATTAGTATTGGGCGCCCATTCATCCAAATTAGATCCAACCAATACTTATGTATTGACAACAGCCAAGACTGGATGGTCAGCTCTTAAAGCATTACATGATTGCAATCCAAAAGATTTGTTAAGTAAATGGCTTAACATTGATAAATATATGTAAATTACTTTATACTATAAAGTATATAATTATTATAATAAGTTAATACTGTTTATAGTATAAACTTTATACCGTATATCATATAGTTTATGATTCATAGATAAAAAAATGTGATGTCATTTAATGTTTATTAAAATTAAAATTTTTACTTTAATGAAAATTGTGTAACAGTAAAAATATTTTATTAATTAAAAAAATTATTAATACTAAGATTTATTGTGTAATATTTTATTAGTATAAATTAAAATGTTACTATAAGTTGGTTAGAAATTTTAATTTATAATCATTTATACTGTATATTACGCATAAAAAATCATTGTTATTAACTACTGTACTGTATTTGAAACATTTATTTTTTATGCGTTATGAGAGAAATGTTATATTTAGTTTAATATTAATGTAAAACTAATTATTTCATTTTTCCTGTTAATATTTAAACTCAATTAATTCATAAATTGATATTTATTCGTAAATTTGTATTAAAAATTATTTATAAATAACATTAAGAAGAATATACMGGTATATAATTATCATTACTTTAATTATCTTAAAATAATATTTACTGAACTTTATTAGACAAATAAATCATTTTTTAAGTTTTTAATTAAATAATTTTATTAAATTTTTTTATATTTGGCCTATATTAAACTATTATATTTTACTGGCAATTATTTTACTTACTACAGTAATATTATTTACAGAAAAAATGTTTAGTAATATTTTAATTTTAGCAACTTTTAGCATTATTAGTATTTATAAAATCAATAAAATGACATTTTACTATTGATATTTACTTTATAAAACATTATGTTTATTTTACTATTAGAATTAATTAGATTGAAACATAAACAAGTAATTTTAGTACATGTATGAGATTTTTTACAATAAAATTTAAAATCGATAGCAAATATTACTGAGAATATAAATTAAATATAAAAACACAAATTTTAATAAATAATAGTTTATAATTAATATAATATACTTAAGAAGTAACATATTTATAAATATATTAAATTAATATTCAATATATTTAATAACTTGTAATATAAAGATAGTATAATTTTTTAATGAAAATTGAATAATACATATAATTTATATATTTTATTAAACAGTTTGTATGATAACTATAGAATAGGAGACAATAAGTGTTAAACACGAGAGTAAAGTGTTTGCATTGATTTGAAACAAACCCATTGCTGTTAAACCCATCTGAGACCTCATGTCTTTCAATTGAATGATAATTAGTCGATCAGATTGTGTATATAATTGTAAATTATGTGAATTTTTTGAGTCCTCCAGTCTTTCAATTAATTGATTTAACGTTTTCGGTATGCGATCGCATAAAAAACATATACTTAATATAGATAGTGCACTAAATAGCAAATGTGATAAATTCATTATAAATCTTATATTTGAATTAATAGCCAATTGACATATTGTCGAAACACATATTATAAAATTTATCGTAAGAAACATAAACGTAAAATAAGATATATTTATATCAAATTGTTTAATTGACTTATGCATAGTGTATATACGATTATATACTATGTCTAAATTACAATTATCAATTTTATCTGTTATCATTTGCAATTGTTTTTGTGTGGTCAAACAAAAATATGCATATAATGTTATAGGGCATAATTGCATGTTAAATATTATAAAATAAATTATAAAAAACATTATAATAAAGTTTATATTAAATAAATTTACATAAAATTTCCAATTCATTGTATGTATAATTGTTTGCCAAACCAATGCCAGTAGTGGTTGACTGACAATCACTACAATTCCAATGTTTCGCTCATACCTACAAATTTGATTATCAGTAAAAATATTAGTTTTGATGATAATTTCAAGCAATTTGGATCCACTGGCAAACAGGAAAAGACTGATCCCAACAGCCTGTGTCGTGTAAAACACAATTCCTATAGTGAAAAGCCAAACAACAAGTCGTGAACGTTTGGTAATACCCGAACCGTCAGTTTCCGCAGATGCCAAACATCTCTGATCAATAATTTTTGTATTATTAGTTTCTATTATGTTATTGCAATTTACAGTGATTTTAGACAACATTATAACACTTGAAATACAGAAGTGTGTGATTATGACAAATATGATGCCATTATAAGCAATCAGTAATAATCGTTTGAGTTTACTGTAGGGCTCACCTACACTAAAACCCAGGTATGTGTTGCCAATTAAACGATGATATATTAATAACATTCGTAAACCAATTAAATTATGTTTATTTTTATTATTGAAAAACATTTTTAAAATTATTAATACAAAATTTTTGACTTTTTATGTCAAATACTACATAAAATATGTTTTTATTAAATTATTTTAATTAGAAACGATGTTTACATATTAAATATTTACAATAATTGTTATTATATTTTGTTATATGAATTATTAAGAATGCAATTATTTATTCAGTACATGTTTATATTATATTTGATATGTTATAATAATAAATTATAACTTATAATATACTAATTTATATATACAATATCATATTAAGTGTAATATTAGTCTATAAAATAAATTAAAGTTTTATTTATTTTATTTTAATTAATTTAATACATTTATTCTAAATCAATTGATTTGTGTAAAATCAATATCTGGTCTTAAGTTTTACAATTGATTACAATTTTGGTAAACCGGTTATAATATTTTCTTCAAACTGGCAATCATTACGACCCCTCCTTATTTTGAAAAAGCCATTATCACCCCATTCGCGATTCCACGAGTTGGCCGCCAACCAGTAATCGACACCATTTTCTACACCCCAACCAATAATTTTAACCGCATGAGCACCGACTGATTTACCGATCATATGATGGTATAYACCGTATTTGTAAGTTAAAAAATCCTTCCAAACCTATATATATATATATTTATCATTAAATTATTATTAAATTAAATATCAAATTCTAGATAACTTTAATTAATAATTACTTGAAAACTTGCCACAACGGGACCATTACTTATAATGTCTGATTGTAATCTATTATTTTCATTAGTAAATTCATACATTGATATACCGTAATGTTTGTCCACATTGTAAGTATGGTTATACCCAGAGTCACAATGTTTTACACAACTAGGCGTCGGTTCACTTGTTTTACTGCACGCAGGGAGTTGTCCAGTCATATGGTGCTCACAAGCGGCTATAGTATAGGGACGACAGCCTTTATGGCTGTCATATCCTCCACCCGACACTATACCTGTGTTAATATAGTAATTCCAGGCTCTGTCGATATACCCACCATCACAACCGTCACCACAAGCAGTACAACATGAAAGCAGATCTTCAGCTGATATCTCTACGTGTTGTTTGCCTTGCGATGCAATACATATGCGATCAGTTATAGTCTCAACTACAGCCATAGCCCAACACGAACCACAGGATCCCTGATCTCGTATCTGATTAATTGATGTACACTGAGGCCAGGCTTGGCGTAAATCAAACGAGTCGGGTATTTGAGTCAAATTGAGTACAAGTGCTTTCGGGTTTTCAATATCAGACACTGTCTTATCCGAGTAGACACCCATCAAATGCTTAATATCCTCTAATTTAATTGAATCATCAAAATTTTTGCCAGCCTTTTGACAAATATAGTATTTAATTGTTTTTTTTTAATTACAAACTATATATTATCTATACTTTCCACGACATACCATCTAAACTGTTTATATAATCAATTAATTCATTTTGATTATTAAACGTTAGACCAGATATTGTTTGTTTTGAAAACAAAATTAATATAWTTAAAATAATTAATTGAATCATAATTTGTGTAAATGTTAATTATTTATACTCTATAGTAATAATATTTTAATAACAATATAAACACTGTAAATAATTAAATAACAATTCAATGACAATACTACAGTATATACCGTATGATATATTGTTTTTGAAATATGTGACATACTGTATATTTAGAATTTAAGTAATAATTGTCTATATTTTTATTTTCATGATTAGTATGCAAATAAATTAAATATTTAGATATGAGCTCTATCTATATATTATAACAATTTTATAAATTTAAATAAAACAAGTTTAGTCTATTACTAAGCACTAAAGCATTTTTAAAAAAGTTTAAACGTTTTAAATGTTATTTTAAACATTTAGTTTTGTATAATAATGACAGAATAGGAGACAATGAGTGCCAAACACGACAGGAATGTGTTTGTATTGATTTGAAACAAACCCATTGCTGTCAAACCCATCTCTGGTCTCATATTTTGCAATTGATTTATAATAAGTCGATCCGATTGTGTATAAGATTGTAATGGTTGTGAAAGTTTGTAATTTTCAATTTGATAAATAAAATAATTAAATGATCTAGGTATAATATTGCTAACAAAACATTGCAAAAATATTAACATTAAGCTTAGCATGAGATTTAATATATTAAATTTGTAATTTGATGATAATATAAATTGACATAAAAATGCCACACAAATCACTACATTAACCACAATTGCTACAAATGAATACATAGAGATGTGTTTATCAAACCTTTTAACAGATTTTTGTATTTCAAATACATATTTATGTATAACTTCGACACTTTTGATGGCTAATGAAGCGCCCAATATATCAAACTGTCGTTTAACTACAAATACTTTGTAAGCCATTAAAGTTAACATTGAAAATACAAAACCAATTGATAAAAATCGTATGACAGAGAAAACAATAATCAATAGAGTATTTGTCATAATTTTTTTGAAGTCAAACCAATTGACTGTCGTTACAATTGTTATAAAAAGTGATGTTATAGTCAAGTGTATGATCACTAAATAGACTCCTAGTTTTTGTTCAAACCTGTACTCAATATGAATGATATTGTCATCGCGTAAATTATTTAATAATTTTGAACCTTTTATCAAAAAATAACAAATAGTAAACTTAATAAATATGAGATATAGTAAAATAGCCCAATTGTAGATCAATGTTGACGACTTGATTAATTTAATTGAATTATTAATCAAATTTTTATCAAAATTAGTTTGTAATTTAGTTACATTACTAATAGTATTAGTGTAAGGATTAGGTAGAGTTATAAAAATTGTAAATGACATAATACAAATAGCAATAATAAGTAAAACATTATAGAAAATTATTACAAATTTTTTAAATTGATTGATTTTGCCATCAATTGTCCATCCATTATATGATATGCCTATAAATCGATGATAATTTATAAGTACTTGAAGACCTCTTAAACAGTTTTCAGCCATTTTGTTAACAGAATTATTAATTTAAAAATTTCATGTATTTTTGTTTTATTTATTTATTTCACACAATGTTTTTTAATATATTCAATAAAATATTACAAAAAAATGAATAAGTTGTTATGTTTTATAAAAAATATATTAGATAAATATAAAATAATTATTGTATAATAATGACATATAATTCAATAATAATACAGTAATAACATTAAAATGTTTATTCTAATAATACTTTACTGTATAATAAAATGTTTAACATTTGAGTGATTAAATATTTATTACTATTTTTTTTATTGACATTTTTGTTAAAATTCATTTTAATATAATTAAACTAGTTTATTTACTGTATATCTAACATTTGATTAAATTATTTGACAAAATAATTTTAAGTTAAACAAAACAATATATTATATAATATAAACTAAAATAAACAACAATGTGAACATAAAAAATCATATAAAGCTAAACACGCGATAATTTTTTATTATTTACAATTAATTTTCATGCAATATTATAATAGCGTTAATTTATTTTATAAGAATAGAAATTTCAAAAAATAGTAAAATATTTTTTATCTATTGACCGGTTTTTTCTATTAAATTCAAATATCTTAAGTATTTTACTATTTTGTTCACAAATTGAAATTCAAGCAAAAATTATTAGTTTATAAATGATGGACACGTTTTACACAATAGTTATGATTACGATTTGGTGGTCATCTATGGTAGTGGCAGTTAATAAAGACTTTTATAACAATTACGAAACCATTTGTTCAAAGCGTCAAAACAATGCGTTTGAATATTTGTTAAACAAAATTCAAGACAAAAGTCAAATGTGTGATCACTCTCAAGGATTTTACTACTCATCAGACAACTGTCCGAAACAATATTCTGGAGACGGAGTCCTGTCTTCACGTAGTTATTATCGGTCAGACAATGATCTGTATTACTATTTTTATGTCCACTTTAAACAACCGATTAAAGACTATCAAAACAATGGAAAAGACACAAAATCCTATAAACTGGTTATTGATAACAATTTATTGCATTTTAAGAGAAATTATTTGAGAGATAAATATCTTTTTGTTGTCTGGATTCGTGAGCCGTCATTCAATGAGTTGTCGACTCATACTTATGAAGTGATTATCAACTCCAGTGCCATACAGACGACTGTAACATCAGATAGTTTTGATTATAAACTCGAAGATCAGCTAATTTTCAAAGATTTTAAGAAAACTCAAGACTTGAATGTAGTCATCAAAGTGATGGGAAGTACTAATAATATTACAAAATATACAATAAATCAGTCGTATGTGATATTCTGTAATCAAAAGAATAAACCGATTGAATCTGTTTGTCAACCAATTGTTGTCGACGACCACTACATCACCTGTAAGTGCAGTGAAGTCGAGAATTACTATCGACTGATAGTTGTGACGGCATTTTGGATAATATGGTTGCTTCTGGTAATCAAACCATTCATCGATCTCTTTATGGATTCAGAGCAGCGATCAAAAGTAGACATCAAACAAGCGGTCAATTGTAATGATAAGTCATTCAAATTCAAGTATGAATACGTAATGAGATTAACTAAAGAAACTCTCGATCCGTTAAACAATGTTACCATTGATCTCGAGTTCTTTACCGACAACCACGAGAGCGTCGGTATGTGTTTTGACTAAATATTTGTTAATTTAATTTATTAACAATAATTATAATAACCATTAAATTGTGTCTTTATTTTTTAAATCCATGTCCAGCGCCATCAGTTCGGCTTAGCGCCGATAATCTCGATGATAAACCAGTTATGGATATAACAATTACACAATGGAGACTAACTAAACTACCGAAACTCAAGTATATTGAATGCAATCACTCGGGAAGTCTCGAAACAAAGATTAAATTATTGTATATTAAAATCGATTGTAAATTTGGTGGCAAAGAGTCCATTACTTTTACAGTCATGAAGAATATAATCAAAAATAGCCGTCGATTTTATTTTCAGGAACCAAAAGATTTGTCTGAAAACGACATCAAAATACCGTCGACGACATTCAACTTTGGTATCTCCAATATCTACCTGTCCTACTTGGAAATCATGTGGATATTATTTGTCGACATCTCATTGATGGCACTGTTTGTCGACATTTTCCGAAATATCTTTGACAATACCATTAGTCCTATAATATCAATACAACTATTGTTTCAATTACTATCGGCCACCGGCTGTCTGATTGTGATTCATATCATTTTGGTTATTGTCTACAAATGTCTATTACTTTGTCTACTAAAACAACAACGAAGAATGCAATCGGAAACCATATTTTATTGTATAATAATAGTCTTCTATGTTTTAACCACTTTTACGGCCGTATGTATCTGCTGTTATCTAAGCATTAATATTTTGTCGTTAATCGATATCTATCAATGGGTTAGTATTATTATCTGCGGCACCGGTATATTGTGTCTATTGTGGTATTTGTCATCTAAATTAAAACCATTGTTTTGGCGAAACAAACCCAATATCACTATTACTGAAACTAATACTAATTCAATCTCATCTCTCAATGACGAGAGTATTACCACTTAATATAATTTCATTTATATTTATTTTTATATTCTATACATATTTTGTCATTTAAACAATAAAAATATTTTATTTAACCATTTAAAATAATATAAATACAAATAAAATTATATAATTATTTTTGATAAATGAATTAAAAAGTTTGTATAATAATGACAGAATAGGAGACAATGAGTGCCAAACACGACAGGAATGTGTTTGTATTGATTTGAAACAAACCCATTGCTGTCAAACCCATCTCTGGTCTCATATTTTGCAACTGAAGAATTATTAGTCGATCCGATTGTGATAATGGATTGAATGAACTGAAACCTCTCTTTTTCATTATCTCATTGACCACTGATGTCAACTTATTTGGTATAGTATTGCAAATGAGACATAATGTCAATAAACAGGTCAAACAATACAAAACAATCAACAGATTTGCAAGAAATCTCATATTTGTGTTCAAAGCTAATTGACATATGGATGATACAGACATTAACAGGTATACGACAATTGCAATCAATAAATAAAATGATAAATATTTATCAAATTCTTTGATTAAATCCATAATTTTGAGAAATTGATTATAAATGGTTTCCAAACTACTATTCATATCTGAATTTGAGATTTGTTTGAATTGATTATAAAATATAAAACATTTATATGTCATTATAGCGATTACAAACATATGAGTATTAAAAGATTGAAAATATGCTAAATTTAGACTAATAAGTGTCAATATATCAGTTTTATTGATAACATATTTCTGAAAGTTATCCCATAATAACAACCCAATGTCCAAAATACTAAAAAACAGTTGAATGGTCATCAATAAGACACCAAAACGTTTTTCAACTTTAACTTTAATTAATTCACTACTTGTAACCAATTGTTTGACTATATTTTTTCCATTAATAGTTAAAATAAAACCAATTATAACACTTAATAGATTGAATGATACGGTTCCCGCAGAGTATAATATAGACACAACAATTGTACGACTTTTACTAACACTTTTGTTTAAAGCTTTATTCATTAGTTTATTATTTATTATATGCCATAAATTGGATCCCATTTTATTATTATTAGTTATTTCGGTGTTAAACAATGATTTAACTCCCAATACACATACAGTTATTAATATTAACAAATAAATAATATTCCACAAAATGAGCATGATCCTTTTTGTCAATGAATATCGATTGTTAATACTGTAACCCATAAATGTTATGCCTATTAATCTGTTATAAGCCAAAAGTATGTCTAATCCAGTCATTGATATCATTATTTAATCAGTTATGGATTTGTTGTATTAAATACAGTATATTTAATAATGATTTTTTTCACTAGTTATTAGTTTGTATACTATTATTATGGATTGTGTACTGTATTATTAATTATTTTTTATTTACCTTATAGGTAGTACACATTGTACAATAAATCATATAGTTTCATATTTTATATTATTCGGAAATTTAATAAAGTAAATGTGTTTTTTGTGAATTTCAAATATTGTTAAATAAACATTAATAACAAAATTATTTATTTTATTATATTTTCATTTAATAATCGATAAAATAATATAATGAATTTAATAATAAGATATCATGTATTTATACAGTATATTAATACTCCAAATAATTGAATGAAAGAATCTTAAATAGTTAAAACTTATTGTTAATCAATTAAATGTCTCAAACAGCAAAAAAAACTATTATAAGGCAAAAATAGTTATTTGGTTAACCATATGATAGATAAGAAACAATTTTATTGAGTTTGAAATTATTAATAACTTTATTATTGATTATTTGTAAATTTAGTGTATATTTGTTTAGATAGTGTAACACAAGCCGTCAAACATGTTTAAAACTGTTACTGTTAATTGAATGTTATAATATATCTATAAACGATAGAAACAATTCAAATTTTAATTAAAAGTTAGCTATGAATTGTATATAATTTTAATTATAGACTCTATTACAGCATATTGTGATTAAATATATGACGACATCTATTATAGTTATGTTCAGTTAATTAACTAAAAAAAACATAAATAAATGAAAAATTAATTATATAATATTACAATAATAAATACACCAAAATATCATTTGAAAGTATTTTTATTATTATCATATTTTTGGTTAAATTTACTCTAATTTGCACTAATTTGTAACTTTTGAATCATTGTAATGCAATGTATTATTAATAGTAATTCAAATAATTAAACAAAGTTAGAGGTAAATTAATATGTTATTTTAATCTCAGGTAATTAAAAAATATATGCAACAAATATTATAATCAATTAAATAAATTATAGATAAAACATATAAAGTACAGTACAATCTATTAATACATTTACGTATACATAACTTACTGATTAAACGCTTAAATAATTTAATTAATTTATGACAAAGTAAATAGAAATTAATGGATGAAAAAATAAATTAAACAAAAGTTAAAAGTTTATATAAATTACACGAAAGTTATAACAAAAATGGTTGAAATGACACCAACTATCAATTTGGACCCATTTGTAAACCCGAACCGTTTGATCAATGAATTTGATTTAATGGACAATAGTCTCGGTGTCGGTGGTTTTGCAGTGGTCATCGGCGGTAAACATAAAATCGATGAAAAGATCTACGCTATTAAAATGATACCTATTGTCGGTTAGTTTCATATATTAAAGTTATATAAAATAATTTTCAAATTAAAAATACTGTATTTAAGGATTGGATAGCAATGATCTTCGCATTGATTTTAACAAAAAAATTGGTGAAATTAAGTTGTGGTCTAAACTAGAGTTTGGCGATTGTGTTCAATACCGGAGCGCGTGGTTAGAAAGGGATGAAGAGTCGAGACAACGTCTTCTAAGATATTTATCTGGCGTTTCAAAAGAAAGAGAAGACATTTTTAGGAAAGCCATACATTATGCCGTCCTTAACATTCAAATGGATTACTGCTGGTTCTCATTGAAAGACATATTAATCAAAATTATGTCATATTTTGGTGTTAATAATAATGGATTTTTATCACCAATTGCTTACTACATATCATCGGAACTGTTTGTTGAGATACTAGAAGTCATAAACCGATTGCACACCGATTGTATGCCACTTGTTATTCATCGAGATATCAAATCGTCTAATATATTAATTAAATATAGTCCACAACACGGCTTTGTAAAGTTGGCCGACTTTGGTCTGGCAGTCGAACACAAGAGAAAATCGCAAAGTCATAGCAAATGTGTGGGAACTGCTCGTTATATGGCACCGGAGGTCATCTTCTCCAGAAAATACAACGAGAAGGCAGACATCTATAGCATTGGTATTATGCTTCAGGAACTCTTTAACTTTGACATCAATCATATAAAGTACTGAAAATATATGAAAATATTACAACAAATTATTGATTAAACAGTTTTATTATTAGCGATCAGTTAGATATTGAATTACTGGAACAATATAAGTGTCTCAAAACACTAATAAAACGGATGACTGAAGGGACACCATCAGGAAGACCTTCATGTCGAGAGATCATTGAAAAGGATGATCTAAATGGTTGGGCTCTGTCTTATCATGTGGTTAGAGATGAAGTCTTAAATACCATTGATATCAATCGGACATATAATGGACAGGAGAGGTTTGTTGAGTTTTTCCTCAAAATAAAAAATGCTGCCAATAATAATAACTAATGATAACTAAATTAAAATTTTTAATTGTATTAAATCACCGTAATTGTTATTTTGTTTAAAAATGATATAAAATATTAATTTTTAATTAATTAAAGTAAAAATAAAAGTGTTTTATATCAAAAATAAATACATTTGTGATACAAATAAAAAATAAAAACAAACAAAAAAGTTGATTAGAAAATATTATCAAAGTATCAACAATTCCTCAAATTCACAATTTATGCAAAAATGAGATTTTATTTTTTGTGTATAAAATTATATTGGTATATAATTAAGATTATATTAAATATTTATATAAACTATATAAGGTATTTGGTATATATTAATAGAAATTTTATGGTAACAAAATTAGTCCATAAATTAACATAATTTTTTTAATTACTGTATACAACAAGAAAATATTAAAATAATAACTAATTAAATGTGAGCCCGATTTCTATGAACTCGAGCTATCATTATCCCACTATAGACCAAACCGGTCTAATTGCTATACAGGGACTCATTGTCTACAATAATGTCCACAAACATGATATTTAAAATAATTTAGAAATTAGAGATTATAGTTTTTTTGTATAAATTTGTAGAGAAACTGTACCATTAATGACATGTAAATAATCTTCATTATACCGGTAATATATCGGATATATATATATATTATATAATATATACTCAGATTTTTACCGATAATTTATGACTGAATTAATCAATTATATCAAATGGATCACTAATACCCAAAACATCCCCGGATTGTGTCACATAAACTAATCTAAATTTATCGGCAATTAATAGACTATTATCTGGATATTGAACCGAAAACCATGGCTGACGTCGAGTAGAGGCTATTGTGTCGGTACTGTCTTCACTGTTATCAAGTTGTTGGACATTCGTTTGATTAAAATTAGGAGCTGACCATCGATTGGGCTCTGTATTGGCCCAAACAAATAACAAATAGTCTTCAATTGATATAAAATCAGCTTTAAATAAACCTAATTTCCGGTGAAGATATGCTTAGTTTATGGTTAAACATTATGAACAACAACAACATACCGATCCAATCCCACTGAGACAACGATGCAATTGTTTTCTCATCATTCGGTGATATAGTATACCAAGCAATGGATTCGTTGTTGATTTTCCAGTTACTGATTGTATGGAATGTTACAAAAATCTCTTCCTCCTTGTCTTCCGGTACTCCATCTAAAGCCTGTTCTTCACCGGACAGGGCTAACGATGCGTATCGTTTGGAAATTTTATGTGCGGATGCTTTTGTGGTCAAATGAAACAAAGCGGATACCGGTTTATGATCTGATTGTTTGTATTGTGGATGAGATTTATAATACAATTGCCGGAGCTTTAACTCAAAGTCCTCATAAGCGTTAGATGTATAGCGATATAATACACGATCAGTAAATGCAGGTTTTCTCGCTCTAAGGAACGGGAGATTAAAATAATATAAACTTCGTTATAACAATAATGATAACAACTAATTACTTATATTCATAATCATCAGTATTGACAAAAAATTTATAGGTGGGTGCAAATGATATGTTTGATTCATTAAACTCACTGAAAGCCCGTCCTTCTCGTCGGACACGATTTAACTTTAATTACCGGTAATTGTAGTTTTGTTAGATAATGATAATAAATACTATTATTTTACTAAACTACCTGATCATTGGCTAATAATTTTTCAAATCTAAGATCATTGTCGGGATGTTTATTAGCATACATTATGATGTCATGTATCTCATCTCCCGATAGATTATCGATACGAAAATTAAGATCACCGATCCATATGACATAACTGTTTAAACAAACATTAATTTATTACTTAATTAGAAATAATATCAATATTACTAACTCATGACTCAAAATATTTGGTTTCTTTGTATTGTAAAAGTTCTGGCCATCGATTATAGTATTATAATCGGCCACTCGTTGGTCTAAATTCTCGTAATGCGGGGCCAAATGGCTGTTCACTAAACACAAGGATACGCCACCAAAGTTTAGGCTAACACTGACACCTCCTTTGTTACCCCACAGTCCTCCCAAACCTGTGCGCGTGAATTGAACCTAAAAAAGGACACAAAATATGTCAATTTGAGAGACAATTTGCTGACAACAAGTAGACAATTACGTCAACTGATTTGATTCGCGGTAAATATGACCGTTTGGTGTACACCATCAGCACAATGCCAACCAAACGGATCTGTTTGACTCTTACGTAATCCAATTGTTTGAACAACTTATCAAATGTCTCAATCCATGGTTCAGTGAAGAATATGTTACCGAACTTGAAGGCCACCTCTTGTAGACCAATGGCATAAATATCAGCCAATTGTTCGTCTGAAGATTGATTTGTTAGCGATGAGATGTCCAACAATTGTGATAAATCACATTTGCATTGACCAGACTTGACATTCCAGGTCAAGACATGGACACTATATATCAATTGATTATCAATAGGTCATCAATAATATGTCATTACTTAAGAAAATTTCTTACCTTAAGTCGGGTTTCATTTGATTATATGAACTGTTGGTCTGTTTGCCGTCACTTTGATGGCAATCGCTGTCAACCAATAAATTGTTGCTATTTTGCAGACAATTATTGTTACTATTGGTCACACATTTGGTTAATATTAATAATAATTGCAATAATAGGGATAAATATTGTGAAAATCGATTAATTGTATTCAAAGACATGTAATAACTCACTGTAAGTGAGGAAAAAACACTTAAAAAATAAGATAATAATAATAGATATTTATATTTACATTACTTATACTAATAATCACTTAAACGATAATAATTATCCAAAAGTTTATAATATACAAGAAAATTATATTTTTATTTTAAGTAAAATTAATAATTAGGCTAACCTTATGAAAAAAAATGTTCAGGGTCGTTTCAGGTTTCAATATATTATTGTATTACAAGTTATAAGTGAAATATTATTTATATGACAATTCAAATGTCAAATTCAAACACTTGTTTAAACATGTTTTTGCTTAAAATATTAGCTATTATTTGATACATTCACTCATTATTACTAATAAATTATTTGTTAAAAAAATATTGTGTTTTATTACCCTTAAGTATTGTAATTTATAATATGATATTACATTTATTATTTATATATATTTTTAAATAGTTTAATACATAGTCTTAATCTCATCAAATGTTTGTGTCATTTGTTTGCCTTTTTTTAATTCATTCAAAAACACATGACTTCACACAACAAACACTCTGACAGTCCGTCCCCTCAAAAACGTCACTATATTTGTACAGCACTGGTATAGTAGTAGTAATAGTAGTGTCCTCTCAATAATATTTGATGCAATTATCATGAAAACTAAAATTGAATTTATAGAAGTTTTTATTATTATAATTATTTGACAAATTGTGCTTGATAAGTTTATTTTTGTTTTAAGTTTTTTTTTAAAAATGTAATAAGTTTTTTAAAATCATTTTTTTACAAATTATATGTAAATACRAAATATTAAAGTATTGTAAATAATGTGCGCAAATCAGTAATAGTAATGAATCGGTAGTTTTTGTGATCATCACTCAGGCAATAGAGGCTCACATCCTAATGCTGTCCACTCTTGTCTAAGTTTCCTAAACTTTTCATTAAATAAATAAAAAGATATTAATTAATGAACACATTTTGATGATAGAGTCCATACAAACCACTTCTGGGGGTGCATTGGGTGTAATAAGCAGTTCCTTTTGATTAGGGGGTCGATATTTGGGCGGTTCAGGTACGGCAACGTTGGTCTCRGACTCTTGATTTAAGCCAACCCATACACCAGAATCATAGGAATAATGACCAGAACTGCGAATACCTTCTCTCGTAGGCATTCCTTCCCAAAGTCTTAAAGTATTTACTGAATGCATAGCCTCTCTGAGTGAAGAATGCCTGTCATCGGTCTAAAAATACAACATTTATTAATTAATATAAATGGTATTATATATAAATATTTCAAATAAATTTACCGATGCTGTCTGAGGTCTGACCTGTCGGTGAAATTTCCTAATCATATAATTGCGGACAACATATGCCGTAATTACTATAATAATTGATATAATGACAAAAGCRCTGATAACTAAGCCTATTATTACATAAGGATTATTAATAAGAGAACCCGTATTATTGGGTCTGTTATTGTTGTAATCTGTATTACTCGACAAAATCTTATGAGAAACATCATTCAAATCTTTGATAAAAGCAGTGTTTGATCTAATTTTGGATTCAAACTCTATTTTAGCTGATTTGAGAGCTTCTTCATTGATGGGATAGTTGCCATCATTTGATGGTATTAAAGTAAACAATATAATTATTGAGCCCAGCCTTGAGTCCATATTATCTAAACATTTAATGGGCACCCGGAGATATGTGGCTAATTGATGTTTAACGTGATTCAAAAATTTTTGTTTGTCTGCACCCACCACAGTGTCATAATCACCTTCAATTGTGATGGCCATTGAAATTGATTTTTCCGGTATATTTGTTGTGCTAATTGTCTATTATGTTAAAGTTTGTTATATTACTGCTATTAATAGTATATTACTTTATTTTATTACCGTAAACATAGGTTTAGATGTTTGAGTAGTCTGTTGTAAATCTAAATAATAAAAATATTTTATATTTATTCAATTGATATAAAAGTTAAATAACAAAACTATAATACCTGTCGTTGGTTTGATGCTCTGGGATGTAGTCATTTGTGCTATGGATGTGACCTGAGATGTCTGAGTAGTTACCTCTGAGCTCATATCTGTAGTTCCTTTATTGATGATTTGTTCCGAACTTTTTAATCTTCTAACTAAATATGTATTATTTTTGAGATCAGTTATCTTAAAATTCCTGTCAAACAAATTGCTTTCTATCTGTTCATTGCTCGTCACATTCAATTCAATTAAAACACTACCAGATCTTAGTGTTAAATCAATTTCATAGTTTGGTTTTAATTCAAAAGTAATGTAAATTTGTTGCTTTATATGATTAACAGTTGCATCCATTTGGTTGTCAATAAAATTGTTAAAATCAGTATAAATAATAAATTGAACATTCATTGTATAGGATATGCTATCTTGATTTGGCACATCTGTATCAGAAACTACAGGTGTTTCTGAAGGTATTATCGCTGTTGTCTTTATCATCGACTTARTGGTCGAAATAATTTCGACATTATTTCCATCGTTTGCAGACATTTCTGTGATCATAGATTGTGTTGTATTTGTTTGTGTTGTATCATCTGTTGGTTTAATAATTTGAGTATCATTTGATGGATAGTTATTATCGGAAATACTTGAGTTACTATTGTTTGACATCTCTGTATTAGAAACAACTGAATCTTGTGTAGGTATGGCTGTTGTCGTCTTAATTATCTGTACTTTAATTTCAGGTGTGTTTTCATTGTTTGCAGTTATTTCAGTGATCACCGATTGTGATGTATTTGGAGATAATGTTTGTGATATATCTTGTGGTGATTCTGTAAACTGAGTTTCATTAGATGATTGGGGTTTTAATTCATTGGATTGATTATCAATTATCTGATGGGATATGTTTGAGCTTTGATCTGATATAGGATTTACAGTAGTGGTAGATATAATCGACTGATTATCTGATACCTCATTAGTCACATTGACTGCAACATCTGATGAATCTTTATTATCAATTGTAGTAAAATCTGCAGAATTTGTTTCATTATTTGCCGGTTCTGTGGTATTATAGTCTAATATATCATTGTTGTCATTGTCTAATACAATATTGTTAGAAATGACAATAGTTGTTGAATCGGTCGTATCATTACTTAAATGATTAATATCTGTATTTTGACCAAAAACTACAGATTCAGTTGAATTTGGTTCAACGGGTTGACCATTGATATTGTCAACCAAATTACTAGACTCTGTATTATTAATATAATCGTTTTTATTATACATTTCATTGATTGAATCTGTAATAGAAGTAGTGTTCAATAAACCAGAACCGGTATTATCTGATTCTGTAACACTATTCTCTATAYTATCAATAGTATTATTTTCAACAATATATTCTGTGTTATTAATGACAGAATCTGTATAATTATTATCTGATATATCTAACGGATTAGTCATATTTGACTCACTATTATCATAAACATCAGCAGAATTTGAGTCAATAGTTGTATGATTTGAATATATTTGTGGAGACATTAATACATTAGTATTTTGATTGTTTTTCACGATTTGATCACAACTGGTAAGGCATTGATCAGTTTGTGAACAATATTGAAACTGTGGCGGACATAAACTTTCCGTTTTATTATTAATCTTATTAATCAATAGTTCACATAATTTGCTATTTGTTTGGTCATTGCATTCAATAATCAAATAATTTTGATCATAAAACATATGAAACGATGCCTTAAACTTATTATTGTCGGGCATTTCATCACAAATATTAGTGTTGCCGATATCTCTCATCTTAATTATAGATGAATTTACCGTTAAAATTGATATCAAAACTTTTATCATCTTTAAAACTCTATGTATATAACTTTTATTTTATAAAAATTTATAAAAATGATTGCAAAAAATATGAACTATAATTAATATATTATTATTTTTATTATCTACTGTGGATTATATTTCAGAAGGTATTATGAAATTATTTGCAAATAAATATTAATATATTATAGTATTTAGCGATGCCTTGATCTTCAATATTCAAATTTGATTTCTGATACATTTTTGATTATTTGAAAAATAAAATTATCTGTAAAACAATAAGCTTTTAGAAAATAAAAGCTTTTAATATAAATTATATTTTATTGATTATCAATATTTTGRTTATGACTTTTAAAACTAGCAAAACACATATCAAACATAATTAATGCATAACATGTATATGTTATACAATAAATTTAATAAATTTGATATTAATTGTTTCTCACTATAGTTATATATATTATAAATATTTTTTATTTATTGAATTAAAAAAAATTAACAAAAAATTAGTTCATTTTATTTTTTTGCAATTATTATGATAAAGTGTTTCTAAGGTAACTATTAATGTATATAATGACCAGATATTTGCTTATAAGATGTTAAAAGTTGACAAATAAATGACTGATTAATACATCAAAATTATATACTTTTGTATAAATATTAACATAAAAGTTGCCCTGAAATCAATAAATAGCTTTTATGTCAACTTTTAATTGATTACTATAAATCAATAATCAAAATCAAAATAAATCAAACAAACAAAATTATTTGTAATTTTTAATAAAATAGTTCTAAAAATGTTTTTTTAATATTATTTAATAATTAAATAAATTTTAGAAAAATTATTAAATGCAATGATTTATTATATTTTTAATAAAATTATTGTTTTATAAAAACAAACTTATATAATAAATTTATTATTATTTCATATACTGTATGATAATTACTTTATTATTATTATTATTATTAAACATTTAAGCTTATTTTTCAACTTAAATTTAATAGTAAATTCAATAAAAATTAAAAATGTATTTATTTACATTATAAACAGTTACATTAATATAATTGTATAATTAGTATATTAGGAATAGTATTAGAAATTGTAATTTACTGTACAATAAATACTAATGACTGTCAATTTTGACAAAACAAGTACCGGTAATACAATATATATATATATATATATATATATATACTGGTATATAGAGTATCTGTCTATTAAGTTAATAGTATTAACTAATGTGGTTAACCTTCATCCAGTCTAATGATATCATAATATATTATATTTTTCATGCATTTGATTAAAATTATTTATACATAAACAGTATGGTGTTATAAATAAAGATATAACTTAATAATAATTATTATACAGTACTAAAATAATTTGTCATAAAATTAAAAACTCAAAAAAATTATACAAATTTTTTAAACTTTTAAAATACAATTTAACTAATTTAATGTAGAAGTAGACTATTTGTATAATAAAAATTTATATTGTATAATTAAATTTAGTAGTTTTTAATAATAAAACTTAACCAACTAATTAAATTTAATAAATTTTTATGTGTGAAAAATTAAAAATTTGACAAAAAATCCCAAAATGCCATTAATTGCTGGTCTGGATATCGGATCTACAAGTGTTAAGATTAGTTTGTTGGACACAATTAGTCATCAAATAGTGGCTACAAATAGCAAGAAATATGAGTTTAAAGTGAACGAAGAGATCAGAGTTAAACATCCAGAATATTGTCAGCAAAATGTTTCAGAAATTATTGGCTGTATTCACGAAACTTTGGCCACATTTGATGATCAGCAGAGGTCAACCATCACAATGATCTCAATTTGTGGTCAAATGCATGGATGTGTTCTCTGGAATAACGATTCATATTTAAATTATTATTCAAAAAGAGGACAGTTTGATATCGATGATAGTCGGGTCAGTGATCTATACAATTGGCAGGACATGCGATGTACCGATAAATTCATAGCYTCATTACCGAAGCCCCACTCATACGCAGATCGTATCAGCACAGGCTTCGGGTGCGCCACTATTTTCTGGTTGACTATATATGAGAAACAATTTGTCCAGAAATTCAATAGTAGCGCAACTATTATGGACTTTATAGTCACCATTATATGTGGTCTCAAACATCCAGTGATGAGCACTCAAAATGCTATGAGTTGGGGTTATTTTGATCCCATTGGACATAAATTTAATGAAAATCTGTACGTTTTTATAGAAATATTGATAATTTGTTATTAATTATTATTATTATTATTATTATTATTCTGTAAAACTATAGTTTAAAACTCTTTAATTAACTATATTTTATTAGACTTAAAAACAATGGATTTCCTGTACATCTTTTGCCAACAGTTAGCAAATGTGGATCAATTGCAGGCAAAACTGTGTTCAATTGGTTAGGCATTCCTGTGGGAACACCAGTATTGGTGGCTATGGGTGACATGCAATGCGCTACTTACGTTAATTTACGGCACAACCCTAACAGTGCCGGTAAAAGTTATTGAAATTATATAACTATTTAAAAAATTAATTGATAATTTGTTATAAATTTAGTGATAAATATTAGTACATCAATGCAGTTAAGTGTCTTGAATAACAAAAACTTTACACCGGAATCAAAAAGTGTTTCAAAATATAAATCAATTGACTATTTTCCGTACTTTGACGACACCTACCTGTCAGTGGCCGCCAGTCTTAACGGTGGAAATGTATTACAACATATAATTAACTTTATTAAAGATTTAATTGAAGACATTACTGGTATTAAAGTGCCTGACAATCAAATTTGGCACAAAATTTTTCAATTACATCAAAATCAAGAGACAGACATCTCAGATAATAATCTATTAGTTAAGCCGACATTGTTTGGTGAAAGACATGATCCCAGTCTAAAGGCATCGATTGTTAATATTAGTAAAAATGTTAAAATTAATAAAATAATTGAGGCTTTTTGTAATGGTATCATTGATAATGTATTTGAAATGATGCCAATTGAATATATTAAAGAAAACAATATTACACAAGTGATCGGCACCGGGACTGTACTCATCAAGAATCCCATTATGAGAGGAATGTTAGAAACAAAGTTAGAAATTCCTATCGTTTATATTGAGAACAGTGATGCAGATGTGGGCGCTGTTTGGGTGGCATTTGATTACATTTTTAATACACAATAATTGGTAAATTAGTAAACATATATAGTTTTTATATGATATTAATAACCAAATTGAACATTATTTTTGATACAAATTTTGAATATTGTTTTTCTATTAAAATAAAAGTTATATATTTGTATTATAATTTATAAATAATTTATCATAAGTTGTTAACAAATAAATAACTGTATTTAAAGAAAAGTATTGTAGTATAGCATTAAACATACAAAAAAAAGCAATAATAATAATAATTTTTATCACTAATTAAATTATTAATAATATATTATATTATAGGTCCTAAATTATATTTGCGTATAAATTATTTAATAAACTTTGAATATTTTTGAAAAATAAATTTGAAATTTGTGTAAAAGCGATACCTATTGAATGACAAACACATTCTCATCCATCAAAATACAGTATTAAACAAAAAAAACTAAAAGAGTATTTAAAAATAAAACAAATGTCTATTGTCTAAACATCACAAACGCATAGATATATCATAAAATACACTTAATATATACATACTGTACAATATATCATAGTTTGTATAATAGTTATAATGCATTAAGACTCCGCCCAAAGCATTAAACGTTATAACATTGAGCGCATGTATTATATATAAAATATTTGTTTGTGATGTCATATAAACGTCTAATTTTGAATACTATTCATAAACTAAGTTATATTTAGTGATTAAACAATGATTTGAAGTGTTATTATGTTTAACATAATATGTTAACAATGATTATAATTACAATAACCGTAATATTTATTATTTAATGCATTTTTAGTATCAATATATGCTTTGGTATGCTATGCAGTGATTATTATTTTACCGTCGATGATGACAACAATATGAGGTCAAAGGTCAAAATGATGAGGTCTTCGGCCGTCTATTTTGATATCAAAAATCTATATCTGAGTCGATCTAAACTAAAACAGTCGTCTCAAGTGTCGGCACTGTTGTCGGGATTTGCATTAGTAAGTCATAGAGTATATCAAATATATGCATAACTTTTGATACCATACCATATGATACAAATGAAAAACAGGTAGCTATGGTGGAAATGGATGTCAAAACCGAGGGCGACAACAAAGTACCATTTGCTTTGCTATTGACATTCATAATAGTGACCACATTGTTAGTGTCAGTACATATGCTGGCGTTGATGATCTCCACGTGTATATTACCGCACATCGATGCCGTGGCCAACATGGGTGACAGCGGCGGTGATGGCAGCGGTAATGGATGGGCTCCGGCCTATGAGGAATCGCCGCACCGTAAGATGAGACACTATACATCCATTGCATGGTTTTTCTCAACAGTTATCGGCATTTTTCTCTTTCTACTGGAGCTGACAATCATAGTTTGGATCAAATTTTGGTATCTTTACGGCGGTTGGGTAGCCATAGTGTCGACCATATTGTTGATACCAGTTATCGGCGCCTTTCTATTTTTTGCCTACAATTTCTATCATAAATTAGTTAACTATAAGTTCCAGAGGACGGAACTGGTACTTAAAGAGTTGGAACAGTTGGCCCAACAGTTGGATACTAACACTACTGATGATAATAATGATAATTATAATAATAGTAATCACAGTAAGACTATTGCAATCGGCAGTCAGTTGATGACTGTCTAAAAGTTTTACTAACAATTGTATAATAAATTTGTCATTTTTACTGTATTGCTATTATTACTATTATTATTATTATTACCGGTAATTAATTATTTTTTATTATTTACTGTAAATTGTTTAACAAAACATCACATTTTTATTATAAATTTAATTGATATCTAAGTTAATGTTTACAATTAATAGGCAAATATTTTTCTGTATATTATTGTTATTGTCTTATATAGTAGTGTTTAATAATTTATTTGAATTGTTTGATATTAATAAAAATAATTAAAGCAATAAAACTTTTTTATAATTTTGTTTTTAACTATTTGTATAAACCATTCAAAGTATTTAAAAACTATTTCAATAGTAAACATATGATATTTATTTCTCAAACAGCACTTGAATTAATGTCTAAATACTAWTAATTAGTGGATAATAACAACCACTTCAACAACTTTTATAATAAATGTATCGACGAATTGGTTACTTATAAGACCACATTTCCCGTCGGGAATAATCAAAAACCAGATATCATACGCTTACCGATACCAAGTATGTTGAGGCCAAACATTGTTGGTCACCACAACCACCAAACATCGGTCAGTACGTGTGTATTATAAATAATTTATCATAAATTGTTAATAAATAAAAAAAAGTATTTTTAAAAAAGACAATATTTTAGTATAACATTAAAYATACAAAACTGTATTCATAATTATTTTTATCACTAATTATATTATTTTTACTTAAATTATATTTCTGTATATTTTAATAAAGTTTGAATAATAATAAAAATAATTTTCAAAACTATTACTATTAGGGTTGTGGCAAATTCCATCCCTCATTTAATATCCAAAATTATCATATTTTCCCTAAGAATTCCCAGGGAATCTATTTTCTAGTGCCACCACCTCTTGAACMATAAAACAATAAATTTTATTATAAGATTTGAATAATAAATATTRTATTAAACTGTATTTTGAATGTTAGATTTAGTATTACTAAATTCATTGAAATCAAATTTATTTTTAAATATTTCAATGAAATTTTATGCAAAATATAAAGTTTAGGTATTATTTATTGTAGAAATATAAAWTATATTATCCTTTCTAACGGTCTAAGGAGGAAAAATATTTTATTTTCCCTATTTTCCTGTAAAATTGGAGGGATTTTATTAGGGAACTTCCCATCTTTTGTAATTTACCCGAACTCTAATTAATATTGATGTAATAATTTTGTGTAAAAGCGATACCTATTGGTTGACAAAACACATTCATATAGTGTTTCTCATTCATCTCATTCATCAAACTATTATTACTCTCAAAACAGTGACATTCAGTCCATTGAAAACACTAAACCATTAGTTAATAATTGTCTGCTATTTGTTGTTAGGCTTTGAATGAACACAATATTGCAATCAATTTAGTCTATAATTAAAATAAATTTAATTTCACTCATTATTAGCAAAAACATTATTATTATTTGTATTATTATTTGTTGTTTGCATTTGTTTTTCAATTGTTTGCAATAATATCTGAAACAAACATATATTGTCTTTCCGTAACATTTGATCCATTAATAAGTGGTAAGTGTTTTGTTTGTACAGTATTTTTATGTTTAACTAAAATTAAATGTCATTTATTGTAATCATTACATAAAAATGTTATTATATTAATAAATGTGTATAGTTTTGGTCAAACATTATAATAGGTTTATATAAAATATTTTTTCGTTACAATTTTGTTAACATATATGATATGATATTTGACTAATTTTTCATTTAATGTCAACAAAAATGTGTGAAATATTTGTATGAAAATTGTATTTTTATTTTCCTAAAAAAAATAATTACATTTTTAATGCAAATTGTTTTTTTAGTTCAAATAGTTTTGTCAACTCATGCAATGATTTTGTTTAATATAAAATATATTTGTCTATAAAAAGCGTTGACAACTGATTTTAAATATCAATACTGTGTTATTGAAGTGATTTTTTTTTTTGTAATTCAAGAGATTAAATATAATTGACTGTAATTTAATAGTTTAACAAAAAAAATCATTAAATTAATATAACTGTCATTAAAATCATATGATATTTTTATTCTAATAAACTTATCGCTACTTTTTATTTTAATATTATTAYAAAAAAATAAAAAAGTTATTACAATAATTGATAAGATTTTTTATGAGTTAAATAATAACCTTTTTCTAATCAGTTAAACAAATAATTTTTATATTTATAAAATTTTTAATAAATTTTTTCGCATAACTTTTTTGTTGTTTTCACAATTAAAATAAAATACAGTAAGTTTTGCTTACTTTTTGATGAAAACACGTGTCAATCACTATAATAGTGATAATGTGTACTATCGGTAGGTCAGTAGGGGTTGAGTGGATATGTGGTATAGTTTGTCAACTTTTTATTAGTTTTTCATCTATCAATTTAATTGTTAAATGTCATAACATTTTAAAAGTATTTTGCTAAATTGATAAACTAGCCTTAAAATGGTTAGTTATGTTGGCAAAGCTATATACTTAATATTTTAAAAATATCATGACATTTAACAATTAAATTGATAGATGAAAAACTAATAAAAAGTTGACAAACTATACCACATATCCACTCAACCCCTACTAACCTCCCGATCACACATTATCACTAGTATAATGATTGATTTTCATGAAAAAGTATGCAATACTTATTGAATYTTATTTTAATAAATTAGTTTTGAAAGATGAGTGAACCGATTGTTAGCGATTCGTTTCCATTGTCGGCATTGCTGCCGAAACGGGAGACGACTGCGGCTTCATTTCTGAYCAAATATCCCGAATATGACGGCAGAGGTATAAAAATAGCAATCATCGATTCGGGTATAGATCCCGGTGCTGCCGGACTACAGACAACCACTGATGGTAAACCTAAAGTAATTGATATGATGGACGCCACCGGTGCTGGCGATGTGGACACGAGTACTGTTGTTGAGGCAGACGCCGACGGTTTTATCACTGGTCTTACCGGCACTAAACTCAAGGTATGACTGATTTCTACTGCAATAACAATCAATTGCTGTTAAACATTGTTTTTGGTGATTAATAACATATTGTCTGTAAACAGATCCCAAAACACTGGACTAACCCGACCGGCAAATATTATATCGGAATGAAGAATATCTATGAGTTATATACGACTAGAGGATTGTCTGACAGAATTGCCAAAGAGTATAACGAAGAAAATTTTCAACCAAATCACAAGACTGTAACCGCTGAAGCCATTCAAGAACTGCAAGAATTTCAAAACAGTCATTTGGATCCATCACAAGACGATCCCGAAGAGAAGCTAATTCGCGAAGAGTTGCAATCAAGAGTAGATTTTCTCAAACAAATGGATAAAAAATTTACAGATTTGGGACCAACTTTTGATTGTGTGGTTTTCAATGATGGCACTAATTGGAAGTTTGTGATGAATTTTGTTAAATTTTATTAAAATTTTATTAAATATTTTGTATTACATTTTAGAGCTGTAATCGATACTTCAGGAATCGGCAAACTAGAAGAGTGTACAGTATTAGGCAATTATAGAGATTGTTTTAAATACGGAACTTTATCCCATAGGGGTAGGCATTCAATAATAATAATCATAATTTGCGATYTTTATTTTATTATGACTTTTTATAATTTCTTAAGATTTACTTAATTATGCTGTGAATATACATAATGATGGTAAACTTCTGGAGATTGTCGCCATGTGCAGTGAGTGTCATAATATATGTGATTAATTAAATTGGACTAAAATATCGTTTTAATTGATAGGTGCTCACGGAACTCATGTGGCCAGTATAGCGGCTGCACATTTTCCAAATGATCCGGAACGCAATGGTGTGGCTCCGGGAGCTCAAATTGTCAGCATTTGTATTGGAGATAATAGGGTTGGTTCTATGGAAACTGGAACTGCTCTCATTAGGTATGACTTTATAAATAATAAAGAAATGAAAATGTACCGGTAATAAAAAATTTATATTATTTTWAAAAAATAAATTTTAAGAGCAATGATCAAAATTATTGAAACGGGTTGTCATGTTATTAATATGAGTTATGGCGAGTCTAGTCATTGGTGTGAAGGGTATGTATATATATATATATATATGAATATACCGTTATTATTATTATTGATTTTTATTTATTAAAAAACTTAATAATTTTTTTCAGTCGAGTATTGGATTTGATGCACGAAGTGGTCAACAAATACGGTATTGTATTTTGTGTGAGCGCCTCTAATAGTGGACCGGCGTTATCTACTATTGGAACTCCTCCGACAAATAAATCTGCATCAATGATAAGTGTCGGCGCCTACGTATCACCTGATATGATGGCAGCCGAGTATTCAATGCGTCAAAAAATTCCCGCAATGGGCTATACGTGGACGTCGAGAGGACCAACGTATTAATTTTTAATGAATGTCTTAATGAATATAATTATAAATATTATATTTTTACTTATTTTAGAATTAATGGAGACTTAGGAGTGTGCATATGTGCTCCGGGAGGTGCTATTACATCAGTACCTAACTGGACACTTAAGAAATCGCAATTAATGAATGGAACATCAATGGCATCGCCTAATGCGGCCGGTTGTGTTTGCATACTGTTATCGGGACTGAAGGCACTTAATATCGATTACTCGCCATTTAGTGTCAAAAGATGTCTTGAAAACACTGCTTTAAAAATACAAAACTACTGTCCCTTCACTCACGGACACGGACTCATTCAAGTGGAGAAAGCTTTTGAACACTTGACTCAATATAAAAATGCCATTGAAAGGGATGTTCGCTTTCATGTGACAAATGGTAACAATTTGGGTGTCTATTTGAGAGAAGCCTACGAAGTACAGACTCCTTCAGTTCAACCAATAAATATTGAACCAGTTTTTCTTAATGATAAACAAATAGGTGTTTTTGCGATAAAATTTAGTGAAAATATAACTTATTTWACTAACAATTATTTTTATATACAATTTTAAGATAATAAGCGGAAAGTGGATTTCGAAATGAGTTTAAGTCTTGTCTGTGACAAAGAGTGGGTCACTTATCCCTCGTTTTTACATTTGACTTACACGTCGCGTATTTTTGGCATCAAAGTTGATCCTCAGGGACTTGAAGATGGATCAGTTCATTTTGCACTTGTATTTAACAATATTAKTGTATTTATAATGATAACGTTAATGATATTACTATTTTTTAGATCAAAGCCTATGATACTAAATGTATTGAAAAAGGGCCTGTTTTTTATGTTCCTATAACTGTTATTAAGCCATTAAAGTAAGTGAAAATTGATTTATTATAATTATATATACAATATTAATATATATTTTAAAAGGATTACTGATCGAAATGCCATAGAAAGTACTCATAGTTATAAACCGGGTTATTTGAGGCGACTGTTTCTGGATATACCTGCAAATGTCACATCAATGGCAGTTAATATCAAGAATTGTGATCAACTCGAAAAAGGATCGTTTGTTTTACACACACAACAGTTGTCACCACAATTGTCTAACAGAACCGATAGTATTGAGAAAATGTTAGTATTATCGGCACAGGAAGACACCACTGTTATCATCAAACTAAAGAGCTCACGAACTATAGAAGTGTGTTTTGGCAAATGGTGGTCCAGTATCGGGGAAACACCCGTTCAATTGAATCTCAAGTTTTATGGATTGCAGCCATCAGGAGCTAAGACAACAATGGTTTGTTAATTAATTAATTTTTATAGTTTAAATAATTATAATATTATAATTTGTTGATCACTATTCAGTTGGCGAGTGAAGGTATTAGCAGAATAAATGTGATCTCTAATTATGGGTTTGAAGACATATCTCCCAGTATTTCACTACAAAGTTATACTCAACCTATTAGGTAATTAGTTATTTAATTATATTTATTAAATTAAAAAATATGAGAAACATTTAATTACAATTATTATTTATAGATCGACTGAGAATTTGATTCGTCCTTTATTGACATCAAGACGTGATGTAATACCTCCCGGAAGACAGATCTATGAAATTATATTGACTTATAGTTTTCAATTGGTCTGTAATATAATTTAAAAAGTTTAATTTATATAAATGCAATTATAATTTAAAAATTCAAATTTAATTTGTTTAGTCTAAAGCACAAGAAATTATTATTTCGTGTCCACTTTTRTCGGATGTATTATATGAATCTGAATACGAATCACAACTTTGGATGATATTTGATGCAAACACTAAACAATATTTAGGATCCGGTGACGCCTTTCCCGAGAAATTTTCGGTACGTTTTTAATAATTTAAAGATATTTGTAAAAACATTTGACTTATTTATAAATATATATATTTAGTATTCAAAGAAATTAGAAAAAGGCGATTACATCGTTAAACTACAGATAAGACACGAATTGGTGTCACAATTAGAAAAACTGACTGAACTGCCCATTCATTTGCATTACAAATTGGCGTCAAGTGTTTCATTGAGTATTTATGAAACATATCATAACGCCATAAGCGATGGTAAAAAGGCGAACTCAATTAGCTTACCGGCCAACTCACAGATTCAACTCTTTGTGAACGCAATGACTGAACCGCCAAAAAACATAACCACTGTTTGCGGCGGCTTTTTCTCAGGACATCTAACACTTAGTAAAGATGATAATCGCAAGAAAGTCGAAAAGTTTGAATTCAAATATATTACTGATAGCGAGTCACAGAAAAAGTCTAAAGAAGGCAAAGATTCAAAAGATAAGAAAAGTGGAGAAACAGATGACAAGTCATTAGAAGAACAATATAACGATGCCTTAACTGATCTCAAGATTTCTTGGATTTCAAAGTATTAGATGATATTTAATTTATATATATTTTTAATTTTTGTAATAAAATATTTTTAGATTAAAAGGCAAACAATCAGAAGATTTGTTTAACGAACTTCAAATGTCAAACAAAGGTAACAAACAGCTATTGTTTGCAAGACTTCAAGCACTCGACTCGGATGAAGAGCGCAGTCAGCATTTGAAAACGCAAATTAGTTTAGCGAATGAATTATTAGATTTAATTAAAGTCGAAGACTTGATCTCTTCAATGGCTGTCTTGAAATTAGAGAAGAAGGATAATGCAAACAATACAACAGCTAATAAAAAGTATTAAAATTCTTTAAAAATTTAATTATTTTTATGAATATTTTGTTTGTTTTTTTTTTGTAATGTTTAGTTTGGAGAAACAGAAAACCACTGCCATTGAAACATTAGTCAAAAAAGGTATTGCCATTTGTGATATCATTGACATTCAAACCCAACAAAGCGACGGCGGACTGTCCACTGTGGCGATAAGTGACTCGAATGCTATTTCTGCGGACTCCCTGTCCGATGATACTAAACTGTTACCACCCGTTCAAGTATTGATATCCGATGTCGACAATATATTCGAACAATTGKCTAAACTTATTGATCCATACGATCAAAAAGTGGCCAAATTTACTGAACGACACGCATTGCTACACAAACATTACGGACGAGCACTCAAATTGTTTAACAAACTACAAGAATCTAAAGCAAGCCATGAAATTGAACTCAAAACTATTGAGGTTTTATTGGATTTTATTTTTTCTATTTAATGTTATTATTATAACTGATAACATTAATACTGTATTAATAATACATATTGACATAAATTATTTCCTATTTAGGCATTTAATCGACTCAATTGGAAACATTTGGCAAACGCTTATAATCGGTCAATAAATGTTAAGTATCCTAAAAATTACCGATTGTTTTAATATATAATTTAACAAAATATTACCGTAAAATTGTGTTTTCCCCCATATGGAATTTAAAAAAAAATGAAAAAACACTTGCATTTTTACCTCCATTGCTAATAATTAAACAGTAAATTATTATACAAAACTATATTTTTCATATGTTACAAAACTCGCATTATTTCCAAAGACATTTCCATATGGAATAAAAAACACGATTTTACGGTAAGTATTTTTAATACAATTTTTTCTCATTTATTATTATCGCTTTTGAAAATTTTGTATTTTTGTACTTTTTAATTAAAAATACTTTATGTTTAARACATTAACTCTATATCGTAATTAACTTWAATTAAATTAATAATTATAAGTTTGAATTTTGTGGTAAATTACTAATAAAAAAATAATATTTTAAATTTWAAAAAATGTTTTCAATGATTTTTATTAATACAAAATACAGTAATTTAAAATAAAATAGTTTAACTACTATATTGTACAACAATTTGAAATTATTTAAATTKAAATTATATTAAATTGAATATATTTAATAAATTGTTTAAATATATTTAYTAATTATAAATTTAGTGTTTTATATTTTATTTTATATTATATTTTATATAAATTATCAAAAGTTAATAATTTTGAATTTCCTGTAAATTATTCTTTGATGAGTTGATTGAGTCTATCATTTAATTTTTGATCAAAATCGGTGAAGAACTCAGCAGTGGTTCGCAAACTTGTCAGACGACTGTCGGCTTCGAAAATGTCTGCAAAATGTGTTGATTGTTGACTCTGAACGTCTCCGCAGATCAGTTCCAGACCTTTGATTGCGAAATTCATTTGTTTTAAGAAAGTCTGAAACATATTTTTATGAAATCTCATTTCATCCATTAATTSAGTCAACAATTGTCGATCACTATCACTGATATTGTTATTGTTGACAGACTTTTCTTTAACTTTAAGACATTCACTCCACATCTCATCTAATGCTGTCAAGTATTGACCAAACTCTGGCTTCAATCTAATATCACGGAAATAATTTGTGCGTTCAATGAAAGCTAAATACATGTTTATCTTGAATTGGTTGAGCTCTTGAATCACATCCAAAGTAACGATCATTTGCCGTACGATAAACTTTTGACTATTTTGTTGGTRACAAACGCCGTCCAAAATATGAATGAAAGCAACGACCAGACCTAATATATCACTGATTTGATGCTTGTATTTGTCGCAAATCAATACATCAGTTTCATCTAACACTAAACTTTCAGTTGTCACCACTTCTTCATTACATAACTCGTCGCCACAGCTTTCAATAGATTCATCGCTCGAAGCCATGAATGGATTTAATTAATAATTTGTATTAAAGAATAAAATGAGTTTTTAATTAACTGTTAAATTCAAAGTAACATTTAATGTTAATATTTGTAAATGTGTTGTACTGTATATCACGATATTTTCTATTAATTATTATAATTAGTTCCGTAATATCTCGCGCTTAGAATAAAAGTTTTTTAATAAATTCGTTGGTTTTCTTTGTGTTAAACTGTAAAAGAGTTGTCATTGAATGTCTTAAACAGATATTTCTTSAGTTAATTTTATTTTCATTTCATTGTTTTTATCATTCAAGACATGACAACACAACCGATGGCATCGATATCTCTGTTTGACAGCCTTTGCGACGAATTGTGTTCTCATATCTTAAGTTTTCTGTCACTTAAAGATAAGGTGCGCTGCGAACGGGTCTGCAAACAGTTCCAGCGATGCGTTTATGTGAATGTCATTGAATTGGATATCACTGAAAATATGATTAATCAGATGAGCCGTCAGTGTATATCAGGAGCCGTATACTTTGATACACTAATGATGGCAATGTTGGCCAAGAAGTGTCATTGCGTGCATCGAATCAACTGTTTTGACGTCTCTCTGGTTGACTCTTCTTATAAAAACAGAACAACGGGTCRACTCGTCAAAGCTGTCGACGTATTGGYCAAGTATTTGCCAAAACTCCGTGAAATTTATTGGCCAAAAATGATAAGTATAAAACCTAGTCGACAAAAATATCTGTACACCCGATACGGACCACTGTTTCGATGGTGTGAATGTATCGATGACCAAGTTTTCAAATATTGTCMAAATCTTGAGTCATTGGACACAGTTTCAACTTATGCTATGTTTAGTGATAACCAATTAGTCGCTAAAAACTTGAAGAGACTCTGTTGTGGTACCGATGCGTTTGAGTTGAATCATTGGCAGCGAATAATCAATGAGAATAAGTCATCACTGAAAGAGTTACACATTTATATGTATTCTATGGAAAGCAAAACCATTGTCGGTATACTTCAAGAGATAACCAAACTCGAAGAGATGAGGTTTTTGCAAATTGGTTTGAAATTCACAGAAACGCTTGACTTTGACTCAATGGCCGCCGTCTTGACAGAAATGTCTGTGAAATGTCTTAAACTAAAACAGCTATTATTTACTCCAATCGATGGCGTCAAAGATTTATACGACAACAATGTCCATCATTTCAATACTTTAGTCAATACTTTGACGACAAATGTGCAGATATTTAATGCACTGAAAAGCTTTGAACAATTAACACATCTCTTTCTGAATATACCATTACCTCAAAATCACATGAAATTGACGCCAACTAAACACGAGATATCACTTGGAGTTCAACCGCTCAACAATTGTTGGAAATATTTGACACAATTGTCAATACATTTGTTAGCGTTTGTTGATATTATTCTTGAGTCGATTGACACAAATTGGCCAAAATTACAACATTTGGTGATTGTTGACCCAAAAGGCCGTATCGATGGTCTTTGTATGGAATCGATTGCTAGATTAAGACATTTACAATCACTTGACATCGCAACCATTGAGAAAAACCGTATCAGTGATCGTGACATTCAGTTGGTTATGGAAAGGTGTCCACGAATTAATCGTATTTGTGTCCACTATTTGGGCGATTCATCGACTGATTGGCAGCCAGTGATAGCATTAACTAAGACTGATAGACATATTTTTGAGTTCAAAAAATCTCTAAAATATTAATTAATATAATTTTTAAACATTTAATAAGTTGTAACTAAATTATATTTATTATTTATTATAAGTATTATATATTTATTTATTGCATTTTTTAAATAATTCATTTGTTACTTTTTATTCATTATATTATAAGTATAATTTTATTTGTTTTATTTGTAATTTTATATTATTATTATAGTTATTTTCAGATTTTATTATAGTATTGTTTATTTATTATTATAATAAAAAAATTATTATYAACAAAAATTTATTAAATATATATCTGTATATAACTTATTAATTATAGCTTTGATTTAATATGAAATGCAATCATAGGGTCGTCCCAATTACTTTCAACAACTATCTGAGCCGTGCTATCATTGTTGACAACAATTTGTCTACCCGTGCACTTACCATCTAAATAAGACAAATATAACATTAATCATTATTATAAAAATTGAATAATAAWTTGAATTAAAAATCCCTAACCGATCAGATTTCCCGAAATAATATCACAATAAGTACCGCCCGGTAGCCCAGTCTTAAGCAATTGATTGATTGGTTTGCTGTTATCATTGTTAATAGCAATAAAGGCTTTGTTTCCTCTTGAGAAAGCAATTTGGTCGCCAAAGTCCCACCAGTTGGCCACCGGTTCATTAACGGCCACATTACGGAACTTAACCATATTGTAGATCTGTGACCACCGGTGTTCACAAATCCATTGACTCGAATCACAGCTGAGATCGGCGTTACGTTTGACGTCAGCTATATTATAGTTACCGTCGTGTGGCGGCCCGATATAGGAATTGGTATCTTTGCCTCCCTGTGCCATATCATAGAAAGATTTTTTCGATAATTTTATGATGTAATTGTAAATATTATATATTATATAAACAATAATATGATATTGAATGTCATACCTCAATTTTTCGGGGCCAATAGTAGCTGCTCATGACGCGGGAAATGGAGTACGGCCAGGCCAACATGTAGGCAGTGGACAATTTCAATAGTTTCGGCTCAAAGAATGTAATGGTAACACTGAGATCGCCGGCGTGTCCTCTCTGCAGGTCGTGATTGTTAATCATAACCAACGAGTCTTGTGACGGCAACATAGCCCAACCCTCGCCGAAGTTTTTCAGATAACAGAGTTTTTGATTGTGAAGCTTACGGAAAACGTTACCCAAATTTTCGTAGTACTTGAACTCAATCACCCGACCCAGTGGTGTATACTCAGTGGCCTTGACGTTAGGTCCGTGCTCTATGTACTCGTGGTAAAACAATGGCTTACTATTGGCAGAAAAGTAGTCTGTATTCAAGTTATGCAATCGGGAAATAATATTTTGTAGATCTTGTGGCCATTGATGTTGCGAAGCGTCCGATCGAAAGCCGGCGACACCGATATCAATAAGTTTATTGAGAAACTCAGACTGTTTTTGTCGGACATACTCTTTACCCTGATTTAGATCTCGAAGTCCACCCATTTGACAATTTCGCGCTTCAGTCGGATTGTCTGAGTTGTGTATATTAAGATCAGAGTTTGGACACGACTCGTGTCCGTGAAAGTGCTCGACATTATAGGGAACGGCATCGTACCGGAAGTTTACCCCATCATATGTGTCACCAGCTGTTCCTCTGCCTATAGAAAAGATTTTATAAATTATAAAAATTAAAAATACTTGACAATTATGTATATTTAATATACCTGTCTCTGGCATTGACATATGGTTAAGAACAATGTCGACATATACCCGAACACCCACTTTATTACATCTGTGAACCATATCTCGGAACTGTTCTTCATTACCACTCCGAGAGGCTATCTTATAGCCAATTGGTTGATACCGTTCCCACCAAGGTCTATTGGTTAGTATAGCGCATTCGTGCACTGGTGACACCTGAACACCTCCGTAACCATACGGTCCTAAAAATATTTCGCACTCTTTAGCGATCTCATCGAATCTCCATTCAAACAGTTGGACAATCACTGACCGGTCGTCCACAAAGTGTGGATCACTGTTAGGACTGCCACTAATTGCATGCAATAAATTGCAAACAATTGATAAAATAATAGTTGTTTTAAGCATTTCTAAATTGTTTACTTTTGTGTACTATTACGTTACTATAAAAATAATTTTAAATCAATTACATATTAAATATTACTCTATTAATATAAATACAGTATAATACTGTACTTAATAATAATATGATGAATGTTTTCTCTATTTATACCAAATTCAAAAGTTATCAATTTCAACTATCAATATATACTAAATGTACTGTAAATTAATACAGTATTAATAATTTACTAAGATTTTTCACAATGTTATTGATAACAAGTTATAATGTTAAGTTAACATTGTTAACTATCATACAGTATTATTGAATACTTTTATTAAATTATTACTAAAAAAATTAACTTTTATTTTTCAATTAATACTGATATGAATTAATTTATAAATTATCTTTCAAGTGTTTATCCAATTAGCTAAATAATAATTGTGTGAAATTTATATAAAATTTTTATTTATTTATAAAAAATATAAATGCCTAAATTATTATTATTATAAAATTAATATTTGTTTTATAGCAGATGCTATTTTAAGAAAAATTAACAGAAATTTATAAAACTTAATTTAATCATTAAATATTTTTTAATAATTAGAATATATATTTAATATATAATATTTATAAAAACCGATATGTGTTAGTATATAATATATACTATATATCTATATGTGTGTGTATGTATATGTATGTATGTATGTGTTTGTGTGACAAAATAGATTAAATATTAGAAAATAATAATTCTTGACATTGAAAATAAAAAATAAATACAATATAATGTTAGTATACCTTATTTATTATTTTTTTAATAACATTATATTCAGTATAATAGTGTACTACAAGTGCTGGGATTGGAAAATCGAAATAGCATTTTATATATCTCTCAATATATCGGTTGCTAAGTAATTGAATTGTTTTCAAATAGTATTTTTTAAATACAATAAATTAACATTATTAAATATGTATACAATATAAATTTATTTCTTTATTATAAAAATTAATAATAACATGTTTTCACTATTTATAAATAGATAGCTTTTGTATACTAAAATACAATTAAATTATTTATGACATTTGTATAACAAAAGTTATGTGCGATCAAAATGATGACATTATTGACGAACAAATATCACTGACACTATCGGTTCGGAGTCTTATACCCCGTTCCTCAATAACCTCAGCAGACAGTAATGGATCAATTTTTTGCCGCATATGTTATCAAAGAGATACCGATTTCGATGACAACCGGGCAAACATGATAACACCGTGTCATTGCACTGGCAGTATGGCTAATGTCCACCAGCAATGTCTACAAAGGTGGGCATCAATTACATCGACCAATAGCTGCGATATCTGTGGCTTTAAGTTTAATTACAATCAAAGATATCCACCGGTTTTAGATGTTAGTTATTTATTCAATTTTTTAAATTAATATTATTATTGTTGTAATCATATGATTACATATAGTAATCTACTAAAGATTATATATTGATATATTAATATGATATACAATTTAAGCTAGAATGGACCATGATAATTTTAACATATTATATATAAATATATAACTTTTATTATTTTTGCAAACAGTTGCTCAAGAAATTTATGAAAACTAAATTCTATAAGAAAGAGATGTTAACATTAAGTTTGGTCCTTATTATAGCTCCTCTATTGATAATATCAACAATACTGTTAGCCCTTTATGGGCACAATCATGTCGATAGGTTTGATAGGTATCCAAACCATGAGTTGCTTGCTTTCAGTACAATTACTTTCATATTGTGGATCCTATATTTAAGTTTACTTATTTATACAATAAGGTTTGATTGCTTTATTTAAATGTTAAATCTTTTATAATAAGTAAATCGATATTTTTCTCTATATTTAGACATATTTATCGACTGTTTATTCAGTGGCGCAAAAATAATGCTATCATTGAATTGGTATTATTTGATAAAAATAATTGATTAATGATGTCATTTTGATTTTTAATGTTAAAACAATCAATTTAATAATTGGCTGTTTTAAGTCAGAAACCACTTATAAATATTTAAACTCATTTAGACTCAATTCATATTTAAATATTAGTACTATTTTTGATAAGAGTCTGAATTTATAGGGGGTTTGTGACTAGAGTTGGCAAAAAAAAGAAGAATTTCTAAAATAATAAAGAATTTCTGTAAAGTTTCTAAAAGAAATTTCTTGCTATATTACCCCCAAATTAATTTTGTTTTATCGATATTTTTTATATTGAAACAATTCATTATAAATATAAATATTAACTAAATTTTATTAATATTTTAATTAATATTCAAAGTAAAAAATAATTCATTTAATTACATTAGACTAAAAATATAAACCAATTATAAATAAAATTTTACAAAAACTAACTATAATTAGATAATTATATGAATTTTATAAATAAGAATTTATATATAATATATAATAAGAATTACAGTAATATATTATCATATTATCATAATTAATAGTAGTGTAGTGTACAGTATATTATTTATCATTAGTGCAGTATTACAATACAGTAGCTATAGATATGGGGATCCCATAGATATAATGATAAAGTTAAATTTCTATAGAAAATTATTCCTGAGAAACTTTCTAAATTTTTTTTAGGGAAATTTATTAGAAAATTTCTATTTTTACTTAAAAGAGTAAATTATTATATATTTTAATGTAAATATAAATCAATAATATGTAGCTCTGTTTGTAATTTATTTATTTATATTTGTGTCAATAATAACAAGTATATATTTATTGTCATTAAAAACAAAATATAAAACATGTCATAAATAAAATTATAAAAATAATATTCTTTTAAAAAATAGATTTTGTATATAAATAGCACAATATTTTAGCTATTAATCGTAATGATATTATTTTTATTTATATTTTTATAACATATTATTTTTATAATTGGTTTTTAAATGGAATTGTAAATGCTATTGTGTCACAATTAAAATAATAATTATTATTGTAATTATATTTTTAAAATTCAAAACAATCCATTGTGTATTTTATACTACTATATAATCTGTTTAAATCATTTATTTTTAGTTTTAATAAATTAAAAAATTGATGAAAATAAAATAATGCTTCATAAATTATAGCACCTAAGTATTAGTAATACAAATTATCTCTAATATAAYAAATTATTTTTCTATATTATTATATAATTTTATCCACAATATTGTATGTGAGACTAATGTTTAGTTAGAAAACATTAGGTATAAAAATCAATAAAAAATATCTCTATAAATTGTAATCATTAAATAAATGATAATTTATTCTAAATTATATCCAAAATGCTTTAGTAAAAACAGTATTATAAGATTAATCTTGCATTAGATTTACATAAAATGGACCCCAACTAAAGTAAATGGCATTTTTTGGTGAACTTATGTAGAATGAGGAAAGACAGTCAAAGCACTGGACGAATGTGACCCAACTGTCCCAATCGGATCCATATTTAGCTTTCATGGCATTTCTTAAATGTCTAACCATTATACTGCTAATATCATTATTATTTTTGTTATAGTTTAATGCCATTTCAAACTCATTGATAACAAATATTTCCATATCTTTAGTCATTGTCGATGAAATTATTTTAAGTTTAGTCCTATCGGTAAGCGTTTGCTTTATGTATAATATTAATATGAAAAAACAAATTTAAAATTAATAATTTTTATTTAAATATTTTCAAAATAAAATTACTAATTCATGATCCGGTCTACGGTTTTGTCGGAAGTGTTGGACTTCATCCGTAAGTTTTCGGTTATTTTCTCTTAAGTTTTTCACTTCATTCTTGAGTTGAAACTCATTGTATGACAAATCCTTGATTTTATTCTTAAGTAAAATCATTTCTTTTGTCAATAAATTCATTTGTTTTTTCAGATTTTCTTCACAATTATGTTGTGATCCTTGTTGTTGACCGCATTCATTGCACAGTTTGCTGGTGTCATACATACAACTAGTCTCATGTTTGGCCACATTAGACAACTGCATCACTTGAGTACAACCATTGGACTCAAAACGACATTTGACTTTCAGTTTGTTCATCAAATTAGTCAAACTTCTCGGTGGAAGTAATAGTTGAGAGGATGTTAGGCGTTGTCTATCATTAGGACATTTGCTATTTTGATTCAACCATTGAGTGATGCAATCATTGCAATACATTTGCCGACAACAAGAAGTAAACTTTGGATTTGAGTACACATGAAGACAGATACCGCACGTGTACTCCGAGAGCACATCTTCGGTGATGTCGACAAATAACTTGGGGTCTAAACCAGGCATTCAGTTAATCAATTGCTAACAAAACTTTTTGACAGTAATGTTGTGCTAACTTTTTTTTGACAGTTAATTTCAATTAATTGTTTTTTTAAAAAAAATAGTTTTTGTATTTTCACGCGCTTTCAAAACTTTGTTTTTATTCAAGTAATCAAAATGTCAATATAGTATTAATTATTTAGTTTAACAAAAAAACTAAATTATATCAATATATCATAATTTAATTTAATGTTAAACGTAACAGGAACATTTTGCAATAAAAATAAATACATTATGCAATGCATGTATGATGTCATAGGAATCAATTACGCGGTTTTTATATTTATAATAAAATAATTATTTTAAGAGATTGAGATCAAACACATTATAATTAAATAATAAAATTAATTTTTCATCGATTATCTAATTGTTATTCTCTGTCCACTTATGAACTGCCGATTTTGTGATCAAATTGTATAAAATTCAAAATTTTTTAGAGAATTAACTTTAAGAGTAATCAATAATATCAATTGTAATGGTGTAATGTAAAAAATACTTTTTAAATTAAATAAAATTGATTATTAAATATTATTTTATCTATAATATATAATCAAATATTTATAATTCAAGAAAATAATAGAAATCTGTTCTTAAAAAATCTCATGAATGACATGTCATCCAATGTTTTTATGTTGTCTTTATGTAAACTATTGGTCAAATTTATTGAAATTTATATTTATTTAAGTTGTATGACTTATACTGTGTGTGTATATAATTAGATCTAAACTGCTGTAAAAACTGACCATGCTGACCACCTCTATTTTGTACCATGACACTTTTAAATAATAATTATTATACACTTTCAATTGCTAAAAGTTTTTTTTGTCTCAAAATGAGATTTTTGTTTAATCGTTTGAAGTAATAACTGTCATATAATAATAATTAGTGAATTTTAATTTTAAATTTAAACTATATAAGTGTATAACAAAAATTTAAAAAAATTAAAAGATAATTAAATATAAATTGTACATTTATTAAAATTTTTAAATACTATTTAAAATTAATTTTGTATTATATCGTTAATAAAATGTAATTTTTGAAACTATGTATAAAATAATAAACTATTGCCCTAATTATTGATACATATTTTCAAAAAACTAATATTAAATGTAAATTACTACAACATAATAATAATTATTATCTACTAAATACTAATTAATGTAATAACGTATAACTTAATTGTCATATTAATGATTAGACTATGAAAATAAAATGCAATAAAAGTTTTATATGAATTATTCATTTATTGTCAATTATAATTATAACTTTAATTTAAATTAAAAACTATTGGTATTATAACTATCATATGATGTATTAATATTTTTCAAATATATATATTTAGAATTATTATTGTTTATTATTATTGTATATTAAAATATACATAATTACATAATTAATATCCATATATAATATAATATATAACTAATTTTATAAATATAAATATTATAAACTAAAAATACATGCTTTTACTATTATATTTGAATTATTGTTTATAGTAGTTATGTATTATTTGTTTATGCAGTATAAGTAATATATTATAAATTTATTCATTAATCAATTATTATAAAGTTTAGACATTTATACATATAACATAAATATTTTACTACTTATTCTGTAAAATAATATATAAATAAATAGTTAAATATAAAGTTTATATATTGATTATAAATAATAAATGATAATAAAAATATATTATCATTTTAAAAATAGAGTTCAATAGTCATGAAAAATAGAGTTTGAGAATGTATTAAATAATAAAACATTTATTTCATACATATATTACAAATAAATGATATTTAACTTTTTGAACAAATATTATTATTATTTAATTAATAATGACAACGAAATTAAAAAATTTATATAACAAATATCAATTCTTTAAAGTTCAAAATATTGATTTAAACAATTGTTTAATTGATGACATAGCTATTGATGATATTGATTACATTTTTTCAAGCGGTATAATTTATTGTAAAAAATTTAAATATAAAAAATATAAATGCATTTATATTTTAGTGCTTTACTTTATTAGCATTTTAAAATATTTATTATATATTTATTTAACTGACAATAATGGAAATGTACCGAAATATTTGTTTGACTTTTTAAAAAATTTTGGCGGTATTGTCACATATTTTCATATAATATGTTTAGATGTATCTATAATATTGTTTTTATATAGCTATATATTTATTAAATCATCAGATGAAGACACCAATTGGCTTATAATATTAAAAACATTAAAAGGTATTTTACCTTTAGATGTGCTCAATATTGACGATAAAAAATGTTTTAAACAATTTATATTGATATCACTTATTATTAATTATTGCGTGAAACTTGTCTTACCTTTAGTTAAATATGCTTTTATAATAATGATTATAGTGTTAATAATATTGAAATATAGTTTAAATACTTTTCTATCACATGGATTGTTATCAACTCTACTGTTTTATCAATGGTTTCATTATTGTCCGATCATTATATATATAATAACAGAATATTTTATAATTGTTTGTTTTTATTCAAAACTATTATTAAAATCAATGAACAAATTGTTGAAACAATTAATTTATACAGAAAGTGACAAAATATTCACAAACGAAATGACAATTTATAATATGCTTAATAAATGTAACAAAATATTTGTCAGAATTAATGATTTGAACCGTTTTTGGAAAAGAATATTCTTTGTATTGATCTATACATACATTCCATTTATTTTGTTTGTCTTACATCAGGTTCTCTTCGGACAGTTAGATATATCACTGCTACCGGTGCTTATAGTTTGTATTTTTGCTATAATAATGCTTATCATATTGTTAACAATTACATCGTATGTGTACAAAGAGTTGGAAATTTCAACAAAATTATTTAGAAAATTATATTTTGTATTATTATTATCGAGTAATTCATTGAATGTAAAATTAAAAGTATTTGAAAAATATTTCTAATCTGTATAATTGTGTTAATAATATAATATTTTAATAATTATTTTTTTTATGTATCTAAAGGTGTTATCAATGATAGAAACTATGTCTAACCGTAATCGTCGTTTGGTTGGCTTTTCGTGTGGAAATCAATTTTTTATAAACTCATTTAATTCATATAAAGTAAAGATAAATAAATAAATAATATTATTGCTGTATTTATAAAAAAAATATTTTTTTAAATTTTATTTTTTATAGATATATGTGATTATATGTAGATTTTTCATACTCGTACTTAAATTGGCCAAACAATTGAATACTTAAAAAATGCAATAGATTTGTTATACAAAAAAACATACAAAAAGCAATTTATCATTTTTAATAAATTATATTTATTAAAAACTTATGAATTATTAGTTATCATTTAATGATATTATTTAATTATAATATTCTTTTTTTAATAATAATATTTATTTTGAAATAATGTTATATACTGTCAATAAATTGTCAATATTGTACATGGTTAATTATAGTTTATAATTCTAAAATTTTATAAACTTAAATTAAGTTCATATAGAATAAAATATAATACAACAATAATACACTATAACACATAATGTACTAATATAATAAATAAGTTACAATTAAAATATAATTAGCATAAAATTGACAAACATATAAGCTTTCAGTATTTTTTTTAGATATTTTTTATTGTATTTTATTTATAAATTATAACATTAAAGATCCTTTAATAAAATATTATTATACTATAATGTATTGTATATAGTTTTTATTTATATTATTCACTGTTAGATTACATGAAGCTTATAGTATAAAATGCTCAATTAAATAAAAATTATGTCTGTAATTTATCTTAATAATGAAAATAATCCAATACTAAATATTAATATTAATATTTTGTATTGTATTGTAATGTTAACATTAAATGTCTGGGTTGCGAAAGGTTTTCAATCTCAGGGGTATAGGGGGTAAAATGACAACAATTTCAACAACAAAAAATCTTAGGAAGATTTGTGTTCAACAATTTTATTGCTTTTTAAACAATTTTTACTAAATTTAAGTAAATTCCATATAATTTTTTATTCTTTGTGGAGATACCCATACTCTACATATTTAATAATTATTTAATGCATTTTTATTATTTTAAATGTATATTTTGCGTTAATTAGAAAATAAGATATTATTTTTTAAGTTTAAATATAAAAATAGTTAATTTACATTGTTTTGTTACATATCAAATACTTTAAATAATGTTATAGTGATGTAAACAATTATTTTTTCAGTATTTAACTAGTTTTTATTTATTTGTTTATATTAAAACATACTTATTATTTATTTATTTATTTTTAATTAATATTAAATGAACCTGAGCCCCCTAACATTTTGGCTTTTAGGTCAAAGGATAGCAAAAAATCGTGATCTCAAGGGGGGGTAAACTGACTAAATCCCCACTTCATCGCAAACCTGATTAATGTATTCTAGAAAGTTAAAAGCTATAATTATATTAAAAGATACATTTATTCTATAATATAAATATACTGGTATTTTATATACAAAGGATAATATGTAACAAATATCGATATTATTAAAATTGTTAAACTAATAAACATGTATTATTTATATTAAACAATATACAGTATATTTTAGACATTAACTAAATGAATGATTATAGACTTAGTTATAACTTATAAGTTATAGACATTAGATACACATTTGATAAAATAAAATAAAATAAAATTAATAATTGATATTTTTGTCTCGAAATTAGAAACATTAGTACTAACAATAGATTATTATAAAAATTTTAATTAATTTAGATATTTTTGCGAAACGAATTCATTAACATTTGGTTTTGTTAAGCTCTACAAAACAAAACAAAACAATTCAAATAATTTCAATAAATCTGTTATTCATTAAATGTATAAATTGGATAATGAAATAAGAAATTGTTTAATATTTATTATTATAGTAAATATGAAGTAAAATATTAATAAACTAAAAAATGGAGTCTCGATTTTGTCACCATTTTGTTCCCGAAGAATCGGTCAACTTTTTAATGAATAACAATACACAACCAATCGGTACATTAAATTTTGCGGTTGAATTTTGGCAGCCATTTATCGATGTGAATAATAACAAAATTTGTGGCCCAATGTTAGGAGTGGTCATTGAAATTAGCAAATATTTAAACTATAGGTAAAATAAAATTTTAATATTTAAAAAAAACTGTTTGCAAATATTATTAATGTTTTACAATGATTTAGTCTGACATATATTGAAGACACTACTGTTGATTATATGCCATTTGAACTGATAGATCCAAAACATATTCATATTATTTTAACACCATATCCACCAATGAGTCTAAACGACACAAAATTTATTCAATATTTAAAACTAACAAAAGTTTTGAGTGATATACCAATGCTGAGCATATTGTCGGCAAAAGGTGTGTCTTCGCAACCATTATTTCGGTTAATTTGTATATTTAATGCCGACATTTGGATAATCTTTTGGATCATGTATTTAGTGTTGATATTGTTGTGCTATCACATACCGTCACCAGACAATAGTAACACAATTTTCATAAACTTTATCGCAATTATGTTCCGCCAATCGTTAAACAACTTTAGTCGCCGACATAGTATATCACCGATACTAATGATCTGGTCATTGGCGACATTCATATTTACGACAGCCTTTTCGGGAGCACTTTTATCATTTCTTGTATTTGCCGTCCGGTTCAGTAAAATAGACTCAATCGCCGATTTGGCCAAACAGGACATACCATTCATTATCTTTGAAGGCGAGCCTTCTGTCGAATACTTCAATAATCCGATGGAAGAGTTTTACAAAAATTTCTTTAACCGATCTATTGTTGAAAATCCTGAAAATAACAAACAAAATGAATGGGAGAGTCAAGTCTTTCATAAGATAAATACGGGACAGATAGCCATCGTTAGTGATAAACTATTTCTTGACTTTTATTTTGCCACTAAATCTATAAACTATACAAATCTTTATCGATCTCAAGACAATCAACTAGTTTTACCTTATTTTATGCCAATCACTCATAATGTTCAACAAAATGAGACAATTTATATCAATAGAATGTAAGTTAATATATATATATTTGTATTTATTCTCAATTATTATAATTATTAAGTTTTCAATTATATTAAAAATTGATATTATTTTATCATTAAAATAGTTTGACATATTTACTTGAAAGTGGTATATACGACATGTGGATCAGTGAAACTCTATATAAGAATATTAAAGATAAAAATCAAATTTCAACATTTGATAAACTGGAAGAAAAATACAATTATAAGCCAATAGCTATTCAACACTTCATATTAATTATATCATTATTGTTGTTATTATTTTGTTTGGCAGCAATATTTGTAATCATTGAAATAGGTTATGACAAATACAAAACAAAACACTTTAGTAACAAAAAAGATGATAAAAATTTAATTATTTAAAACTTAAACTATTATTGATTTTTAATTAAACATCTATTTATTATATAATTATATAAATAATATTGTTTTATTATATTAAGATTTATTATATATTAATAGTATTTTATAAATTTTATGAGAAAAATGATAAAACTATTAATATACAGTATATTAATATTTTGTGTGTAATTTAAATGTATTTCTTTTTTATAAAATAATAACATAATTTATAATGTCATCTAAAAATAATTTTTATAACTGATAACATTTGCATATTTAAAAAAATATTTAGCGATTAACTGACAAATAGTTCAGGTGTTGTTTATTGTTAATGTATTTTAAATATATAACTTCTAATGATATATCATTTAATTATATAATTTAAATTATATTATAAAATAATAATAATAATAGAAATATATTTGACAAATGGATATTAATAAAACTGAAAGCAATCCGTTTGGTGCGGACAACGATTTCGACATAAAAAATAACAATTTAGACGTTAATATCAAACTAATTAATAAATCATTTGAATCGAGTTTGAAAAGAGATAGAAATCCAGTGAAATACATGAATCAAATGTCTGACAAAATGGTTGTCTATAATGATATGGAAAGTCGAGTGGCGTTTAAATGCAATGTTGAACAAGAGTTAAAAGACTTGTGGGAATTGGTGTCAAAGACATGGTATGTAAAAGACAGCGACAGTACAGTCATATATCGTGCGCCCCGTATGGATGATACCATACTTTTCTATCTACAGCGTACTGTTGAACGCAAACCGTTTGTTTGGCGCTCAGAGATTGTAAGATATCCGCCCCGAGGAGCGCCTAATCTAAAAAATATTAACATAACGGGTGTCGCTATAATCGACTCCAAACGCACCGGTATGGGAGGTGAGGCCAGCATTTTAAACGGCGGCATTGGCTTTGATTTTGTGGACATTAAATTACAGTCCAATTGGTTTTGCGGATATTCATTTACAATCGTTATTATAGGTAAATATATGGACACCGATAGTGAAGTCAATTCAGTTTATCAACGATTCACTGATATTACAAACGATTAGATTTGATTAATAAATAAACTGAAAAAACTCTTTGAGAATAACCTGGTTTGGCTGATACCGGTCACTACAATATATTTTAAATACAGTAATATATATATTTGTAGATTTTAATGAATATATTTGATAATTTTATTAACTTTTTAATTAAAAAAATATTTATTAAATAATATTTAATTGATTCTATTATATTACAGAATTAGATTTAAAATATTAAAAATCATATTAAATAAAAGTGCGTTTATTTTATTAATTTTATTTTAAACTTATCCACTCATTTACATAAACTTATTTACACACTCACACACTACACACTTAGTCATTAAATATAAACTAAGATTATTAAAAGATTTGAAAATTTTTTAAAGAAAGAGAGTACTAAACAGTAATATACTGTAGTAATAAACTTTTTTTTAAAGATAAAGTTTAATTCATAACAATGTTTAACATTAAACTAATAAATAACATCAATAATTAAACTACCGGTAGTTGTATATTACTATACAACTAGTTTAAATTTGTTGTACTGTTTAATAATTTATTTTAATTTATTGTAATATTTAATTACATAAAATAACAATTAATTAAATTAAAATTTTAGATCCGAAAATATAAAAATATATATTTAACATATTAGTAAGAATTTTGTTGACCTAATTAAAAAATTACTGTAATTTAATATTAATTTCAGTTAAGTATTATTTATTTTGTAGTAATTATTATAATACATATCAGTAACATACAGTTAATACAGTAAATGTTTCAACTTTCTTAACAACTTTAATAAATATTTAATTTTATAATTTTGTTTGAAAAACTAGATTATATATATATTATTGTACTGTAGTTCAATATAAAATCAATATAACATTTTAATAAAAATCGTTTGAAATTTTTCTTTAGAAAAGTTAATTTATATACAGTCTTGTAATTTGATTGTATAACCAAATGGACTTAATTATTGAAACTCTTGCGGATATCAATGATATCGAAGATATCAGAGACCTTTGGGAAGAGGTCTGCGACTATTGTAACTCATGTCAGAGAAAATCAAGTAATTTAGTGATCGGTATTCCCAAAGTTGGAGATACTGTTCTCTGGCATCAAATACTCACCAAAGAGTCCAATTGTTTTAGTAAAACCAAAGCGTGGATTCAATATCCGCCCAAAGGATCGGTCAATTGTCAACATAACATCATTACTGGTATCGCTGTACTTGATATAAATAATGACGGAAACGGTGGTAATGCAGATATCATTGATGGTGGCATTGGTCGCAACTTTGCTCGGATTAAACTCAGGTCAAAGTTCAGAAAAGGCTTAAGTTTTCAGGTTATTATTATTGGAAAATATGAATAAAATACAATTTATATAAACAATTAACAAATTTTATTGAGAATATTTGTGTACTTTAAGATTAAATGCAAAAATTATGAAAATGTCATAATTAAAAAAAATATTAAAATAAAAAACAATTTGTCAAATCATAAAAATTAAACACAATTAACAACAAATTCAATAGTAATCCCATGTATTATCATATTTACGACGTTTTATATAGTCATCGAGTTTGAGATCAATGAGATCATCAATTTTTATGTTAGATGTGTCCGGTTGTATATCGGGATCTTTAAAAGTATGCTTACGTTTTCGTGACCAGCCAGAGATCACACGACCCGATGAGTCAAACAAATGTAGTCGCAAATATCGTCCGTCCAAATCCGTACCATCCAATTGGCGGCACGCGTTATGTGCGTCCTCATAGCGCTTAAACACTACAAACCCGGTTCCCTCCGATCGACCATCTCTTCTATAGTTAACATAACCCCTAATGAGAGGTCCAAACTCGTCAAACACTGAGCGTAACTCATGATCTGTTAGTCTCCACGTTATGTTTGCCACAAATATCTGACCCGAATTCACACCAAAATGTTTGTTACCTTTTCTGTCATCTGATTCTCTCTCTTCTCGTTTCTCTCTTTCAATCAAACTATTATATGACTCAATCAGATCATCCCTTTCTTTCAGTCTTTCATTAGATTCTTGTTTATCGATATCTTTCTTTGCAAACCTACAGCCGCTGTTGTCTTCATTATAATCTTTAGACAAATAATACGGTTTATTGGTTGACAAAAGAGACGGATCTTCTATGAGTTCATCCAATGAAAGTCCAATTATGTCATCCATAGTTGAGATATCAAAATATATAGTTTTCAAATTTATGACAACAATATTATTGTTTAATACAAAAATACTTAAAATACTATAATTGCTATATTTATTTAAGTATATGTTTTCGTTTTAAAGTTTAAATTTAAGCAATTAAAACACATATGCAATTTAAAAATTTTTATTATATGATAAACTTTTTAATTCATAAATGCATAGTTGAATTGTATACTTTAGTAAAGTGTATTTATATAAATTTATATGACTGTATTTGCTATATATAATGTATAAAACATTAACTTACTTAAAAAAGTACATTACCAATATTATACTGTATGATTTATACATACCGATACCATCAACATTGACAATATTCATTTATAGTACTTAAAAATAATAGTCTATAAATTATAAGTATATCTATTGTTAATATTGCAATAATATAATTTGTAAGTTATAATTTTAAAAAGTTAAAAAACAAATTTTACAAGAATTGTTAGTTTGATTTTTTTCCAAACAAAGTGTTGTTAAACTTAAGTGAATAAAATTATAAATTTTGTTTTAAAAAGTTTTACTAAATGATAATCGTTTATACAGTATGTTAGCGAACGCATTATATTTATTTATATAATATAATACACGAATTTTGTCAAATTACACAAATGGACTTTATATCAAATTGTTTTGCAATTAATATATTTTTAAATTGAATAAATTTGCGTCAATAAACAGATAGAAACTGATTTATTAAGATATACTATATAAGCCGATAAAAATATATATATAATTTTTTATATACAGTAATAGTTTCTCAATGTATTATTGCTAATCTAGGACTTATACACAGATTGTCACACAAATTATTGAACAAAATGCTAAACTATAGGAACAGATAGTAAAAGACATTATCATTAGTAACTCATTAGACTAGACTACTAGTGATACGACAAACAACTCTTTAAAAATTTATTAATAAACACTGTATAATACATATATTACAAGCTATATTACATATACATGTGTACATGTAAATTATATACATATACTGTATGTACAGTACATATATGATAAATGATAAAACCGCTGGTCTTATAAACATAAAATAGTTAGTTATGAAAATTTGTATAACATTATATATACAGTATAATATGTATATTATATATAAATATACTTTGTTTTGTTTTTAATTTAAAATGTTAGAAATACAGTATATACAGCTAATTTACATTGCTTACATAATATTACAAAATTATCAAACAAATGTTTATTATGATTCAATAAATAAATTTGTGTCTATATTTAAATGTTTAATGAATTAATTTTGAAATATTCAAACATTTTGATTATGAAATCAAGTGTTTTTACATATTGTCTGACTATAAGATAATCTCTTAATTTTCGAGCCGACAACAGCTCAATAAGTCTGTATTTGTTTGACATAATATCCCATTTAAGTGGTGAGACATCACTTGCAATGGCAAGTCTTATGTTATGCTGTAAAACATTGTTATCATTGTGAATATGATGTAACTGTTGATAATAATTGACAAGTTTGTCATCAGCACCGGTAGCATACAATAATTTATCAGTTGTCCACTGTTTAAATGGTATAGAAAATAATCTAGCAAAACAATGTGCACCTTGTATTGCTTGTTCAATCTATAACAATACAATTAATTAAATTAATTAAATTAATAATATTTTATATTATTTTATATTAAATGCAATAATCATTTTTTATTTAACAAAAAAAACTTACAGTAATCTTAGTAAACAATTGTTGCCAACTATTTTCATTTGGTATATAAGGTAACCAACCAAAACTGGTATTGAGTCCCAATTGTTCTAGATCATTTATTATAGTATCAATGTTTGAATTTATTTGTGTGTCCAATGATGTCTATATATTTTAGAAAATATGTAATATTAAAAAATAACAAAATTAATAAAATAATAATTGAAAAAAATAATTATAAAATACATACAAAATTTTGTTGTATAGCCAATGCTCTATTCCTAGCCATCGATGAACTGCTTATTATATACAGTAAAATATCATTGAAGTGTGGATTGTCATCAGTGATCACTTTTGGTAATTTATGGCACAAGTGATGCCAATTTGATGTGTCATCCAAATAGCTTCTATGGTTAACCATTGGTTTAGTTTGTACATCAGTTAACAAAAACTCTAGTATTAGATAAATATTTAACATAATTGCAGACATAATACTAATATAGTACTCATAGTAATAATAACTATTTTATTATTAAAAAAAAACTTTTTTAATATTAATTACAAAATGTAATACAATTCTCTGGAAGTTTTTTAAATAACTTGTTGATTGACAACAATAAAATCATCAAATAATGAGTTACTTTTTAAAATAACAGTTTTATAACAAATTTTTATTTGCGATAATATTCTTATTAGTTCTTTGAATATATTCCGACCGATTGTCACACATGTGTTTCAATGAAATTGACACTTAAAATACTTAGTATACATTATATACACCTATTGTTAGTTTGAGATTTATTTGAAATGCTTAGAAGAAATTGATAATTTTTTTATTGATTAGCAGAACAATTGTTTTTAAAACAGTACTTACAAATTTATATAATGTCCTAAAATTTAACAAAAATGTTATATTATAAATAAATGTAATTTTTATAAATTAAAAATATTTATAAGTTTTTATTGTTGAAAATTTAAAAACTATTTTATAAGAATTTAAAATAAAATGACTGTCAATCTTGCTTATATCAATACATTTGTTTACATTTAAAGTCATTGTTTTGTTGAATTTCAAGTCAACAAAAATTTTATTTTCATTATCAAATAATCTATAAATAAACAAATATAATTTCAATTATTAAACTAATCTAGTCTATTTCGATGTCAACTAATCCTTTTTTATGTAATATTTTTATTTTTTTGAAGGTTAATATTATATGAAATCAACAATATTATGGTTAGATAAATGTACTTGATAAATTAATCACTTGATTAATTGCAAAAAAATAAAACGATAAATCATACAGTAATTTATATTTAATTATATAAAATTTTAAACGTGATAATAACGAGAAGTATATAATTAATCTATGAGTGGATATCCTAACTTTTTAGCTAATTATAAATAATTTATATACCATTACGTGATACACATATAGTTATAACTCAAATGTTAGTTATTTTTAATATATTTCTAACAAAATAAAAATTTGTGGTTATATGTAATAGTTTAGTTGTGATAATTGGTATATCAATTAAACTGTGAACTGTGAGATGAAAGTGTTGTGTGAAATCAATTATTACAGTATATTATATTAAAGAGATTTTATTTAAGTTAATGCATCTATTAATACAGTATTTATATTATAAGTATATACGGAACTATAATATTGAAAGTGCTATATGTATGAGTATTTTTACGTTAGTCACACAACATTTAAGTCATTAATCAATTGTTTATCTCTCATCTTATGATTAATTATGAAATCATCAAAACTATTATAATATTTATATCATTATTATGTTAAGTATTGTATAATTATTATATAAAGCTCTCTTTTTTTATTATATTCAATATTAAAATATTAATTTTCATACTACTATATAAATTTAATTAGTAACTATAATATATTCTTTAATATGGAATCTATATATTCAATAGTATTTAAGTACCGTATCTTTTATTTATTATAAACAATAAAGTAATTGATTTTACTAATTATTAATTTAATTTATAAAAATATTTTGTAAATAATTCAAAATTTAATTGTGTAAATTRTTATTATTATTATTACTAAAATTTATAAAAATAAACTTAATAAACAAACATTATTGCTGTATAAATATCTTTATACATTTTTTCATTTAATTTTTATTTAATCTGTCATTAATCTAAATTAAATAATTATAAAATATATTTTTCTTAATCAATATATTATTATTTATATTTATATAACTTGGATAAATTATTATATTATGTTATTTATAAAATATAGAATTGTTTATTTATAATTTAATAAATTAGTAATAAATAAATTAATTATCTTTTTTGATAAGATCTAACACCTTGTCCTCCTCCCCACGATTTCAATGCTACCGTCCGGGTGTTTGACATACCGAACCCGATTCCAATGTTCCTGATTATGCATATAATATATTTCAGAGATTGCACCCGCAATGGCCAAACCAAACATTGTCATACAAAAGCTGAAATAGTTGTCTTGTTTATATCCCGGTTCAAGTTTAGACTGGTTTATCAAAATCAAAAAATAAATATTAACAATAAATATTGACAAAAATATACATTAATGTTATTAATTACATTAATTAATGCCAATTACTTACAAACACATCGTAACACAAATAACTGGTTGTACCAAATAGTACACCAATTATAGTACCGTTTCCTACATTAGCTATTGTCCGTATTATGTCCAGTACTGTCATTATTTTAATGTAATAAAATAATTATAAACTAAAATATGTTAATATGGCGACAATTATTACAATATAATAAATATACTGTAACAACAAATCAAATAAATAAAAGTAAATAACATACCATTTATAAGTTATAACTTATAACTAAAAGGTTATTCAATTTAATGATTAGATAATTATTAATTATCAGTTGAATGGGAAAACAATTGAAGTTAAAAAACAAATAAAATTTAAATACATATAAAACCAGTTTTTGAAGGCAATGTGTTTATAATTATTTGTTATTTATATTTATTTTATTAGTAAATTAAAAAAACATATATAAACACATATGTTATCTGTTAGATAACAATTGATTATATTATGAATAATACATAGTTTATTGTGATTTGAGACTAATAAATATATTAATCAAAGGCATTAACAATGATTTGGGCCGAGTTTGAGGTGTCGGTGCTTTAGATGGTGTCAGTGCTACTATCGGATCACACTCTYCATTGTTTTCACTGTACTCTTTAGGACATATCATATGAAGAATATCATTGGCAAAGCCATCAATCATTTTACTGATCTCTGCAATCATAGCATCAGTACATTTGGGTTGTGTCTCATCCTTAGCAACATTTAGCACAAGTGACTTGAATTTATTGAAATTACTATTAAATAAAATAATATTAGTTTAGAATCAATAATTAAATTTTTCCAAACAAATAGAAACTAAATTAAGATATAATTACCAACAAATAAGAGGTATTTTCATAGAGTTTTGTTGCATTTTGTTTATTGAAATAATGGTATCAATAAAGTCATACATAAGCTGATCCATTGCTGCTTTTCTGGCATTAGAGCACTTGGCTATCAAAATAAATGATTGTTTATTGGAAAGGGAGGAACAGTAACTCCGATGTGTCTTAACGACACCRTTTAACAAGACATTAGACACTTGTTTTGAAAAGTTATCCAAACATTTGAATGAGTGATCTTTGACACACTTCTCTGTCAACGACACTGAACTGTATAGAAATTGTGTGAAAWCATTAAATATATATATGTTTTAAAAAAATATACTTAAAATTAATTTTAATTGATATATATTTTTAAAAATTACTTGCAATGGGCAGACATCTCAACCGAATTAACCGGGAATAGGAACTCCGGTTTGCCGATCAATAACAGTGTTTGCATACAACTATCGGCACTTTGACGGTAATGACCACATTCCTCATGGCTTGCGTAGACAATACCGATTGTTATCAATAAATTCATTAATTTGTAAAAATTCATTATTTTTTATAAAATATTAYAAATAAGTTTAAAAAAAAATTATTTATTATACATGAATAAAATTTTAAAATAAAAATAATCACTTTAGAAATTAGTTTTTATACTATTTTTTTGAAATAATTAATTGAATGCCTAAACTTTATCTCATGTTTTGTGTTATCACTGGTCAGTATTGTCCAGTTAATTATCATTTAAAATTTTTAAATAACTTTCCCATAAATTGTGATATTAAATAAATACAGTATATATTGTAAAATAAATAAAGATAATTTAGTCATTTTTAATTATAAAATTTTATCAACTTTAGATTATTGTGATTTAAAAATTGATAGTTAATAATTATAATTTATGTCAATTTTAAAAATTACCAAAAAAATTATTAAAAATAAATACATATATATAAATATAAATAAATAAAAAGTATTATAGTAATAATTATTGGGGTCAACATACAACAAAATCAAATAATATATTAAAATAATTTACGTTATTTTAAGTCGATATTAATGTAAGGAAAACACATGTTTTAGTTTATTGATAAACTGTTTGACGTTTTATTACATATTAATGTTAAATAAGGTATTAATTAATATTTGCATTAAATTAAAAATTTATTTTTGTAATAAAGTGGTCACAAATAGTGGCCAAACAGTGATGTTTTGTCCGGGACTTCTCATCCCAACTTAATTAGCAATAAAATATACATAATTTTGTTGTTGTATATGATATATAAAAATGGACCATGGTGGTATATATACTATTGTTAATTATATATTTTAGTTTAATTATGATTAATATGATATATGATAATCAAACTGTTTGTTCCCGATATATGTATCCCTTATAGCAAATCTGTGTAAACCCGAAGCCAACATTGATTTCGGCGACTATTGGCTTGAAATTCACGAATCTTTTGTGAGACAAAGTCGTGACCGCAAAGATGACATTAAAGTGGTTTTTATTGGCGCTTCAATTGTCCAGAACTGGTCAGCCGAAGGCCTACACATATGGCGTCAATATTATGCTCCGAAAGGTGCGGTCAACTACGGCATCGGTGGCGATACCATACAGAATGTCTTGTGGAGAGTTCAGAACAAATCGTTGGACGGATTGGATCCGCGAGTCATTGTCCTGCAGTGCGGTAATTGCCGACTCACTTAACGGTAATATAAAAGTTATTGAGTTGTTTATCACCCATAATAGGTGCCAACAATCTGTTGACCTCATATGATAGCGTTTCCGATGACGATATAGCTCGTGGTATTTGTGCCATCATTAACGAGTTGAGTTCACGGCTGCCAAACGCCAACATATTATGTGTGGGAATAACGCCAATAAATGACCGCAATTTTCTCGGGAGAGCCAAACGTGTTAATGAATTGGTGGCCAACAAAGCCAATGAGCGAAACATCTTATTTTTAGACTTAATACCAAAAATGTGTGACTCATCTAACGGTCAACCTATAGGCCGCTTATTTACCGACGGTTTACATTTGACACGACAGGGCTATGATGTATGGCATGAAGCGATGCAACCATTGTTTGAAAGACTATACTAAAAATTATATGAATATATCAGATATATTATAGTATAGTATATAAACTTATATTTTGTTATATAATTATTGTTTGGTTAGGTATCATACTATTGTCTGACCGGTATTTATCTATTGTTTGTATAATAATCATAAAAGTTATTTAAAAATATATTTTTTAATTATCGAAATATTTTGATATTTGAAAAACAATTTGGACTAAATTGTTAAACATATTATAATATATACTGTTTTCATAAGTATAAACCGGTAATACCTTATGAATAAATTTAATTGTCTATATATAAAATATTTTATATATATATGAGATTATTTTGTAATGTTTTTAATAAATTAACTAWWTWTAAATTGATTTGTAATTGTATATTAATTTTATATTTAAAATTATGTTACAGTATTTTTACAACAAAAAAATATATTTATACAACAATATAAATTTTGCTATTTAATACCAGTAATGATATGAAATTATTAAAGTATTACAATTATGACAATTAGTTTATTATTTTATTTACATTTTTTGCAAATAACACAGTATTTAGTATTTTATACTTAAAAATATAAAATGATTTTTAAATATTAACTTAGTTTTTACTTTATATTGCAATATATATTGACAGTTCAATAAACAAGTGTTAAATAACTCATTAAATAATAAATTCTAATAAAATCTCAGAAATATCAATAAAATTATTAACATTTGTTATTTGCTCTTTCAATATATCAATTGAATYAATGAAACAATGAATGTGAAACTCTGTGAACCTGAACGGAGCTATTGGTTATCAAATTGGATGGAAATCCACGAATCATATAAAAATTATAGTAAATTAAATAAAAACAATATAAAAGTAATATTTTTTGGCGCATCTATTGTTGATCATTGGAAATCTGATGGCAAATACTTGTGGGATAATTATTATGTCCCTAAAGGAGCAGCCAGTTATGGTATACCAGGAGATAACATATCCAATGTTTTATGGAGATTACAAAACAAAGAGTTGGATGGACTCACACCTAAAATAATTATAGTGACAAGTGGTCCAGGTTTGACATTATTTGTATAATTATGATTTAAATTGTTAATAAATGTCTTTAATTTCTACAATTTAACTAAATTATAAAAGTTAAATAATAAAAATATACATTTAATTAAAATTTAAATTTTGCGATGAAATTGATAAGTTAATGTTTTTTATGAATTTGTTTAAAATATAAACATTAAAACATTATACTATTAATATATTATGTTTTAGGATATAATACGATATACCAACTCATTAAACACAATACCCCTCCTTTATCGGCGTGTGAACAGGTATTTCGTGGACAGAAAAAGATAATCGAAGAATTGAGATCACAGTTTAGTTATAGCAAAATGATAATCATTGGACACACGCCTTATAACAACTCAAGAGTGGATGACGTGTCCAAACAAATCAATGAAGAACTCATGAATTTAGCCGATAATCGAGACATTTATTACTTGGATTTAAGACAACATTTAGTCGATAATTATGGCAAACGATTGAGACATATGTTTAAAGATGGGGTACACTTAAGCACAGATGCATATAATATATGGCATAAAGTTATGAGACCTTTATTTGAACAATTAATTTGAAAACTAATATAATTAAATGATAAAGTTTATTGACTAAGTTTTATATTAAATATTTATTATAATATTTTATTAATAAATTATTTGAAATATTTAATTTGAAAAAATTATTTTTGCAATTATCACTCATGCATTAAATTATTTTATTATATTTTACATTAGAATTAATTTTATTTTTATGATATAATCCTAAACTATTGTATATTTTGCAATACTGGTATTTTGCTAATATTTTGCAATTTGATATTTAAATTTTTAATACAGCGTATTTCTAAACTCAAATACTTAATTTAAATATCTAAAAACTACATTTTATAAAATACATACCGGTAATATATTTTATATAATATTTAAATAATGGATGTAAAGCCCTGGGAACCTCAGCCAAACTATTATTTACAAAATTGGTTGAAAATTCATGATTCATATAAAAATTATAGTAAATTATATAAATCAGATATTAAGATTATATTTATTGGCGCATCGATTGCTAATTATTGGCAAACTRATGGATCCAAACTATGGGATGACTATTATGTGCCAAAAGGAGCTGTAAATTATGGTATRCCTGGAGATAATACATCTAATGTTTTATGGAGATTACAAAATAAAGAGTTGGATGGACTCACACCTAAACTAATTGTATTGACAAGTGATACTGGTTTGTATAAATTTATCATTAATGTATATAATTGATATAAATTATATATGAAATGATACTTTATTATTATTATTATTTAATATCAATTCTATATAATTAAATTTATTTAAAGGTTATAACACAATATGTCAACTAAATCAATATAATACTACATATCAATCGGTATTTGATGAGACAATTCGTGGACAGCAAAAAATAATTGATGAAATAAGATCACAGTTTACATTAAGTAAACTAATTATTATTGGACACACACCTTATGATAACTCAAGAGTCAATGATGTGTGCAAACAAATTAATACAAAAATCATCAATTTGGCCGATAATCACAATATTTTTTATATTGATTTGACACAACATTTAGTCGACAATAATGGCAGACCTTTAAGACATATGTTTAAAGATGGGGTCCATTTAAGTACCGATGCATATAATATATGGCATCAAGTAATGAGACCTTTATTTKAATGTATTATTTAAATTACATGATATAAGAATATAAGGTACAAATTATATTAATTTTATTAATAATAATTTACATATACTTTAAAATGTTGTTTTAAAATAGCAAATCATGTATTATCATTGTAATAATTTAACTAAATAATAAATTATTTAATTAAATAAAATATTTTTAAAATATAAATAATTTCAGTAAATGCTTTAGTATTTGCAGATATAAAGTAATAATTATTTAATATGCTATAAAATATAATTAAATTTTATTCATAGATGATAATTTGTACTAAAACTTTAGCGTAATATAAGTTAGTTTAGACTAAATATTAAAAATTTGAGTTCATATGTACTTATTTATCAATGAATTGTTGTGACATTTGGTGTATTTCCCATTTACTCGTATCTAATGTAAAATAAAAGGTTTATAAATAAGTGATTAATATATATTAAAACAAAATTCAAGAATTACTCAATTCTATAATAATGTTTAAATTACTTTTGCTTTGTTTTTTATATATAGACTATTGTTTAGCTGTTAATCCTTGGGAACCGGAACCGGGCTCCGGGTGGTGGCTTCAACGGCATCAACAATTAACTCAATACACACAACAACACAAAAATCAGGTGAAAGCTCTGTTTATCGGAGCCTCGATTACTGACTACTGGCAGGCAGAGGGCAGACCAGTTTGGGACAGTTATTATGTACCAAAAGGTTCAGCCGATTATGGCATTGGAGGCGATACGACATCAAATGTGTTGTGGAGAATACAGAATAAAGAAATGGATGGTTTGACCCCAAAAGTTCTGGTAATTGGAAGTGGACCGGGTATGACATGTCCTTTATATTGTTTTTTCAATTTTAAAAACTATATACAGTATATATATTTCTATAGGTTATAATACTATGAATAGATCCCCCTCTCCATCAGCATCTGATGTCTTGAAAGGACATCTGGAAATTATTCGTGAATTAAGATCTAAGTTTCCATTGGCTAAAGTGATAGTTATGGCTCACACGCCATATACCGATCCCAGTATAAGCCAACGATCCAAACAAATTAATAACGAACTCAAGAAGTTGGCGGACAATCAAAATGTATTTTTTATTGACTTAACATCGCGTCTAACTGATGGCAATGGTCACCAAATTGCTAAACTCTTCAAATCAGATCACTTGCATTTATCTATAGATGGATACAATGTATGGCACGAAGTCATGAAATCAACATTTGAAAGACTATTGCAATAATACTTTTATAAATATATTGATTACTATTGTATTGGAAATTTAATAATTAAAAAGTTTTATTCATATAATTACAGAAAATTTATTATTATTTAAAATTTAAAAGTTTTACAATATGTTAAGTTTAATGTAATTTATTTGTTGATAATATACTTTTGATATAAATTACTGTACTATTGATTCATTTAAGCTTTTTATTTCTATTTGCTATTATTTTGTAAAATGATAATACTGTAGATAATAATTATTATTATTGAATATTATTGAACAAACATATAGATAATATAACGTAAGCTAAATGTTTAGATACTAAATTGTTTTCAAAATGTTGATTTTTATTTATTGCATACCAATCAATACAATAGTATATTTAAAAACATATTTTTTCAAAGCATACTAAAAGTAATAATACATCACATCAATAAATAATTAATTTTAACTCAAAATATGCAATAACAGGGTTAAGCAGAGGGGGTAAAATATAAAGATATTTGAGATAAAGATTTATCTATTTCCCTCCCAGATTTTGTTGTTGTAAAATTGATAATAAAATAAGCCCACTCAAAATTATGTGCATATTTATAATACATAAATCATAAACATATCATAACTTATAATAGCTATTAAAATAAAACAATAAATAAAATAACAGTAAATAGTTATTAAATGTAATATTAACAATAAATTGTGCATTTTTAAAAGCATTGCTAATTTAAATTAGTTTTCAAACCTTATTTAAAAAAAGTTATTAAAACTATCTGTATATACTGGACTGTACTATGAACTATAAATAAATATATATATATACAGTTTAACAATAGATAAATTTWAAAAAAAATTAAAATACTATATCATTATAATTACAAATTAACAAACATTACATTATTTAATAATTATACCAAAATTAAAAAAATATTTAGATAGAAGAGTAAGTACTCGATAGGGTTATAGTTATGTAACTATTAAAGAATATTATATAATAAGCTATTATATTGTTTTACTACAGTGTTGTCAAAATTATTTTTAGATTATTCTATGGTATATAAAATTTTTATTTAAATAAAATAGTTATTATTTACAATAGATGTTTATTAAATAGTTTTAGTAATATTTTTATAAAACATTTTGCTTTTTTATACTTTAGATTCACGAAAAGTACATGTAAGTTGCAATAAAGTTATTTGATAATATTATCAAGTGATTTATAAATATAAGTACATTTAAAAAGCAATTACTATAATAAATGAAATATTATGAAAACAATAATAAATATTTGATTTGTTTCAATCCATATACAGTATATACCAGTGTTGAAAAAATACAAAGTTTTGAATTTTGACTTTGTAAAATACAGTATATAATATAATRTACAATATTATACAATTTTTAAAACTAATATAAATTTTATTTATATTAWGTTAAAAAATTAATTATAAATATTTAGTAAAAATATAATTGCTAGAAAATGCATTATTATTATTATAATCGTTGTTTTTAAATAATAATAATAATGAAATAATTTAAAATAAAAATTCAATAAAAAATAATATCAAATCTATATTTATTATAAAACATGGTTTAATTTGTTTATATCAATGATTTTAACACTAGGTGGCGATAAATTTTTTTAATAAACCAAATTGGTCATGTATTATACTGTATATACAAGTATAYACTTTGTCTCTGCCAACACTGGTATATACTATGAGTGTTTGTAATAAAAACAGTCTCCCGGAAAAAGTGTTCACATTATACTTTATAATATATAATGTTTATTATACACTGTATATATCGTAATATATAAATGGTATTATTTAGTAAATTATTATTATTAATAAAATAATATAAACTAAATAAAATTCTAATACTATCTATAGATATTTTACAGTAAGTTTCTTATTGACATAACATTTCTGTACTCTACACACCATTTTTATCAGAAATATATCGGAGATAAATAAATTTTAGGACAAAAATTCACTATTTTAACGACAATTAAACATAAAGACAAACAAATTATTTGATTTCTTTTGAAACTTTTGGGGAATTAATTATAATATATTTTAAAAATTGTATACAAATACTGTACACTCCATCAAAATATGCATTCAGATTAGCATTATCAGTGATTTAGGTTCGCTCAGGGACTACATTGTGAGACAGACAGTGGGACAGTCAACTACTTATACTATAATACTCACTGGGATAGTCAAGCAGTAGAGCAACTGTAAACGTGTATGTATTGCAGTTATTTTGTTATAAGATGTGAATAACCTCCTAAAGAATCTAAACAATGGTTTCACAAATATATATCATCAATATATGTGAAGATACCATACCCTATATGCCTATACCCTAATGATTCATACGKTATACCTAATTATTTACATACTATACATTGCCATTGACTTACTGTGAGTCTGTGACTATCCACATGACTGACAATGTTTAGTTGAGAATATACTGATAGTTAGTTATTAATCATATTATTAAAACAATTGCTATGTATTAAAACCACTTAATATTATGACAAGAATTTAATGATATAAAAATTCTTGATTTTTTAAAGACTATTACAAATGATATAAACATTGACATTGTTTTATAATTTTCAAACACATACATACAGTTTATTGTATATCAATTTATATGTTATATTTATAAATATTATATTTATATGATAGCATTACACACACCTGTCCTCAAAGTCATCAATAATCAGTTGTACTGTACATTTAGCTTTTAGTATATATATATATATATATTTAAATAAAATAACTTAAAAATAACTAAATATTGTAATAAAATGAGTTTTACTATAAAAAATTACAAAATAATTTATTTAACAATGGTCATGTTAATTGTTAATAGGTAAGCGTTTAAAATTTATTTTATTTATAAAAGCTATTATTATGCATACAATATTAACTATAATTAATTTTTAAAAATCACAATAACATAAATGGTAACTACTATATTTATAATAAAATTGTGTACAATTATTATATAATGTTGTCATTGAATTATATGAATCAATTTCCTGATTAAATCAATTTTAATATAATAGTAACAAATGTTACGTAAATTCACGCAAATATGTTTATATTTATGTGCAAATATGAAAATTAAAAGCAATATAAAAATAATTAATTTTATGTTTTTTTTAAATATGATGACTAATAATATTGTCGAAAAATATAATAATAGATATTTCGCTGAATTTTTAAAATTAAAGTTTTGATTTCAACGACACGACTTTACTGTATAAATAAAATAATATTTATTGCAATATTGAATGAAAACAGACAGGGATTACACTATTTAAATGTTTGTATGTCTGACATGTGTTTTTCATTGCATTTAAATTTATATAAAAGTATCAAATTTATAAAAATCTAGTCTAAAAATGTATATAACTTTAGATATAAAATATATTTCAATATTATTTTTCATATTATTATACTATTGGTATTTAATCATAAAAATGAAAAATTAATTTAGATAATTATTAATATATTTCTCAATTTAATAATTTTTAGTACAACTGGTGAACATGTAGACAATGGACAGCCAGAAAATAATGGTATGACTGCAGACAACTATATAAAGACAAAAGATATAATGAGACAACTGTTTCACATGAGATTTAAATGCAAAAAGTTGGGACAAAAGTGTACTAAACATAAGGACTGTTGTAATAAACATCTGTGTCTTTGGAATATTGAGGACAAGTCTGGGGRAAAAATTTGTTTTCTCTGACTTAATCACATTATATTAATATTTAAAAATATTAATTACATATTTATAATTATATATTATTATAAATTAAGAAAAATATTTTTAAAAATTGATTTTTATTAATAGTTATACACTGTATAATATACAGGTACTTTCTTATTGTAWATATWGTATATTGTATATAAATTTAACTGTATTATTGTAAATATAATGTTTACTGATAATCTTTTGTTATAGCATTTATTAATAGATTATTAACAATAAAAATCTTAATTTTATTGATATTATTTTTATTGGAATTTTATTTAATATTTGTTTTGTCTTAATATAAATGTTCAAATATTGCATATTTTTATACCGTTAACTGATTATATAAGTGTACAATCAAATGATATTTATTTTTTCACAAATATTTAGAACATACAGATATATGATATCCTATATTACACCAAAAATTGATAATAAATTGTATTACAAAAAGTTTACTTGAATTGTTGTCCAAATATTATTAAACAACTAAAATATAATTTATATTCWAAACCAATTTAATAATTAAAATAAATCGTGTGTTTTATAAAATTGATATTTTACAGTGAAAAAAATATGTTAACAAAGTTTTTAATTAAATTAAACATTTCTATAATAGTATATATATATTGTTAAATATTTTATTTAAAATGTAACTGTACACATCTTGYAATTAACCTATATTTTTTTATTGATGTTATTATTGTTGCTAACCCTAAATATTAAAAAATTATTAAATGTTCAAAGTACATTTATATACAGTATATTATAATTTATATAAATTAAATTTATAATACTTACTAATTGAATTTGTGTTGTATTATAAAATGAGCAACGTCATTTTATTATATCATTTATATATTGTAGCCTAATTTATTGGTTAACTATTCAGTAAAAAAACATATAAATATATTTACATACTTTGCTACACTTAAACATATTTTTATTATTTGTTATATGATATATATTTGTAAAAGGTATGTTTTGATGTAAAATTAAAAAATATTTTAAATACAATATATTTATTTTGAATATTAGTTTATTGTAAGCATATTATTTATTATCATAAAGTATTATTTATAATAATTGGAAGCAAACTAAATAATTTTATAATTTAAGTAAAATGATTAATTGGATTTTTGTTGATGTTGTTGTAATATATAATTATATTTATATGTTTGAATAATAATAACATTCATTAAAAATTTACAATTAAGGAAAATGATGGCAATGTATGATACTTTGCGAAACATTTAAATATTTTAGATCTCAAATTGATGTCATTGTCTAAATGATTCTTATATACTGTAGTACACAAACTGTACACTACTATACTACTGTATATATATAGTCCTAAAAAATAGTAAAAAAAATAATATAAGTTGTTATAAATAATATAAGATGTATCAATACATCAGTATATTTCAGATACGAGTTGAACGTAGGCTTTATGTTTAAATGTAAAATTGATCAGATAATARCAGTCTAMTATTTTTTTTAACAATCGACTGCTATTTTCTARTTAATTTYAGCWATYAATCAAAAAATGTTTAATTACAATATTATTGAKTTTAATATTATTGATAACTATGCCATTGTCTTTTTTWCATTTAATGTATGGTTTACCAGATATTTAATATATGATATACTGTAGTATCTAACAGTCGAAAGTCGAAAACAATCRACTTTYAAGTTGAATGTGTACTCCAATTGAGATCGAAATCATACAACTGTTGCATAAAATATCATAATTTTGATAATAATGATAATATGAATTATGAAGAGATGTAAAACATTAAACATAACATCATTATAGAGTCGGAGAAAGTTTTATCACTAAAGCTATTGTTTAAATGTATAATTAATTTCAATGAATTACCCGAAGAGTGGACACAAATTTTTAAGATATCTGAAAATCCGAGGACTAGTCGAAAATTTTTTAGTCAAAAACAAGAAATTAATTTCTGATAATTAAAAAAAATTATTTAATAGATTTATTTAATTCACTTCTGTTACTATAAGACTTTTCGTTACAATTTTAATTATTTTGTACAAAATATAAACAATTTTTAAATGTTTTTCATTAATATATTAATATTATAATGAATAGAAATTATTGGATAAAATAGTTTTGTTAAGTATATWKTAGTATATGTAAGAAATATTTATATATATTTTTAATTTTTATAATTACTCTGTATTATTATAAACTTGTTTTTATTGACAAATTATTAAATTGATAATTATAATAAAAATTTTATTTAATTAAATCAATTGAATGTTTGTTATTAATTTTTGATGTTTATATTGATGAGTTATAAAAATAATATCTATTTATTAATATATATTTACTACAAATTTTATAGATAAATATATAAATATAAAAATTAAATGTTAATTTTTGAATCAATATGCACTAGGTATAATAATTAATCAATTAAAATTAAATTTAGTTATCACTTATATTAAAGTATCTAATATAAATACTGTATAGTTTAACTTATATACAGGTATTAATAGTTTTAAGGAAAAACAATGATATATAGAAATTATACTTTAATAAAATTTAAGATATTTAATTTAGAATTTTGTAAAAATTATATAATATAAAGTAATATTAGTTATTAAAATTATTAGAAAATATTTTATTTAAATAATAAATAAAAATAGTAATTAAAAAGTAATAATATTGAAAGTAATGATTCAGTGAAATACATGAATCATACTTAAAACCAGTTAAAATTTAAGAATTAAATATATAGTTTAAATATATACTATAAAAAATTTTATAGACTCTTGAGGCTCAATGAGGACAGTCGGATATGGAAAAGATATTATGAAGACAAAGCTTCTCATAATTATGGATTTTCCGGTTATTCAATAACAAACTTGTTGTAGAAGATCGCTGACCACGAGTTGGATTGATTCCGACCTAAGGTTTTTGTGTTACAAATTGATAAGTATTTCTAATAATATCAATAGTAATGATTTTTTGTGTGTTTAATAAACGCTTTTTAGATTATAACAACTTTCTGTTAACAAATCCACAAAAATGGACACCAAATGAGACCACCAAAGGAGTGACTGAAATTAGTAGACAAATACAACAGAAATATGTGAACACAAGGATTATAAATATTGGATTAATACCAATAAATGACAACGAATTGGACACAAGAGTCAAACAAATTAATCAATTCCTCAAACATAATGATCACAAAAGTGTTTATTCTTGATTTAACTCATAATTTAATCGATTGCGAAATTTTTTAAATATTTTGATTTCATCAATAGTATAATTATTTTATTTAATATATTAAAATACAACAAATAATTTTTAAATATTTATCAATAAAACAATAATAATATACTATCCTATATCTATATATATTCTATATGTTTACTGTAATGTAAACATTTTAATTATACCATTAACTAAAGTGTTTGGACAAGTATTGATAATTGAATCATAAATTAATTTGAATAATCTATTTAACAGTTAGTTTTAAAGGATCAAACTTTATTGGGTTCGTATAATAATATGAGAGATACCAAACACGTGCACATCATTGCTGACCATCCATTGAGTTCTCCACCACTGAACCGAATCAGTCACTTGTTTGGCACCAATTTTCTTGGAGTCAAATGCCAGACACACTTCTGCCATATCTTTACGTTTAGGAGACTGTAAGATACGAATGCCATCGGAATAGCTATTCAGTGATATCTGTTCTTTGGTATAGTTTGGCGGCGAATCTGTGAAGTAAACGCCCTCTTCTTTATTGTCCTGTTTGACGGTACGGATGACCCCTTCGGCCAATATATTCAATACATTCTCATATGACGTGTAATAATAGATTTTGACACCCATTTAATAATAAATACTAACAACTCATTAAATTATTACTGAAAACATTTATAATATATTTTTTCTCAATTGTTTACATTAAACATTAAACATTCAATTTATATAAAATATTTGCTATATATTATCGTTTCTATCAAATTATTGTGTAGCTTATGTAAAAAAATTATTTAGAAAAATAATTTTCTGATTTATAAGTTATTATAAATTAAAATTGAACTATATTTGATCACTATTTATAAAACATTCAATTATTTGTTATTTTTTGTAAACATAATGATAATAATTCACTAATTCTAGGATTAAATGAAATTTTATTAAATACCTTTGTTGTTATAACGATAATTTTATAACAAAATAACTATATTTTTATAATGAAAATATATTTTAATAATTCAATTTTAAAAATTAGGTAAAATAATACAAAATTTTAGTACAACCTTATTATCTTTGATGTGATGTTATAATTTGTTAAATAAAGATTATATGATATTATAATTATAATAAATTTTAAATATTATTAAAAATGTTATACAGTATATATATATATAGTAAATAATTATGTTTTTTATAATAATATAATAATTTATGTAAAAAAATAAATTTTAAATTTTCTCGATAAAATTATTAATAAAATAAAAAAAATAAAAGTTATTATGCCGGACATATTAATGCATCTTTCACTACATCTTTTTAAATATAAACATGAATAGCATAATTATGGGTATTAAAAAACAAAAAATACAAATGTTTTAAATTATTTGTTAATTTAATTATCAAAACAATAATTTAGTAATAAGTAATACTTAATAATACTTATTATATTTATAACTAATAACTTTTACATAATATTTAATTAACCAATTTATAAACAATTTGAACAATAATGATAATTTAAAATATATTACTTATTAAATTAATTGCAACACTTATTATATAAGATATTTGTATTTATGTTTTTATATCCAATGAATAATTATATAAAACGATAGTTTCATTGATTGATATATTGTTTAGATATTCTTTGAGTGTTTTATTATTTGTCTGATTTGTCTAAGATTTTGTACTCTAAATATTCTATATTTTAGAGTAWTCTTTAAAATAATAGTTATTTTAATGAAAAATAAAAGATAACTATTTGCTAAATATTAAATAAATGAATATAATTATATAACTAMTTTTTTTATTTATCAATAAATACAGTAAAATAGAATGCTATTCTATAAAGTAAACAATTTTGTGTTAATTAAACAATATGTATTGATACAGTATGTATAATTCAATTTTATAAAGTAGTACATTAGTGCAAAATTTCAAATAATAAAAAATAAGATTGTATTAATAAATATTATAAACGTAAACTTACAATCTTTATTAATTGATAATTTTATTTACATTAAATACAAAATTGCTAAAATCTATTAGCATTTTTTCAAATTCATATAACAATCATTTGGTTAAAATATCATATATATAAAATATAAGTTTTTTATTTCAAAAATTAATATTTACAATAAATTATCAGCTGTAATTAATTATTATATAACTTATATAATATTTATACAGTATTTATATATATATATACCAATAATATATACTGTATGTAACTGTAATTTATAGTATAATATTAAAGCAAAAAAAACATATTTATTTTTAAGTTATAACTTATCAATCAATTTATAAAGTTGTAGATTAGAACTTAAACAACATGTAATAAATTGCAATGAATTTATAATATAACAGATTTTATAATTATAAAATACACACATTTTATTTTATCATTTAAATCAAAATTTTTATATTTCTAATTATAATTTTAAATATTATGTATGTATAATATATTAAAACACATTGAATATTAAGTTTTATTCCATATAGAAAATATAGTTTTGCTATTAGATTTATAATAATATTTTTGTACCACAAATAACATTAAAATTAATAAAATTAATGTTAATGCAAAATATCCAAAATCCATATATAAAAAGACTTGCGGATGATTTTCAATTAAGTTTCCCACAATAAATGGTGATACCATTGGACACAAACCCGAAATAAATGCAAATATTGCGGTCACATTGTTGGTCAGTTTGATGTGATTTTCAGCAAAAGTTATAAATGAACACCAAATGCCACTAAAACCAAATCCTAAAAAAGTAATATTAATAATTAATATCTAATGATAATAATAATAATTTATTACCAATTATAACATTTATAATCCAAATAACCAGTTCTGATGACTGTATGAACTGAAGAATAAGTAATGAAATAATAACAATAATAAAGTGATAGCAAAGCATAATATGTGGCTTCAATTTGAGTGCAATATATGCAGACACTAATCGTCCAAAAGTAAAGGCAGCGGTCATTACAGTCAAAATATCTGTAGTTTTTTGAACCGACAGATGAATTGGTAGAAAAGTAAAATAAGCGGAACTGTAGAAGAAATACATTAACTCAAGACCTGAGTATGTGTTAAGACTCAAAGCCATTAACCCTATCAATAGATATCGTATTCTTCGCGATGGTTGCGATAAATCACTATTTATTTGTATTTCATTGWCAGTCACTTGTTGTGTCTCTTCTTCCTTAGTTTCTTTTGGTGGGATATATCTCTTGAATATAAACATTATTATCATTATAATTGTGCCTATAATGACAATTCAAAGCAATTAAATAATTATWAATTATTAATCAAATAATGTTTTAATCTATTTAATAGCATCTTAAATAATTATCTAACATAAAAGTCATAACAATTTAATTATTATAAAAAATCAAATTGCTTATTGTTGTAAAATATATTATTAATTTTATTAAAATGCTATAATTTATTTTAATATTTACCAATAAGACTGGTTACTCCAACAATCAAATAGGGCACCTGTAGGTCAGATTTTCTATCAATTGTAAAGTTAATTTGATCGTCTTCACCACTGCTACCGATTTTTCCTTTCAAAAATGGTTTWGTCATTATCGGCGCTAAAATAGATCCCAATCCATACATCATTTGCATCAAATGTAATGCCGGTGAGGCCTTTTTACCCCACAATTCAATAATCCAAACCGAAACACTACTATCCCAAGCACCGCATCCAAACTCGTTKATAAACCGGGCCAACCATAATAAGTATATATTTGGACAAAACGGCATAACAGCCGTAAAAATACCGTAAAGTGCTGTCATTATAATTAGCACAAGTTGTCTGTTAACGTATTTAAAAAGAAAGCCAACTGTAATTAATTTTAATTAATTTTAAAATTTAATTTAATTAAACAAAATTATGTAAATTACCTAAAGATCCCATCAAATATCCTAAATTTGCAAATGTATTTACATATGATATATATGCAACCGATGTATTAAACAGGTATCTCATATCAAGCATTGTCGGTGCAAATATACATGTTATAATACCCTAATTTGACATAGATAAAATGTTTTTTAAAATTAAAATAAATAAAGATTAGTTATTTTAAACTACAATATTAATTATATTTATAAAAATTACAAAAAATACTTACAAAATTTAAGTAATTGTAAAGAAAAAGAATGGTATAAACATATTTATCCCATTGTCTTATAATTTTACTAATTTGACCATCATCACTTTTATCGTTTGACATTTTAATATATATATATATATATAAATCACCTAAAAAATATACTGTATATTTGATTAGTTATAAACAATGTTTACTTTAATGACTAGTCAACTGTTAATTATGTTTAAATAAAAAACTGTATTTAATTTATATGAAACATTAATTAATGATTAATAATTTGAATGTTTCTTATAATGAAATAATAACTTAATGACATTAAAATTGTCAATTAATTTTAAATTAAAATACAAGATTTAATGATAATAATGTATTATAACTATAATTATATAGATATTATAAATGTCAATTTTCTTAATACTTGATAAAAAATTTCTAATTAATTTTTGTTCTGCTATTTTAACTAATGAACTAAATAGCAAATTATTAATATATATTTTATTTATCTAATATTACGTGTCTTTAAAATAGATTAATTGAGTTTAATTGCAATAATCAGCTTATCTTAAAATAAATATTTAGCAATTGATTTATAAATTGCTTACTTTTTATAAATTTGACATTTTTAAAGATGATGTATTATTATTTAATCAGTTGTTAGTTTGTTTAGTGTAGTAATCAATTAAAAATATTGAGAGAAAATCAATCTAACTTTCCCTCTAAACTCTAATCAAAATATTTCCACAAACTCTTATCAAAAGACTAAATACGTGTTTACCATTTCTCTATAAATACGTGTTTACTATTATGTATTAAATGACTCAATCGTTGACTCTCACATTGTTAACCTAATCTCTATTATTTATTTATATTGCTTATTATATTATTTGTATTTAGTGTATTATATTAATAAAGTTAGTTATTTGAATAATGTGCTTAATATAATTTTACATCCAATTTGATAATCTATCTACAATGAAACCCGAGATCGATCCCCGAGGAGGCCAACTATTGATCGATCACCCAAATGATCCCATCCTTTATCTCTCAATATTAAAAACTTTTTATCTGTCAGACATTAATTTTTAATAAACATATGTTTTTCTTTATTAATTTTATTAATTAAAATAAATATTTAACTTAACTTAAATATTAATATTAAAATTTTGTTATTATTAAAAAACATTACATTTAATACATTTAATAAATAATTCATATTATATACTAAGAAAAGATAAATTAACTTTTTAAAAATACTTTCTTGGATTAAAATATTATAAAAACTGAAAAATACAAAACAATAGTTAATTTGTATGTTTAAGACAATTATTGTTTATTTTGTTGTTTGATTTTAATTAATTATTACTTAAGTATAAAATTATTGAATAATTTATGTTATGAAAACTATTGATTAACTACACCCTAATTGTAAATATGAAAAAAATATTATAAATATAATGTAAACTTAATTATTATTATAAATATAATTTTGCATTTATTTATAAATAGGGTTGAGGCAAATTCCCTCCTTCGTTTTATATTCCAATAAGTTCCCTATTGTTTGACAAATTTTGGCAACTTTTTAATTTAACTAATTTTTGACATTTTCATGTTTTAATATTTTTCTCAAAATTGTTTATTATTATTATTCATTTTAATTACAACTTTAAATAATTAAAAGATTTAATKTTATTATAAAATAAATATATAAAACATACATAAGATAAAAATGTATGAAAATATTATTATTTTTATAAATTATAATAATAAATCTATTATTTTCAAAACATTCAATAATAATTTAAATACTGTACTTATGTATTGTAAAATTTTTATATTCATCTAATAATCAAACTTTTATCTTTTAAAGTTTTAATATATCGATAACTCATTTATTAAAAATGATTTTTRAGTATTTCGATATTCATTACTTGTCTGTCTTATCACTTATTATTGTAAAGTACTGTACTTTAAAACTAATGACAGATAAATAAAATTACAAAATTAAGTTACTTATTATATTTTTTCAGTATTATATGTAATAACACAATATATAAAATAATTTAATATATAGATTACARCTTTTAGTTATAAATTACTTTAAATATACAGTGAATTACATTATTTTTGATAAATAAAAAGATATTAAATTTGACATTAAAAATAGATAACATAAACATAATTACATTTAATAAACACTATTGTAATAAAAACTTATTTTTATTTAATTATTTAAAAATAAAGCATTAATTATAAAATAATAAGTATTACAAGTATAACAAAAGATAAGTATAATTTGTAAATTAAAAATTAATTGTTTTACTTATGATTTAATCAATTTTTTATTATTTATAATTTTAAATATTATAATTTGTTTAATATCCTAAAATATATTGAATACTAAGTTTTATTCCTAATAGAAAATACAGTTTCGTTATTAGATTTATAGTAATATTTTTGTACAACAAATAACATTAAAATTAATAAAATGAATGATAATGCAAAATATCCGAAATCCATATATAAAAATATTTCCGGATGTTTTTCGATTAAGTTTCCCATAATAAATGGTGATACCATTGGACACAAACCCGAAATAAATGCAAATATTGCGGTSACATTGTTGGTCAGTTTGATGTGATTTTCAGCAAAAGTAAAATAAGAACTCCAAATACCACTAAAACCAAATCCTTAAAAAAAGTAATATTAATAATTAATATCTAATGATAATAATAATAATTTATTACCAATTATAACATTTATAATCCAAATAACCAGTTCTGATGACTGTATGAACTGAAGAATAAGTAATGAAATAATAACAATAATAAAGTGATAGCAAAGCATAATATGTGGTTTCAATTTGAGTGCAATATATGCAGACACTAATCGTCCAAAAGTAAAGGCAGCGGTCATTACAGTCAAAATATCTGTAGTTTTTTGAACCGACAGATGAATTGGTAGAAAAGTGAAATAAGCGGAACTGTAGAAGAAATACATTAACTCAAGACCTGAGTATGTGTTAAGACTCAAAGCCATTAACCCTATCAATAGATATCGTATTCTTCGCGATGGTTGCGATAAATCACTATTTATTTGCATTTCATTGTCAGTCACTTGTTGTGTCTCTTCTTCCTTAGTTTCTTTTGGTGGGATATATCTCTTGAATATAAACATAATGACCAATAAAATTGTGCCTATAATGACAATTGAAAGTATTAAACAAATAAGTAATACAGAAGTAATTTATAAAACTTAGTTATARTTACTTATCTTAAAAATAAAAAAGATATCATTATTGTTATTAAAATGTTAAATTTTATTTTAATATTTACCAATAAGACTGGTTCCTCCAACAATCAAATAGGGCACCTGTAGGTCAGATTTTCTATCGATTRTAAAGTTAATTTGATCGTCTTCATCACTGCTACCGATTATTCCTTTCAAAAATGGTTTAGTCATTATCGGCGCTATAATAGATCCCAATCCATACATCATTGCAGATAAATGCAGTGTTGRTGAGGCCTTTTTACCCCACAGTTCTATAATCCAAACCGAAAGACTACTATCCCAAGCACCGCATCCAATCGCACTGATAAATTGGGCCAACCATAATAWGTATACATTTGGACAAAACGGCATAACAGCCGTAAAAATACTGTAAAGTGCTGTCATTATAATTAGTACAAGTTGTCTGTTAACGTATTTAAAAATAAAGCCAACTATAATTAATTAAATTAATATATTAATTTCAAAACTTAATTTAAATCAACAAAATTTTGTATACCTAAAGAACCCAACAAATAACCTAAATTTGAAAATGTATTTACATATGATATATATGCAACCGATGTTTTAAATAGGTATCTCATATCAATCATTGTCGGTGCAAATATACATGTTACAATACCCTAATTTGACATAGATAAATATTTTTTAAAAATTAAATAAATACAAATTATTTACTTTAAAATACAATATTAATTATATTTACAAAAAGTTATGAAAAAATACTTACAAAATTTAAGTAATTGTAAAGAAAAAGAATGGTATAAACATATTTATCCCATTGTTTTATAATATTACTAATTTTACTTTTATCATTTGACATTTTAATAAATTAATATATAAAAATCACTTTAAAAATAATATGTATATTTGACATGCAATGCAATGTATACTATAATGAATAGTATATTTAAAAGTTACAAATAACTAATAGTCAAATGTTAAATCATGTTTAAATATGTAACTGTATTTAACTTATATAAAAAATATTAACTTTCTAAATGCTAATTTATCATAAAATAATATCCCAATGATATTAAATTGTTAGTTTATTTTATATTAAAATACATAATTTAATGATAATAATGTATTATAACGATAATTATACAGATATTATAAATGTCAATTTTCTAAATACTTGATAAAAATTAGCAATTTATTAAGAAAATTTGAACTAACAAATAGAGTAGCAATTATTAATAAATATTTTTTTTATCTAATATTATGTGTCTTAAAAATAGATTAATTGAGTTTAATTGCACTAATCAGCTTATCTTAATATAAATATTTAACAATTGATTTATAAATTAATTACTTTTTTAAATTTTACATTTTTAAAGATGATGTGTTTTTATGTAATCAGTTGTTGCATTATAATAAAAATAACAAACATTATATTAAAATTATGTTTAATTTAGTAAATATATTAATAGTATAATCATTTTTAAAAAATTAACAAAATAAAAACATATGTATAATTATAAACTGTTAAATTACTGATAAATAAGTTTAATATATTTGATAATTATTTTAATATTTAAATTTCTCATTAAAATTATATTTTAAATTTTTACAAATCTCTAAACATTCACAATATATTGAATTACTTAAATACTGTAAATACACAATAACTGCATATCTCGAACCCCTCGCACCCTAACCTCACTAATGGTAAACACACGGCTCTGAAATATATCTTAGTTGACCGCCAGTGCTGATGAAGGAAAGTAGTATCTCTTTCTGAAACACGTGTCCAATATATCGCTAGTTATTGCGGTTAACTAAGTTTGGCCAACAAGTAAGTGATTGAATCACATAAATTTATTAAAAATGAGTCCCAACTACACAAAACACAATGATTTAATTGATAATTATTTGATATAATAATATTAAAATATTAATTTTTACATTATATTTAAAAAACAATATAATATTTATTAATTTTTATTAAAATATTATACAAATTTAAAAACTTAATAAGAATAATAATTCTTAATTAATATTTAATAAATTACTACATTTTTTCATTTTAAAAGAAATTATTATTATATTAATATTAGATGATATTTTTTATTTACATATTATATTATTTCATTTATAATTATATTTTACAGACAAAATTTAATTATATTTAATTATTCTAATCAGTTACTAATACTTATAAAATTATTTATATTYTATTGTTTTTGTGTTATTAGAACAAAGAAGTATAAAAATAAATTTTAAATAATTAAAAATAATTAAAGTAACTTAAAAAATATATATACAAAATCATTAAATTTAAATTTAATTATTTATTAAGTGTATAACACGCGGGATATCGTWGAGRWCTGATTAGTAAGAAAATACTCGACGATATGGCAAATATTGATGTTATATTATTAGTGAGTTTTATGTGATTTTCGCCAAATGAAAAATATGATGACCACATGGCACTGAAACCAAAACCTGTATTATTATAATAATTGTTAATTATTATAATAAAAATTAATAATAAAATAATATACCTATAAATGCATTTCCGATCCAAATAAGCAGTTCTATGTCTTGTCCGAAATGAAGTATAATTAATGAAATAACTATTATAATTGAGTGATAGGTTAACATAGTTTCCGGTTTGAGTTTTGTTGAAACAAATGCTGAGACTAATCGGCCCAATGTATAGGCGATAGTCATTATCATCATTATCTCTGCTCCATCTTTAGCCGATATATGTATTGGGATGTATTGGTTGTAAGTGGAACTGTAGTTAAAGTAGGAGTTTTCACACGCGGAATAAGAGTTTAGACTCAATGCTATTAARATAATTATATAAATCCTATATTTGGATGACTTTTCCATTGGTTTATCAATAGTTATTATCAGAACTCTTGGATCGGTTGATATTTGTTTTGTCGTCACAATCTTTTTGTGTATTTATTTCTGGTATTTTATATCTTTTAAAAATGAACATTAATAGTAAAGCAGTCGGAACTATAAATAATAATCAAATTTTAATTATTCCTAACAATAAATTATAAATATTAAATTTATATATTGTATATTATGATACATATCTAAATCTGTAAATTACTTTACAATGTATTCAAATAACTGACCTATAAGTCCAGCGCCACCTGAAATAAGGTAAGGCATTATAAGCAGTGGTCGCCTATCGATTGAATAATTAATGTCATCGGTTTCCGTTGAGTTTGATTGTGATTGTATTGTCGGTGTTGTTGTCGTTTGTATGCCTTCCGAGAGATCACCTATAAGATAGGGCCGGGCAATGATGGGCGCGAGGATTGAACCCAAACCAAACATCATTTGTGATAATTGTAAGAAAGCGGGACTTTTGTTGCCCCACATTTCAATAGTCCAAACGGCATTACTGCAATCCCAGGCCCCACAGCCTACCGAATTGAGAAATGTACTCAAATACAGGAGCCATATGTTKGGACAAAATGGCATTAATATTGCAAAGACATTCATGAAAGCTGTGGCCACTATTAATGTCAATTGACGGTTAATATATTTATATGTAAATCCAACTATAGTACAAACAAATAAATAACATTTTTAATATATATATATATATATATMTATAATCTTATATATTAATATTTTTTTTCAATTATTTGATACATTATGACTTGAATGCTTACCAAAAGATCCGATCAAATATCCGCCACTAAGACAAGTGCAGACAAGTGTTATACTTTGCATTGATGTCCTAAACATAAACTTCATGTCATTCATTGTCGGCGCAAACATACTGTTAACAACACCCTAATTGTAAGTTTGAATCAAATATTATACATATAATGTAAAATGATTATAATAAATACTATTGTTTGTTATATATTTACATAATTAAGATAAGCGACCAAAATAATAACAGTATAAACATATTTATCCCAATTGGTAGCAAATTTTTGATACCATTTTGTTGCTGTATTTTCATTAATTTTTTCATTATTGTTAGAATTATTATTATTATTATTAATGTTATCAACAATTTTAAGATTTTCAATATATGTTTTTTCAATGTTTGTCAAAGAGGCAATTGATGACCGAATATTTCTAATACTTTTAATATACATTTTTACTTTTTAAAAATAAATATTAGTTACTTATTAATACATATATTTTACTATTGTTTTAAAATTTGCTTTTTATAAATCAATTATTGGCACTAATAAATAATTAGAATAAAACAAAAGCTTTAATAATAATCGACAATCTTTTGTTTAATTATAATTTTATAGCAAATAAGATATCTATTACTTAATTCATATAAATTATGTCATTATAAGGATTTAGATAATTGTACAAAATTGCAGTTTCAAAAAATTACTGCGAATTTTTACAATAATATCTAAAATATTTTATTAATCTTATATATCATAAAAAACTAATGCTTAATTATTTTTCAAATAAAATAAAATTAAAAAATCTTGTTATGCTTTTTTATTGATATATTGTTTAAACAAAATTAATTTTTCATACGTATGTTATTAATAATCATAAATAACATCATTTTATAATAAATAGATTTTATTTAATTTTGTTAATACTGTAGTATTCATTAATTTTAATAATTTACTTATATTTTATGCAACTTATTTCAATAATTTAAAATTGTAATTAAAATATTTGAACTYTATTTATCAATAGTTTATTACAAAATTACAATTAGTTTAATAAAGTAATTATCAAAATGTTATCATTAAAAACATTTATTTTATTTATACAGATAATTAATAATAATTTTTTTTAAAGTGGATCTATCCGTTGGTAAGTGTAATGAATAATTATTTAACAATTAATGTAACTTTAATTTCATATCATTGATTGATTAAATATTTTGTAAGCAATAAGTGTAGTCAAAGTGCTTACAATCAAACAATTAAATAAAAACTTAAATTATTTTGTTTAAAACAAAGTCTACTGTATAATGTTTATTATTAATTATTAATATATTGTTAAGTTGAATTATATCAATTTTATTGTATTATTGTATTCAGGGTAAAGTTTATGACTACTTGTGATATTTTTTTCATTACTAATACCTTTTGAGTAAATTTATAATTCAATTATTTCACTACAATTGACTTAAAATTGAATGAAAATATACAAGTAGTGTGTATTTATTTATTTATTTATTTAATGTAAAATATTTAGTTTTTTTAGAGATAATAATTATCAAATTTTATAATACATATAATAGTAAATTAATAGTTACTGTATAATAATAATAATTGTTATAAATAATAAGTATTTTTAAAATACATTTATGTATAAAAATATTTAATTAAATTTATAAAAATACAAAATTAATATTTTCTAAAATTACATACAAATTAAACAAATATCTATTTTCAAATATGAGGCAAATCTTTAGTTTCATTTGTTTTAAATTTTCGGGACAAAAATAATAATATAACAAATATAATAACAGTTATTATATAGAAAACAGTTTGCATTAATAAGAATATATCGGGAGTTTTTTCAATGAGTGGCCCGAAAACAAATGGTATAATCATTGGACAGATGGCCGAAACCAATGTAAAAACAGAGGCAACGGTATCGCTCAGACCTATGAAGTCTTCACCAAACTGGAAAAATGACGGCCATATACACGAAAAAGCTAAACCTATAACTACATTACCGATCCATATAATGAGCGCAGAGTTGCGACCAAAATATAGGATAACCATAGAGATGGCCAGTAATACAAAATGATAACTAAGCATAATATGTGCTTTTAATTTGAGTGCAATTAATGCTGAGATGAGTTTGCCTATTGTTAGGGCGGCGTTCATTACCGACAATACATCGGCCGCTGTCTGTGCAGTCATTTTTGCTCCACTGTATTGATAATATGTGGAACTGTATACTAAATGCAGACTTTCCATACCATTATATGTGCTCAAACTTGTGGCTATAAGTAACACAAATGTCCACTTCATGAGAGGTGTCTGTTCTACTGTTGGTTTCTTTATTGTATATTCTTTAATACTGTGAACTGTTGAACGCCTACCCTCTGGAACAACACCTTTAGTATCACCCAAATGACTGTTCAATTCATTTTCCTCGTAATAATATCTTTTGAATACAAACATCAGTGCCATTGAAATGGGAACTGAAAATATTGATAAAAATTATCAGTTATGACAATTGTTTGTTTAGTTTGAGTAGCAATTAATTATTTAAACTAATCAATACTTGAAAAACTGGTTAATAATAAGTAGTTATTTAATATATATTACCGATTAAGTTAAGTGCACCGCTTATTATGAATGGTATCTCTAATTGTGATTTTCTCTCTAATGAATAATTGTATTCATCGATGGCCTCATCGCCCGTAGCAGTACTTGTGATGTTTTGTAGATATGTTTTGAGTGTTGAATTATCGGGGGTTACCCGACCCAATATAAATGGTTTGGTCAGTAATGGTGATATAACCATACCGATGCCACCGAGAGCTTTGGCCAATTGAAGTACTGGTGCACAGTTTTGTTGCCACATTTCCACTGCCCATACGGTAGTTCCCGTATCAAAAGATGAAATACCAATATTGAATAGCATAGAGCACAGGTAGATCTGCCATAGTTGTGTGCACATAGGTTGCACCAAACCAAAAACGGCTACAAGTGCCGACATAAATATTAGTGTAAATTGTCGGTTCACATACTTGTACGCAAAACCCACTATTCAAATATGATATAATTAATTAGTTAAAAAAATGAATGTTATAATTATATTAATTAATTTATTATACCAAATGATCCAATCATATAACCCACACTTCCAAAAGTATTGGTATACGATATAAGAGTAGTTGTCGTGTGAAACATATATCTCAGGTCAACCATAACTGCACCAAACATATAAAATATAAGACACTAAAAAAAGAAATTTAATATATTTTATATTAATAATTGTTTAAATTTAAAATGATTAGTTCATACATAGCTAAATCCAAAATATAAGATAATACTTGTATAGACATATTTGGACCAATTTTTACGAAAATTTAATTTAGATTTTTTCTCGACTCTACTCGTCTGTGTTTCAATGAATTGTCGAAAATTATTACTTATTATTGAGTTTTTTCTATAATTATTATCCATTTTTATTATTGAAATATATATTTATAATCTTTTATATTAATWATTTGTTATTATTTAAAAATTTAGTCCATTAAATAWTTTAGATTATTTTCATTGAATATTTATAAAAAAATGTTCAAATGAGTAAAACTTGTTTAAAATTGCAGTCCATTTCCTTATATAGTATATCTACAGAATATACTGTAATATGTATTATAAATTTACAATACTTTTGGTTGTTATTTATCGATTACAAGTGTCTTAAAACACATACATTATCTAAGGTTTAGTTTATCTTTTTAATAAATACTWATTATTATTATTACGTGAACGCAAGTTTTACATAAATGTATACATAAATTGATTAAACAATTTTAATCCTAAACCACTTTAATAAAATTTAATACAGTGCAATTATATAATAATAAACTAAATATTGTTAATTAAAAAATTTAATTAATTAAAATTTATAAATAATAAAATATATTTTTTTGGTATTAAGTGACTGTAGTTTTTTTAGTTAAGTTTCAAGAGTAGTTTATATGAGAAAATAAGACTTACTTTTAACTGATATTAAATTATTTAAAAATAATCCTAACTCTAAATTTTAATTTAATAGATTAGACTGTAAATAATAGATTAAATTTTTAAAACGTAACTATTTTTTTATTAGATCAACTTGATGATTCAATTAATAAAAGTCAATATATATAAAGTAAAAGATAAGATTATAAAAATAATCTTATTTTTCAGTAAAAATATGTATAAGTAGTAACATTTTTGATTAATATAAATATATTGTTTGACATATACTGTAATAATTATCATTATAAATGTATGTCTATTTCACACTACAAATCTACAGTTGAATTAAAAAAATTCTCACAATTTTCAATAAATTCTTTTTTAAAAAATGGATGTATTTTTGTAAATATATATTATATATACATAGAGTTTTGGCAACAAGAAATAAAATTTCAGAAATAAAATTGTTTTAATTATTTCAGTTAAATATATTACAATATAATATTTCAATATAAAGTACCAATATTAAAAACTAAGATTTTGTTGAAATATTTAAAAAAATAGATAATAAATAAATTTAATGATATTATTAAACAATACCATTAATATCATATACGATAAGCATTTGACATTTTTTTATCATATTATAATAATATATATATTAGAGTTTAATATGTAATACCAGATGAAAATTCCTAGAGAACAAAGAAAATATAAAATATATTTTGGAAAATAAAACGAGTGGTGAAAATGTGACAAAACTATAATTATATAATTTATCATAAATTTTTATAAACTTTTATAGAATTAACTCAAAATAGTATTAATTATAATTTTGTAAAAATTATAAAATTGCTTTATTATTAATATATCATTATATAAATTCTTATTAAATTTAATAATTTAAAAAATAATTTAATTTGCTATTTAAAAAATATTAACTATAATATTATAATATTAATTTTACATATTATGAGCATACTATATGAAGTTTTTTTCAATTAAATAGATCAAAACAAAACAAAAAACGTTTGAAAAATCAAAAATAATTTTATTAGAAAAAAATAAAAATTATAATTACATGCAAATTATTATAATATACTATAATATACTAAATTAATGATAAATAGTATTATTAATATTTACAAAGTTATTTGTTTTAATAAACACAATATTATTATTTTAATGCTTATTATTATTATTATTATAGGAAATGGATTTATCTTTAGGTGATTTGCTTAATGAACGCGACATAAATATCAAAATAATAAATATGACAACAGTTGTGGCAAAATATGCCAATTCAAGCAACAAAAACACATTTGGATTTTTCTCAATAAGTGGTCCGCAAATGATTGGCGATAATAAAGGAAATATTTGTGAACCAAATGAAAATATAGATGTAATAGCATCGGTCAGACCTACAAAATCTTCACCAAATTGGAAATACGCGGGCCATACACAGGAAAACCCGAACCCAATAAGTATATTACCGATCCATATCATAAGCTCAGAGTTTTGGCCAAAATATAGGATACACATTGAAACAGCTAATATAATAATGTGATACGATATCATGATATGTGCTTTTACTTTCAGGGCTATGAACGCCGATATGAGTTTCCCGATGGTTAGTGTGGTTGAACTGACTGACAATATCTCTGCCGCTTTTTGCGCCGACAACTTTAGGGGTATGTATTGATAGTATGTGGGACTGTAGATAATGTGCAGCATTTCAAAGCCACCGTATGTGCTGAGACTAAAGGCTATCAGTGCAACAAATGTCCATTTCATTACAGGTGACTGTTTTACTTTAGGCTCCTGTATAGTGAACTCTTTTATACTGTGTAATGTTGCCCTTCTACTATCGGGTGGCACCTGTATGTTGGGCGCCATATCTTTCGGGTTAAATTGATATCTCTTAAAGATAAACATTATGATCAACGAAATTGGGACTATTGGAAAATTAAATGATTTTATTTGTTTATGAGAATTATTTACATTTATTATTAATTACTTATTGATTCAATGAGTCCGCCCACCAAATATGGTATTTCCAATTGTGGCCTACGATCCAASCCTTCATTATATGCATCAATTGCGTCATCACGTGATGTATAATTACCCAGTTTTTGATTATCGGGAGTTATTTTACCCAAAATGTAAGGCGTGTCGAGCATTGGCCCAAAAATGGTGCCCAAACCGCAAAATGCTTTCGACAATTGAAGCACAGGTGAGCTATTTTGTTGCCACATCTCTATAAGCCAAGTGGTAGTTCCCGATTCAAAAGCACCGATACCTATATTGTTGAACATTGCAAATATGTATATTTGCCACAATTCATGACTCATTGGCATCAATATTGAGAAGACAGTGACCGCCGCAGACATTATTATTAACACAAACTGTCGGTTTAGATATACATAGAGAAGTCCCGCTAAAATAAAACAAAAATTGATTTTTTAAATTAAATAAATATTTTTAAATAAAATAAATTATTTAAAAGATTACTAAGTGATCCAATTAAATATCCAAAACTTCTGAATGTATTCACATATGATATCATATTAGTATTTGTTTTAAACATATACTTCATATCAACCATCATTGGACCAAACATTGATGCAATCAAACTCTACACAGAAATTAATTTTAATTAATTTTGTTTAATATACTAATTAAAAATATTTTCAAATAAAAGTTAAATAACTTACGTAATTAAATAAAAATATATAAATAATAAGTGTGTAAACATATTTTGACCAATTTTTGCGAAAATTTAGTGAAAATTTATTATTAGATTTACTTTTATCCAAAAACTGTTTTAAGTTATGACTAATAACTGAATTTTTTCTAAAATCGTTGTCCATTTTAAAATGAAAAAATATTTTTAAAATGTTATAACTTAGAAACTTATGAAAATAGTAAATTATTATTATATAATATTAATAGTTATTCATTATAATTAAATATTATTTGTCCTAATTTTTATTTACTATATGTGAAACATTTTATATAAATTTTAATATAAATTTTTATCTAATTTAATTGTTAATATTATCAAAAAACTTACAATTGATTATTATTTTTTTATAATCCTTTATTTAATACTTAATTCTAAATGAACTGACACTAAGTTTATTTATTTAACAATATAAAGATTATTAGAAATAACTTTATATTAATTTATTTTCTCATAAAGCTTATTAAAAATGCGTTGTTTTTTTGTCTAATTTGTTTAATCAGTGAATTACTGATAAATTAATTGTAAAATTTATAAATTATCAATAATTATTAAAACATTAATATAAAATTAATAGTAATTAATATATAATTTTAACACAACTAAATTATTTACTTTAATTAGTCATGTTTATGATAACAAAAATAATACCAATTAAAATAATTACATATTTTACAGATAAATATTTAACTTTATACTCTATAATATAGATTTGTTTTAAAATTTAAAAGCCATTAATTCATTTTGTATTAATACTATTGTTTTTTAGTATAATTTATTTAATAAAATGTATTATTAGTTAGAAACTTTGTACTTTCAACTAAAATTTAACATTTTATATTAAAATACTGTAAAATAATATTAATATTATACCAATTAGTGTTGTCGTTTTAATACGATTGTCGTCACGTAATAATTAATAATTAAATAATATTATAGTTAAAAATAGGTAAAAATAATAATTATTAAATTATAAATCAAAATAATATATTTAGTATTTTTAAAACCAAGAGAAGATCTTGAAGAATGGGATCAATTTTCTTATGTATTCACATCACGTCTTAGTGTTGATCAAGACTAAGACGTGACAATATCTTACAAAACCGAGATCTTGTTTGACAACACTATTGCCAATACATTGTATTATATAAGAGATATAATAATAGTTTTTAAATTAACTGTAAGTTTATTATCTAAATACTGTATAATATATTTATATCTCTTCATTATAGTACACATTAATTATATTAATAGTTTAAAATAATATAATATTTTTTATTTAAAATCTTAAATTATTTTTTTTATCAACATTTGATATTTAATAATATATAAATTTGATTAAGATATTAAAATTATTTTTTAATATTTAAAAATGATTATATGAGTGATTAATTATTTACTATAAATACTATTACAAAATGTAAATTATTTTAATTTGTATGTAAATGTTATTAAAATGCATAAATTATGATTAAATTCTGACAAATTAAGTTACAAATTGATGTATTAATAGATAGAATTCTATAATATTAAAAATAATTTTAATATAAATATTCATTTTTAATTATTTTCTAGATTTAAACCTTAAAATACTTTTTAAAAAACATTACTGTTTACTTCTAACTATTAATTCATATATTAAATCATATGATTTTTTTTATAACACTTGTTATTATTTTTTGACATATAATCAATCTATCTTTAAATGTACTTGATGCGTTAATAATATTTTATTATTCACATTAATAGTTTGAACATTATTTTAATTAATTAATAATTAATATTTCAGTAACATAACAATTAAAACATTATATAACAATAAAACTACTTCTAAATTTAATTGTGATATTGTTAATTTTAATATAATTATAAAATTAAAATTAATAAAAAAAATTGTATTTTAAAAATTAAAATAAGAAAGTTTTTATTATTGAAAAATTAAGTTACATTAAAACTTATGATTTATTTTAAAACTGTTTATATAACAATACTTATCATTGACGCAAATGCCTTATTATTGACATCAATTTGATCACTAATTTTGAATTATATATTATAAAACTTCAATTATAAAGTATTATAAATATCAAGTTTATAAGTAGAATAATTAATTTCTATACTGTCATACAATTTAAAATTAATTATTAAAATGTACTAGTTTCAATTAAAGACAATATCATATTAATATCATAAGTTACAATAATTTATAATATATTAAGTAATTTTCCAATTTTAGTATTTATATATTAATTATTTCATATGATTTAATAAAAAAAATAATAATTTTAACAATTGCAATTGTAATTTAGACAATTTGTCACTCAATTATTTTTACATATGTTTATAAATATAATTTAATAACATTATGACATTAATATCAATGACATTTACATATCATAACTGTGCGCCAACTTTAAGGTATTTAAAGAATTGTCAATTATTAGTGAAATTTATATTTGAAATTAAATTTTAGTYTAATTAGAAGTATTAAAAAAGTTTTAATTACTATGAAATTGTTGATATTAGCGGCACTGATATCTGTAACGGTTGCCTATCGAGTATCGTTTGGATCAACTGGTGGTCGGACATCACTCGGAGTCAATGGTAATGGCAATGGTAACGGACAGATGTCTTTCAATGTGGGCGATGATACAGAAACAGGACTCAATGGTATTAGCGGTTTGTTTAGTGGTATTACTGGACTTATAGGAAAAGGTGTGGAAAACACTTTTCAAGTGATGGGAAATGTTTTAAATAGCGGCAAAAAATTGACTAATGATGTCATTAACACTGTATTTCAAACGATTACACAAACCGGTTATATCGGAGAAAAATTGATTGAAAACGGATTAAACAGATTTGAAGGTATTGTCAATAGAATAGACAATACAGTCAACACTGGACTCAATAAAGTTAATGATATTCTTAATAATGATTTAAATTTGGCTAAAAATGGCATCAATTCTATTCATGGAAATCTTGATTCTGATCTGAATAAAGCTAACGGAGCCCTCAGCTCTGGTATCGGTAAAGTTAACGGTGCCCTAAACAATGGCCTTAATACAGCTAACGATGCCATCAACACTGTTATCGGTAATGTTAACGGCGCCTTAAACACTGGTCTGAATACAGCTAACGGTGCTCTTAATAATGGTTTAAATTTGGCTAATAATGGCATAAATTCTGCTTATGGAGCACTTGACTCTGGTATCAATAAAGTTAACGGTGCACTCAACACTGGTCTTAATACAGCTAACGGTGCTCTTAATAATGGTATCAATAAAGTTAACGGTGCCCTCAACACTGGTATCGGTAATGTTAACGGCGCTCTAAACACTGGTCTGAATACAGCTAACGGTGCTCTTAATAATGGTATCGATAAAGTTAACGGTGCACTTAACACTAGTCTTAATACAGCTAACGGTGCTCTAAACACTGGTCTGAATGGAGCTAACGGTGCCCTCAACACTGGTATCGGTAAAGTTAACGGCACCCTAAACACTGGTCTGAATACAGCTACGGGTGCTCTTAATAATGGTTTAAATTTGGCTAATAATGGCATAAATTCTGCTCATGGAGCTCTTGACTCTGGTATCGGTAAAGTTAACGGTGCCCTAAACACTGGCCTTAATATAGCTAACGGTGCTCTTAATAATGGTATCGGTAAAGTTAACGGCGCCCTAAACACTGGCCTTAATACAGCTAACGGTGCTCTTAATAATGGTATCAATAAAGTTAACGGTGCCCTCAACACTAGTATCGGTAAAGTTAACGGCACCCTAAACACTGGTCTGAATACAGCTAACGGTGTTCTTAATAATGGCATAAATTTGGCTAATAATGGCATAAATTCTRCTCATGGAGCTCTTGACTCTGGTATCAATAAAGCTAACGGTGCTCTTAATAATGATTTAAATTTGGCTAATAATGGCATAAATTCTGCTTGTGGAGCACTTGACTCTGATATCAATAAAGCTAACGGTGCTCTTAATAATGATTTAAATCGGCATAAATTCTGCTTAACGGCAATAAAGCTAACGCCCTAAACACTGGTCTTAATACAGCTAACGGTGCTCTTAATAATGGTAAATCTGCTTATAAAGTTAATAAAGCGGTGCCCTCAACACTGGTATCGGTAAAGTTAACGGCACCCTAAACACTGGTCTGAATACAGCTAACGGTGTTCTTAATAATGGTATAAATTTGGCTAATAATGGCATAAATTCTGCTAACGGAGCACTTAATAATGGTATCAATAAAGCTAACGGTGCACTCAACACTGGTATCGGTAAAACATGTTATTTACGTTTAATTATTTATTCAATTTATTATAATATTGACTTTCGATTAAACTATTTTGTACTGGTCTTAATACAGCTAACGGTGCACTCGAGACACTGTTTTTGTATCGTTTCGTTTAAATTGATTTAATAATTAATTAACGTTTAGTTAATTAATAGTTATATAATTACTGGTCTGAATATAATTCATTTATAAGTTTAATTAATAAATAATAATAAAGTTTTGTATTTAATTATATAAGTTTAAATTTTGGCTAATAATGTCTATAAATTTGGCTGAGTTTATGTTATATAGTGTTATTGATATTCTCAGGTATCAATAAAGTTATTGCTAACGGTTCCGGTTCCGTTCGGATTGATGTGAATACGAACACTATTTATTAGGTATCGGTGTTTATAAGTTATTGTTTCTCACGTGTTAATCGTGTCCAGCCTAAATTTGTGAGCACTAGCCTTAATACAGCTAACGGTGCTCTTAATAATGGTATCAATAAAGTTAACGGTGCCCTCAACACTAGTATCGGTAAAGTTAACGGCACCCTAAACACTGGTCTGAATACAGCTACGGGTGCTCTTAATAATGGTTTAAATTTGGATAATAATGGTGTTAAAAGTTAACGGTGCACTTAACAATGGTCTGAATGGAGCTAACGGTGCTTTCAACACTGGTATCGGTAAAGTTAACGGCGCCCTAAACAATGGCCTTAATACAGCTAACGATGCCCTCAACACTGGTATCGGTAAAGTTAACGGTGCTCTCGATAGTGGTCTTAATGCAGTCAACGTTACTTTCAATGATGTCTTACCTTCGGGTGAAATATCACTCGACTTTTAACTTATTGACTAATTTTCATATTATTATATAAAATCTAATTGTAATAATTATAAATACTGTTATATATATTATTATTATAAGTCTATTGTATATATTAATACTAGACTAACTATACATGAGATGTCAATAAACATTTATTCAATTACTTATTACTTAAGAATTATTATAATTAATAATTTAAATAAACTTTTTATGTTTAAAATTAAAAATTAARTATCATTGAATTTTAGTATCCATAATTACTATTATACAATTTTTATATTTAATAATAATAATATTAATGTGAGAAAAAAACTATCATAAAAATCTTATACCGGTAATTTTTATTTATAATATTAATATTCTTTATTAATAAATWTTATATTATTATTTATTTTTAAAAATGAATTTGTATTTATATATTTGCAATTTAATAATAAGTTACTGATTTATCAAAATAATTAATTACTAATCTTATAAAGTTAACATTGATTTATTAATACTTAGAAATGCAATGTTTTTYAGAAAATGTCAAATTTAATTACATAGGTCATAAAATTAGCTTGCTTATTTTAAAGATAAAATATATCTAAAATATTTGTTCTTGCTAATTTTTTTCGAAGCAATTAAGATAMATTTTATTTATATAAAATGTCAAATTTAATTACATAGTTCATAAAATTAACTTGCTTATTTGATAGATAAAATATATCTAAAATATTTGTTCTTGCTAATTTTTTCGAAGCAATTAAGATAAATATTATTTTTAATGATATACTTATTACGGATTAATACTTTAATCAATACAATTGTGTGATTATGTCCATAGAAATAACTACAGTATTATATGTTGTGTAGTAATAGATAAAAAAAAGTATAAATGAGTTATTTCTATTAAAAAAGTATAAATTTTAAATTTTAAGTTAATATTATTATTTATATAATTTTGAAAATAAATAATTTATTCAATTAATAAAAGTATTTTTTTAATTATGTTATTTAAAAGTTTCAAAAATTAAAAGTTAGTTAACTTCTGGTTTACTTCTGGTCTAACTAACCGTTAGTTAAATCTTGAATACAAACAATGTCATCATCGTCAATTTTTGATTTAAATAAAAATGAACTGGACAAATCATCTAGGTTATTTAACAAGCAATGGTACATCTATGCCTATACATTAAYAATTTTATACAACCAAATATGTTATGTAAGTTAATTACTAAAAACAGTTACTAATTTTTATTAAATACTTACAAAWCTATAATTTATTAATAATTTAATTATAAGGGAATGGCTTTAAATCTATTTGGTCCGTCAATGATAGATCTGCAATACATGTTAAACACAACTATGTCTATGATATCTTTGTGTCAAACGGCAACTGGTGTCGGCTCTTTGATCGGTGCTTTATGTATGTCACTTAATAACAGTTATATTTATATAATTATATATAAAATTTTATAATATTAATGAAAATTTGGTTATTTTTTATTATTTAGGTAGTTTCCTATATGTATATATTAATCGTCAATTTACAGTGATTGTAATGACTAGTTTGATGTATGTATTTAGTGTTTTGATAATATTATGTCCTGATATTTGGTGGACAATTGGCGCTTTCATAGTAGCAGCAGTTGGCGCCGGTGCCTGGGATTCAGTGTCTAGCATATGGATAGTGGAAATGTGGCAACAAAACAGTGATCCATTGATGCAAGTATTACAGTGTATGTACGGTTTGGGATCTATTATCGGTCCATTAATATTGGCGCCATATCTCACTGGAGACTTAAAACCTGATAACCAAACAGTGTCGACACTGACCACTCAATTACCACTGATTACTACAACTGATATCAATAATTCGGTGGACAGGCGCTCGAAATTAATAGCACCGTATGTTATGGTTGGCTCTATTGGTTTAGTTGGTATACTTATATAATCTTATATAATATTAATAACTAAATAATAACTATTTTATTTTTTATAATTACAGTTCCAATAGTATTATTGATATTATTTTTGTTTAAACGATATAAAGTCCCCAAAATTCTTATCGATCAGAAAACAGAAGACAAATACAACGAATCAGATGTTATCGTAAAAAAATCATCGACTGATAGGATAATACTTATAATAATATTATGTTTGACATTCATATCGTACTCGGGTTTAGAAAATATTTATTTTAGCTACAGTTCCACTTACTTTCAATATGCATGCAATGAYATTGACGCCAAAACAGCCAGTCATATGTTATCTGTAATGTCCGCTACGTTTACCGGAGCCCGACTCGTAACGGCACTAATAGCAACCCGATTGCGTTCACAAACAATTATAGCATACAGTCTWTGTTTAGTTTGCATTTCAATGCTTATACTATATTTTGGTCAACACTCTGTCCCTTTAATTTGGACTACAAATGCATTGTTTGGTTAGTAATTGTATTAAATAATAATAATAAATGTTTTTCATTGACATTCAAATACCTGTATAGGACTTGGCTTTTCAGCACTAAGACCGGCATATTATGCATTTGCCGAGAAGTCCATCCAATTGACAGATCGTGTGTCCGCATTATTTACGGTGTTTTCATCAATTTTACTCATATTATCACCATTACTGTTGGGACCACTTATTAAAGACCATACAGAAGTGTTCATCTATTTTGAATTATTTTGTCTAATAATAACTATTTTATTATTTATTGCTTTATCATATCAGTATAAACGGTCGAAACATAATATTAAAAAAATTTATGTACTCAGACATTATTGAGAAAATATAAAAAAATTACATAAAATTTTTAACTAAATAAATAATAAAGTTAAAAAAATTAAAATATTGAATTTATTTATTAAAAAATTCAATCAATAATTTCACATTTTATATATTATTATACATTATATAATATTATGAATTTTTAATGCACGTGCATCCAATTATTCTACGTACAACATCACGTGTACATTGCCCGCTACTAAAACCGGTAGTCCGACCACAAGTCGAGTTACATACCGTGATATTACATCCGTAAAGACAAGTACGCAAACGGTAATTATAACGCTCACAACCCGTATAATAAAATAAACCATTCGGTTTCGGTAAAGTTTTACTACAAATTTGAATGTCCAGTGATGAACAAATACAGTCAACTAAATACATATATATTATTGATATATAATTAATAAAATTATATTATTATTTATATTTTTAAAATAAATAAATAATAGTTTTAATTTAATAGATAATTAATGTTTTTGATAATTAACCTTTATTTAWTAGTAAACCAGCTATAATACWAATGTAGAAAAAATATATAATCATTATTTTTTCYAACTATTTCAACTTTTTAACATAAAATTATATACAGTATTGAATTAAAATATTACTATTAATCTAAGTTAAATACAATAGTTGWTTTTATRTTTAAATTTAAATATATATGGTTTATATTATTTACATATTGTTATTTAACATTGAACTAATAATAATAGTAAAAAATCATATATTGATATAAATTGTGTAAATATAAAGTTKTTATTATTATTAAAGTATACTGTAGATATTTAAGCAAATAATAATCAATTWATTTTCAATCATCAAATTTATGTCACAAAAAWTATTTATACTATTTGATTTATTATTTTAGATGTCAATTAAAATATCYATTTATTTTTTAAAAATCACAATAAATATATAAAGATCATAGAAATCATAAAAATACAATTTATTTTTTATTATTTATTATTACGGTATATCTTCAAAAAATAAATCAAACAACTTGTTAATGAAATCTATATAAATATTCAAATTAATTATTATTTCTTTTTGATTAAAATTTTCAGTTTTGTTTTATTAMTTATAAATGTCATAATTATAAAATATTTTTTAAATTAGATTTATTTATATATTATGTATATTAATTATAGTATATGCAATCAATGATCAATAATCAAACTTTTACTTTAGTAACAGGTGTTCAAATAAATCATTTGAACAAATACAGTGAATTAACATTGATTATAAAATACTATAACTTTTTTTACAATACAATTATTTGAATAATTTTAGGTCAACTATTTTTCATAAGATAYACAAATTGTAATATTTTACTTATTTTAATTTTATAATATTTATAAAAATTTTAYTAATAATTACAATTTCCTCTATATTTTTATTGTAATATTTTGTATATTTTTATTATTCTAAATATATACAACTAAATAATTTATAATTAGTAATAATTAGTAAAATRTAAATAATATATTTTATTATGATAATTAATTTCAAAATATAACAAAAAGATTTAAATAAATATATTACAAATTCTTATTTATTTAATTACAAAYCTCTCTGTGAGATAAATAAAAAATTAATAATATTTATTTTTAAATAATTTAATATCAATAATAATATCAAACAAATATTATAATTTAAATTATATAATTTATTAAACTTGTATCAATATGTATATACTCTACACGTTTAATAGTATTGAATTTCATATATAATAATAATATCAATCATATGATGTTTGATAACACTATTTTATTACAGTAATTATTAATCACATTTACTGTACAATAATTCAATGCTAACAAAGTTCAATTACAATGTGATTAAACAATATTTTATTATACACTTTAATAATTACATTAACAAATGCATTGTTATAGTAAATACACAATTAATTATTGTTTAAATTATAGTTTATAACTTGAAAAAATATTAGAATTATTATAATTTATAAAATAAACATTTAATTAAAAATATATTTTAAATGTTTTAGTTCAACTTTAAGATATTTTTAGTGCTTTATTTAAAATTTATAATATTTAATAAGTTATGTTTATTCATCTTTAGAGATCGTACTATAAATTAGAAACATTTAAATAACCAAATAATAATTATAAGTTTTAAATAAAACACTAAAAATATCTTAAAGTTGAATTTTTAAGTTACATTTAAAATATAATTAAGTTATAATTACAGTGATCTTAAATTTTCTTATAATTTAAATCATAATACTTATAAACTTTTTTCAATAAAATATTTTCAATAAAAGTTTTAATCTAATTTAAAGATGTTTATCAATATTTATAAATGAAATTTGATTTGTGTTTGCAAATAAATTTATTAAATAGTTTTTACTTTTATATTTCTATCAACTTCTATTAAAATATTTAATTATAACATTATACAGTATTTCATAGTTATATAGTTTTTAAATTAAAAAATATAAATCATGTAAATATTTCACAAAACAGTTGCATTTACTAAATATATTAAATACTAAGTAATTTTAATAAATAAAAAATTATGTAATACTTAATCTTATCATAACTATATGTTAACGACACCCACCAACAACACATCCCAGTGCATTGTGTCAGTGCGCTCACCACCACAGTTGCAATACAATAGTCTATATAATTGTTTATTTTGTTTTAGATATTTTTTACAGCAATGTTGTGATATATGAGATATTTTAGATTAATACTGTATATAATAATTGTTTAAAAATTAATAGTGAAATAACAGTGATTTTTTCAAAAGTTTTTTTTATATATAAATAAATTTTGTTAATATTTAACAAATTGTATACTTAAAYACAAACTGTATATATTATGGTCAATTCGTGGGTAAAACCTTTTATYCGTAGAAAACCTATCGAAAGGACTGGTATAACAACGACACGACTTGAAAGATGTCTTTCCACTATCGACCTGACAATGCTTGGTATTTAACAAACTACTGTCCGATTGTTTTCTTATCTATAAATTACAGTATAATTATAATAAAAATCAGGTATTGGCTCAACATTGGGACTGGGAGTTTATATATTAGCCGGACAGGTAGCCAGCACTAAGGCAGGTAATTAATACTRAGATTTTTTTAATAATTATATATTTATTTGAATTAATTGTGATTTTATTAATGTTTCTAAAGGACCGTCGGTTACRTTAAGTTTTTTCATAGCAGCCGTGGCCTCAGTTTTTGCTGGACTTTGTTATGCCGGTTAGTCTTTTGTGTTWTTGACAGTCAGTTTTATTTGTKATAATATATCATACAATTTTAGACATCAAAATAAAAATACAATGAATTAAAAATTACTATAGCATTAAATAAATAACTTATAAATAAAATCTCAATCAAAATAGTTTCATTATATAATATGCTGTCAAAATTTAATATAAAAGTTATTATAATATATTTTATATCTATATTATCATATATACTGTGTATACTGTACTTTATATTATTTAAATATTAATGTCATTAAAATTTCTATAAATTATTTATGGCTATCAAAAGGTTTTTTAAAAATTTGWATGAGTTTAGGTTATAAAAACATTTAAAATAATTTTAGTTTAATTTATTATGAAATTATATGACAATAAATAATTTTATAAATAAACATTTCTATACACAGAATTTGGAGCAAGAGTACCGAAATCTGGTAAAATGAGCATGTACATTTTTTTATTGTTTATTATAATTTATATATGWTTTTATGTATATAAGGATCAGCTTATGTTTACTCTTATATAACTGTTGGAGAATTTATGGCATTTATTATCGGATGGTAATAATTACTGTTTTATAAATTGACAAATTAGTGACAAATATAAATAATTGATAATATTTTAAGGAATCTGATTCTAGAGTATGCTATAGGATCGGCATCAATAGCCAGGGGTTACAGTGGTTATGTAGATTCACTGGTGGGCTACAAAATACAACAACAATTYACAGAGTGGGCGCCTCTTAATTTTGGTATCTCTAAATATTTTGACTTTTTTGCATTTGCTATTGCTATTTTAATATCAGGTTAGTTAGTTGATGATTTAATTATGTTGTTACCAATAATTGTAATAATATTTTTTTTCTCAAAATGTTCAGCACTGTTAGCCATAGGAGTAAAAAAGTCGACCCGATTGAATGCAGTGTTCACTGTAATCAATGTTTTGGGTGTCATCTATGCCATCATATGTGGCTGTAAGTAAACATGCGATTAAACATTAATTGTATTTTATAATTATTATTTTTAAAAAAAGGTATACAAATTTTAATATWTTTTAATAGCCTTTAAAATCGATATACATAACTGGCAATTGTCTAAAAGTGAATTACCGCCAAATAGTGCACCAAATGAACAAGGAGGTTATWATAAATTATTATTATTAATTTAGTAACTAAATTATTAATTTTTAAAAATAGATTTAATTATTTTTTATAATATATTTATTTAGGATTTTTTGCATTTGGTTTTAGGTAATAAAAATAATGCAATATTAAAAATTAATAATAATAATATAATTAAAAAAAATTATGCATTTATTTGTGTTTAATAGTGGTTTGATGGCAGGAGCAGCCACTTGTTTCTATGGTTTCATCGGGTTTGATATGATAGCGACCACCGGTGAAGAAGTTAAAAATCCTGCCCGTGCTATACCTTTAAGCATTATATATTCATTGCTAGTTATATTTGTATGTTATTGTGGTGTATCGGCTATTCAGACTCTAATGGTTCCCTATTATGAACAAAACCAAATGGCACCGTTACCATATGTTTTTAACAAAGTTGGCTATCCGTTTGCCCAATATATTTTAACTATTGGTGCAATGGCTGGTCTATACTCAAGTAATAATTTGAAGTTAAATRATATTTACATTAAAATTATTTGATTTCATAAGGTTTAATGGGAACTATGTATCCATTGACTCGTATATTATATGCAATGGGTAGCGACCGTATGATATTTGGCTTCTTTAGCAAAGTTAATGGCAAACTTAAGACCCCTCATTGGGCCACATTGTTTGCCGGCATTTTCAGCGGTTTTATGGCTGCAATGTTTGATTTCCAAGAGTTAGCAGATATGATGTCTATTGGTATTAACTATTTTTTCTCAATTAATTTTACTACTATTTAGCATTTTTATTGTCAAATTTTAGGTACATTACTGGCCTATGCGTTAGTCTCAATCTCAGTGTTAATACTCAGGTATTGTAAATAGTCAATGATTTATAATTAATATGTAATTAATATGTAATTTATGTTTTAAATATGATAATTTCTAATTAAATAATTTAATTGAAATTATTGTTAAATAATAAATAGATATCAAAGAAGAAAGTTTAAAGACTCGCTAATCAGTGACACAGATATTAACGATAGGGAAACATATGAAGACAGAGAATACCTACTCATCTCTCATAATAAGACATTAATTAAACGACTTTTCAATGTCGACAACAATATGAAACTAACAAAAGCATCGGTTAGGATGAGTCGATACTTAATTGTTATTATATGTAGGTTTTAAATAAAACGATTGCTAAAAATTTAACCAATTATTTATCTAACGATTCTTATTTTTAAAGGTATATTAGTTTTCATATTAGCGGCACTGTTAGGTTTTTTGCCCAATGATTTATATCAACTAAAACTGTATGCATTGTTACCAGTATTCGGCACATTATTACTACTAACTGTTCTAATGATTGGACTGAAACGTCAGCCACAGACTGATGAAAAAATGTCATTTAAGATACCGGGTGTTCCTGTCATACCAGTGCTCAGTGTTTTTGTTAACATTTATCTAATGATACACTTGTCAAGCATAACGTGGATCCGATTTGGCGTTTGGATGGTCTTAGGTATAGATGATTAAAATATTATCGAAACTATGAATAGTCTTTATATATTAATATATAACTGGTTTTATAATTGATAGGAATGTTAATGTATTTCTTTTACGGAATTATTGAAAGCATTGGATACTTAAGCGATACTCAAAAGAGAGAACAATCAAGACTTAATGGCAGACGAACCTCAACCATGTCTTCAAATGTATCCAATATTGTGATACCAAATACAAGTGCTTCTCATATCAATTCATCTGTTAATACTCTAGAAGATCAAACAGATATTATCAATACTAATGATGACAAACATATTATTAATAATAAGATAATTGATGAACAATCAGCCAATTTTTAATTAACATTTATATATATATATATATTTAAATWTTATTTTATAACTTAATTTATTTATTATAACAGTATTTTTTCAAATATAAAAATTGTTAATATAATCAATTTTCTATTATAATGTWAATGTTTTTTTTATAGAAATATTTTTAGAAATTACAATTTAAAGACAATTTTATTTTAAATTTTTATATTGTATTTCATAGATTTTATTGATAAATTCAAATTAGTTTTTTTATATAAAACTTTTATYAAATCAATAGTTAATTTGTAATGTTTTGTGTTAAACACAGATGTCGTGTCAAAGTATTTTTCATTCAATGTTTTCATTGATTTACTCGAAATTCAAACAATTTTTGTTTTTTTTTATTAATTCATTAATTCATTGATTGCTTTCAATATTCAATCGTTTAGTTTTTAAACATTGATTTGATTTACAATTGATTTTCAAAYAAAAATAATTACAATTATTTATAAACATATTTTGAATTGAAGTCAGTATTGAAATGAGTCATACATTCAATGATTATAATTAAATATAACTTAATTTACATTTGATTTACATTTCAGTCGACACAACAAAAATGTCAACAAATAGTTGTCAACAAAAYAAGCGGTCGATCGCTAAGAAAAAGTTGATAAGTATTCACACATTTGATGACCAATTGGTGACAAACAAAGACATAACAACAACAACAACAACAATAAAGAAGTCAAGAGACAGTTTCGATAGATTTGGTGACGATTTGTGTCAATTGATTTTGTCATTTGTGTCATTAGATGATTGTTTTCGCTATGAATGTGTCTCAAAGCAGTTCCAGAGTTTTATCTTTAAGACACAGACAGAGTTGGTATTTAATGAAACATCCAATTTGTTGATGAGTAAGATATATAATATCGGAACTACTAATTGCTATACAATCACTAATATATTGAAGAAGTGTCCAAACATTGCAAGCATTTACTTATTATCATTGAATAGTTGTGTTAAATCTCCGGTCAATGAGTTGTTTGTGTCAATTGGCGAACACTGCCATCATTTAAGACATTTAACCGTTAATATTGATTCAAATATATTTGAAAATATTAGTAAACAAGTTATGGACGAGTTTTTCGCAAAATTCAATCAACGACTCACTTCTTGTAAACTGGTGTTTGGCAGCTATAGTGCCACCCAAAGAGTCAACCGATCCATTGATAACAATATAAAACAATTGTCAAATCTCCAGAAGTTGGACATACAATGTCTGACTTATTTGTATTCATCCGGCATTTTTCAAATCTGTTTGAACAGCAATGAAGTGATGTATTCAAAGTTAACTCATTTAAAATTAACGTATTGTTCACAACATAAGAATCTATTGGATCAGTTCGCTAGACATTATGGACCAAAATTAAAGTCATTGTCGATACTTATTGCTAAAGATTGTAATATTGATAAACAATCGATTGATTTGTTGACCACAGCATTGTCTGACATGACATCTCTAAACAAGTTTGATATCGATTACAGTAATCTCAGTAATATTGACTTCACGTCAAATATTTTAAGTCAATTGACAACAATTGCCGTCAATTGTAAGGACTTGAAGCTGTTGTCCATAAAATTTATATGCAATATGTCATTGTTTAACAAAATATTTGTCATAATCAATGACCACATGAGACAATTGACTTATTTGTCGATAACAATGCTTTACTCGTTTGGCTATAAAAGTAGAGAGTTGTGTCCGTACAGGTTCTCAAAATTGAAACAATTGACAAAAATTGTAGTCAACGGTCAGGTTATTAGAGGAAAATGAATCGTCTATTTGAGTCTAACTTTACTTTAATGTGTTATACAATTTACAATTATTTTATATATACTTTGCAGTAAATTCATAAAATATAAGTCAGTTATATTGTAGATATTTATTTTATTAAAATTTTAATGTTGTTTTTAATGTCATAATCTATGCAATAAAAATAGTATTATTTTTAAACATTGTATATTAAATATTAATAATTAATGACATATATTAAATGAAAAATAAACATTAAATTAACTTTAACTAAATTATATTTAAAGTGAATTCATTTGATAATTAATTGCAATCAGTTTTTGAAATGTTTTGAATTTATTATTTGAATTTCTTTGGTTATTAAAATTAATTTGATTTTTATTAAAGTCTTTATCGTTGTTATTATTTTCTGTAGTCTCTGTCTGACAGCCGATACTATCTTTAATCATCGTTACGACCGGTCGTCTATCGTGTCGTTGAGATAGCGACCGACTCAGCTTTGATGTGATTTTTGGATAAAAGTTAGTGTCGGTCTCCAAGACATTATGTTTGATATCAACACTTAGATCTCGCATAACATTTGCTGCAATAGTTTTGCCATTTTTCTGATAAATGTCACCTAAATTATTGAACAGTTGTGTCATATGTGGATATCTATGATAAATAAGTTGTAACTCTTTATTATCGTTTGTTTCGCAAACAAGACTGTAGTCTTTAGAACCGAATACTTCCAGTTCTTCAGCCAATTCCCAGATATTAATTTCCATTGAATTTTCTGTATAATTATCGAGACATTCATTTTCATGGATTGCACACAACACCTGTTTGGCCATCAGTTCCGACTCTTTGAATCTGTTTTGTCGATATAAAACGTGTGATAAATAAGTTTTCAATTTTATTACATTTCTGTCATTTGCGCCCAAACTATTCTCTTTTATGACCAACGTTTGTCGTAAATACAGTTCCGAATTGTCAAACTCCCGGAGCTTGAGATACATGAGTCCCAGAATTTCAGTTAAATAGCATTCGTCTGACTTTGAATTAGACTGTTCTTTGGCGGGTCTGCTCTGAACATCTGTAAGCACTTGTTTGCACAGAGGTATGGCCACATCGTACTGGCCTTTAGTGGCGTAATCTAACACCAGCTCAACATTGGCTGATGTGTCTTCACCGGTATCTTCATTGATATTGCCATCTATAGCACTATCAGCAGTTGTTTCACTGGTTGTCACATTGTCTTCATCAATGAAATGACATTTGAAACACTTTTCATATTCACTACTAACTGATTCATACTTTTCAAGCAAATAATTATCATCAAAATTATTGAATGAATTTATAATATTTTTATTCAATTCATTACAATTTTTATCAATTGTATCACAAATTTTATTTAACAAATGTTTTCTCGCATTTAAATCGCTAAACAATTGACTCACTGCTGAGTAAAGAAGTGATTCAATTAAAGATCTCTTATTTTTTGATGTCATTATAAAACTCATAAAAAATGAATAATAATAACTTAAGATTAAAAATTATATTAAATTTATATTAAATTTATATTAAATTTATATTAAATTTATATCATTTTAATATATGTGATTTAAAAAATATATTTCCACATAAAAAGGAAAATTACAATTATTTTTTCAAATCTAAAACTTATAATAAATTAAAGTAAACATTTTATGAACTTTAAATAAAGTCAAAATCACTTAAATTAAAGCAAAACAAATAATGTAATATTTAATTAAAAGATGATTGATGTTTTGATGATTGTTATATTTTGATGATTTAGCATAAAAATAAAAACTAAAATATTTAATATTTTTTTATAATAAATATATAGAAATTCTTTTCACAGATTTCATCAATATTTTCACTTATCATTAATTGTATACTATATTAATGTTATTGATATTAGAGATGAATACGTTTTACATCATGTTTTATATAAGGTTTTTATTTTACATTAAGTAAAGTAAAATTGATATAAATTGTGGGTTAAGTGTTGTGTCGGCGAAACTGTCATTGAGTTTATACTGTATATTCAATAATATCTCTTAAATACTATACAGTACTTAAGCGTGTATTCCAACCAACTGAATAACACTGAGCCTTGGTGTTTATGTACAGTTAAACCCATTAACAAATAAAAAAGTAAAAAATAATTTTAAAAATAAAAATATACAATGCTAAGCAACAAAAATATAAACAAAAATATTTTTAAAATAAACAAACATTTAATTATTTATATGTAATACTAACTAAATATATAATATAAATATATTATTATTTAATAAATCAATAATCTGATTTAAATCAAATATCTATGGACCAGTATATCTGCGCTACGGATAAATTCAACGATACGTTGTATCGGTTGTACCGAATGTTATCGACAATAAACTGGAAGAACTACTCGAACGATACGATCGTAATTGGGTTCTATTGAATCACATTCCCAGCGACGATAAGTCGCCCACTATTGGCAAACTACTAGAGTTGCGCAACAATTATATCGTACAATTGACTGACCATTTGACCAACAATTTGTCAGTTTATGAGTTGCATCTGTTTAATGGTCTAATTATCATATTGTTGTCGTGTGTATTCAATTTAGTTATCATTTACTGGATTCAATCGCATAAGCATTTGATCAACTATTGTTCAAAACTATGTATCGGTATAGACATGAGTGCCATCACTGCTAATCTGATCCGAATACTGGACTTTCCATTTCACAAAAGTATTGTCAATGATATACTATTTCTGAGTGATGTCACCTCTATTGTTGTACCGATGGGTGAATTAGTTTTATCGAAAGTCATATTTTTATTATCATACAAACGTTCAGTTTATTATAAGTTACTAAATAATTTATTTATAAAACCATTCATAGATAAGCCATTGATAATAATGTTAATAATATTACCTAGTTTATAACAATAATTAGTGATAAAAATTATTTATTAAATAGTATAATATTTATATTGTTTAGCATTTTATTAACTATTTATTAAATATCAGTGAAATCACTAATAATATAAATTTTTCAAATATATTTAGCAAATATTTATTGATATTCAATGCATTTGCCGTTTGCGGTCATTTGATTATATCATTAGCTGATTGCGACACTTTTGATGATAGCATCCCAACCTATAATATCAATGGGATCGCCACGAGCTATGATTCCTTTTTCAACGGTTCCAATACAAACAATTCCTCTGCGAGTAATATCTGTCGACATAATTGGCATAAGAAATGGTGAATTTGTGTCTCTTTCCGGAGGAGTAATGTATGAGTCGAGTGTATCCAACAGTTTGATAATAGACTCTTCGCCGACGCCTGATTTGTCTCCGCTAAGAGCCGCCAGAGCTGATCCAAATAAAAACGGTGTGTTATCGCCATCGAAGCCATAGTTGTTTAACAGGTCTCTCACTTCCATTTCTACCAATTCTTTCATCTTATCGTCGATTAAATCACATTTGTTGACAAAGACGACCAACTTTTTGACACCGATTTGTTTACTTAACATAAGATGTTCTCTGGTTTGTGGCATTTGTCCCTCACTTCCGGCCACTACAAGAATGGCGCCGTCCATTTCAATCGCCAAATAGCGGTTTAGGACTAATGATAATATCAATGATAGCATTAATTTATTTGATTTTGTTGCGCAAAACCGGTTCAGACAATAGTTTTATTACAATAATTATATGGTATTTGATATCAACTTACGGTTTCTTTATCACTGGTCATCACAAGTCAGACGAAATGATTCCCAAAGATATTATATTTACGACAAAAAACACAAATTTTTGGATTCATATAATACCAGTAAATTAGAAAAACTAATTTATTGTAATAAAATTTATAATTCAAATAAATTATATATTATTATCAAAACATTAAATATAATTTAAATATATTAATAATTAAAAAAATATAAGTTAAGACACAGTCATTGTATTATTTAAATTGCTATTCAATATAATTATCAAATGTTTTTTTCTTAAGATTTTTTTCAATATGTTTTCCTTGAAATTCAATCAATTTATTTAAACGTAATAACATATTATCTCTAATTTTTTTAAGCGTAACACCATCAATTTTTGAAAATGAGTATTCAATTGATTGCTTTAATTCATTTACGTTTTCGTAAATTCGAACGGCGACATCATCACGTACAATACCCCATATTGAAAAGTCCATTGGCGTGACATCTGGAGATCGGGGTGGCCATTTAATAAATGGACTTCCTCTACCAATCCATCTGTTTGGTAAATGTGTGTCCAACCAATCACGTGTAATGGTCGCAAAATGTCCAGGACAACCGTCTAGCATAAATATGACATCACGGCCAAACTTGTGTTTCAAGCATATTTGTAAATGATTGACCCGAAACATTTTCAGTAAAATAATATGGTCCTAATATACGACTTCCCCATATGCCAGCCAATACCATTACACTAGACGCGGATTGATCATTTAAATATCTTACAAATGGGGGATTAGACCCATAAGGTGCATAAAAACGGTACTTTTGTGTGTTTGGTTTCTCATTAATAACAAACTGTTTTTCATCAAATATTGCCAATTTACTTAAAAAATCCGGATCTTCAGCAATTTGTCCTAATACTTCTTCAGCAAAAGTTACGCGTTTGTTATAATCAATTTCTTTCAATGGTTGCATTGTTTTCAATTTATATGGAAAATAATTATTTTCTTTCAATATTTTATGTATTGACGTATGAGACAATCCAAATTTGGTTGCAACCTTAACAGCTGATTGAACAGGATTTGTCTTATAATCAGACATTACAGATGCTTTAATATCTGATTTAATTTGTTGATTTTTTCGACATATTTTTTTGTTTGAAACAGAGCCAGTGTTTTCAAATGCTCTAACATGTGACATAATTGTTGTGTGTGACGGTTTTCTGCCGGGATGTAATTGATTGTAAATAATTGAAGCTTTTCTTGCATTTTTTGTACTATAATATAAATTTACAAATTCTGTTCTATCAGATAAAGTGTAACGAAGACTTGTATTATTTTCATTATTTTCAATGTCTTCAATGTCTTCAATGTCTTCAATATCTTCAATGTCTTCTTCAATGTCTTCTTCAATGTCTTCTTCAATGTCTTCTTCAATGTCTTCAATATCTTCAATGTCTTCTTCAATGTCTTCTTCAATGTCTTCTTCAATGTCTTCTTCAATGTCTTCTTCAATGTCTTCTTCAATGTCTTCATTTGGTACAGCTGTTATTGTTGTCGTTAATTTTTTCTTTATAACTGTGTTTTGAATGTTTTTATCACAAAAAATATGACTAGAATTTTTGTGTTTATCTAAATATCGTTTATCACTGTATGATTTCTCACAATCATTGATATCGCATTTGTATTTTTTTGTACTTTGATGTACCCACAAATGACTTTTAAGCTGATCTTTTCGTTTAAAAGATTTGTTGCAAATATTGCAGAAAAAAATCTTTTCATTAGAATGGATTTTCTTGTGCCTCGACAGTGCGCTTTGATTGGAAAATTTTTTATCGCATTCTGGACATGAATTTTGTGTGCCAGACATGTGTACTCTTTGACCGATTTGTTCGTAAATGTTTGTCTGATTCATATTTAGTTCAATAGATTGACTATTGGGAACGGTTACTAAACCAATGTGACTGTCCTCTGATGTATTAGGCAGTGAAGCAACTGATCCGTCGATCAGATGATGGTACTGATATGTGCGCAGTGGCTCTGGAGGAGGTGGTAATGGCTGATTAGGCAATGGTGACGGCAATGATTGGTTTGGTGGTGGAGTCAGTGATTGAGTGTTGCCATTGTTGAGTGACATTTGCATCGATGGTGTCATTTGATGCTGAATCTGTGTCTGCAAAGACATTTGTGGATCAATTTGGTAGACATTAGTGGTAACTAATTGCGACTGCATTTGTTGAGCAGCACTTTGTTGAACGGATTGCAACTGTTTTTGTTGGATGTGTTGACAAATCTCTTGTAGAAATTGTTGATGATTTTGATGAAACAATTTCTGATCGTTTAATATAGTAAATGATTGTTCAATAAATTGTGGTCCACTGTTATGATATTTATTATTCATTGATTTGTTTAGTTCATTAACATAACTTAAATCATTATAATTTGTTTGATGACAAACATTGCTTTCAATCATAGATTTACTATTTCTTGATTTTTCTTGTTTAATACTTTGTATTCTATTCAATAAACTTTTGGTCGATCGAGACCTCACAACCACTGGATTCATGTCCTGACCTGAACTTGGATTTTGATTTTCAAATATGGCTTTTAGTTTTGCAATACTTGGACGGCGTATAACAGTTGCCTTTCCTACCAGTCTTTGGTGTCGCACTTCATTACCACCTGATATGTGAATACTGTTGGCAACAATGGATGGCATTCTCTGTGGCGAAGGCATTGTGTTGATATTTGACTCATTAGATGTCGAATTAAATAAATCGTCAACTACCGGATAAGTTAACAGTTGTCTCATAAATTGTTCTCCATCGCTATCAATGTTCTCATATGTGTGCGAATCAATCTGTGTTTGCGAAGACAATTGTGGATCAATTTGGTTAACATTAGTGGCAACTAAGTGCGACTGCATTTGTTCAACAGATATCAACTGATCGGTAATGGCTTTGTCCAACTTCTTTATCGCATCCTTTTCATGGCTCAACGCTTTTGCATCAATCTTCTGGCTCTCAATACTCGAGAAAAACATATCGATAGCTTTGTCAAAGGTATCCGTTTCGATATAACTCTGATTCGGATCTTTACTATCCTTAAATTGATTCAACAAAATTGGATGAAATTCAAGATATGTAACGATAGAAACATTTGGTTCTTCGATTCGTTTTTCTTCCTTTTGAATGATAAAACCTTTTGATAAACCGTTTTTATTTTGCATAATATTATTACACAAATCCAATGCCTTTTCAATTTGTTTCAAATTTAAATGCGATTTGTTTAGCTTTGGATTCAAATCAAATTCAATAAACGAATGATCCAGAAGTTGTGTACCAAATATCACCAAAGGATTCAACACTTTCATCAGATTCACGCCATCCTCTGCTTTCTCTATAATGTCTTTGAGTTCGTCGCCAACTAATTTCTTGTAGTCTTTCATAGTTTTTGCAGTTTCAATATTATACTTATCTTTGATTTCAAGTATAACGTCTTCATCGCCCGACTTTAGGGGCCGAAGTATATTCAAAATAATATACTGATAGTCAGTGATAACAATGTTTCCCTTGCCGTGGAGCTCAAGGATTACATGATATGAAGTCTCGTTTGATCCAAACTTGAGATCAACCACTCGGTCAACACCTAATTGAGTGATACTTTCCAATCGTTTATTCTTCAGATGTTTTCTCAATTTCATTGTAAATCCATTGGGGGTATTACTCTTCGGCCAATCGTATTGTGTCGAATGGATCCGTATTCCTGATTCAATGATCAGCGATTCTTCGGTTTCTAATTGTTGATCACTTTTGTTAAATCGAAACAAATAGGTTTTGTTGTCTATATCGTAGACTTGATTCACACGCATACCGACCAGCGATTGGCTGAGTTCGGCGCAAACAACACTTATGTCAAATGTCGATAATCGGGTCTTCATTGTTGTTGTTTTTGTGATCAGCTGTCTGTGATCTCAATGATGACCTCTAAGTCTTTAACAAAACTAAAGTAATAATTGAATTCAATTCGTTATTTAAGCGATTATTAAACAAATTATATAACAATTTGACATCAATTTATTTACATTTGACTAGTTTTATCACAATATGTGATTCAATGATTGAATCACTGAAATGCCATGTGTTTACATGATATTACAACACATGCGCCTAATAAAGTGAATCATTTGATTTACTAGACTTTACTGTAATAATATGTAATTCATAGCATATTTAGTGCTTTACACCAAGGTATTTGTACTAATAATACTAATAAGACTTTGGTTGGAATACACGCTTAAGTACTGTACATTGCCATATCTGAAAAGTCAATGTTGTTTAATGAAATAAATTAACTATAAATAAATAGCAAAATGTCTTTTACCCTTATATTTAGGTTTACGACAAATAGAGAGTGCATTATCTAAAAAGATATGTCATTTAATTTAATAACAAATATAATGGGAGAGTATTTTATCGTTATTTCTTATTAATGCTGATATAAGTAAATCATACATAAATTAGATATGAATATAACATTTAACTGAATGTGCAGTTATTGGTAAATAGTATTTATCTAATTTAATAACAATAGGCGTACCAATGAATCATACAGTACTATAAAGTATGTAAACACAATACAAATTAAAATACATAAACTAAAATATAGCTATTAATAATTACAGTAATTCAAAGTTTATTGTTGTTTTGAAACTAATTATGTTATATAAATATGAAATGTTTTAATCAATTAATACCCACATTAATTTATCACCAAATGTTACTATAGTTTTATAATTTTCGGAAATGTATAATGTATTTATATAAGTTTATAATATAAATTAATATAAACTTATAATATAATTATTCTATTGTTTATTATTAAATTGAATTAATCAATTAGTAATGAAATGATGTGTCAAATTGCAACATATAATTTAAAATTTTTATTTAAAAATATGATTAAATAAAACAATATTTAAAACTAAATATTTAATTTTAAATTTCAGTTTCGGTTTCGGTTTCGGTTTCGGTTTCGGTTTCGGTTTTGGTTTAGTCAGCATTATATAAGGAGTTTAAAAATTATTCCGTAATATTATAAAACCTAACTTTATTATTGTTTATTTCTATTATTTTTGGTATAACAAATATTTTTTTCATGTAAATTCATAAGTAAATTTAGTAATCTTTATTTATGTAATATTAATAGTAAATATATTAGAGGTCATCTATGTAACAAATTAAAAAAAATATTGTGTTATTATAAAAAGACATTATAGTTTGATTTATTAAAATATTTATTTATACAAAATTATAATCTGAATTTACAAGTTTTATACTATTTATAACAATTTTTTCAATTTAAAATAATAAAATTGTTACACCAGTCAGCAATATATGTGATAAAAAAGAGATGCATTTAAATACATGAACGATATTTAAATTATGAGATAATATTTTTGGTTTTTTGATTAATGATAAAATTAAATCAGTATTTATAGTAATTTTTGTATTTAATAAAATTAAAATCTAATTATTTAGAATTTTATAATTTGTACTAATTATACAAATTTAAATGAAAATATTTATAAATACATTACTTTTTATGAGTGTTTCAAATTTAAAGTT